GCGTCCTTGTACTGGTACCCAGATTGTGGCCACAGACGAGGGTTTTTACGTAGACGGAATCGGGCATTTCATAGCTGTGGGTGGACACTTGCCCATGGCCATGTCGAGGCCTTGCAGTCTCCACGGTAGCAGACAACGAATTCACCCGCGCATCTCATCCCCCTTTCTCTGAGACAATGGAGTTTGTTCTATACCAAAAGAAACGGCTTGCAGGTCTTGATGTTGGTTTGCGCAACGCGTATTCTTGTGACTCTTTTCAGGATGCTTCCTCAAAAGGTAGTCGGCGCTATGTTGCACTGCATCGCCACATATCTGTGGGTCATTTGAGGCCTTAAAAATGGCACAGTTCATTGAATGTTTCGTTCTCGTGTTACCATTTTCCTTCCCTTTTTTATTATTTTTATTTTTTAATCACCAAATCTTACCACTTCTATCAACTATCCGGTTAGTTCTCAGACATTGGGGTTATTCCGCGCCAGCCGGTTCCACCCACTATATCCCTACCCCACAACGCTTCGGTTCACCTTGTCAATGCCAGATTGCCGCTGGTTCCTGTCCCAGTCTTAGGTCACCCCAGGCCTAAGTAGCGGCCACCACTGTGCGGGCGAGCCAGCCAGGGCAGGAACAGCAGGGGCAGGGAAGGGCTGATAGAAAACAAGGCTCCATCCGCACGCGGCCGAAAAGCGACATGGGGCCAGGCACGAGGGTAGGACTAAGGAGAGGGTACCCGAGTCACATTACAGCTTTATGAAAGGGAGATCCCAGACGTTGACCAGGCTTTGCTGGTGGATGTCCGTCTTGACTGACCCATCATACCTTTGACATCGTGTCCGCCGGAAACATGCAGGGCAGCGGGCCAGAGGGAGAGGCGAATAAGAGAAACAGCGTAGCAGCCGGACCCCAAAGGCTAAGCTCTGGCCAGGACCAACAGAAGCGGCAACGACAATCCTCATCATGACTCTGTCATATTCTTGACAGCTGGGAAAGAGGATGTGCTTACATCAAAACCCTTGCTCGCCGACCGCTTCAACTGTTACAGCCGTCCAGCGACTTCCCGTCAGCGGATGTTCGGCCAACGACGCACGCGTCTCACAAAAGCCACTCGACTTGACTCGCCTGCCCAGGACTGGATTATTGTCAGCGGCCTAATCTATTCTTTGGCATCATCTCCCCATAACCGATTCGACGAACTGGGAAACCCAGAGACAGAGGATACGCTGCCGAATGGGACTAGGAGAGGAGAACCCTCGCCAAAGCAAGACATCATCCTCGAATTTACTATTATCTCCATCCACCCCAACTCTCACCCTTGTTTTAGCTTCCAGCCCGCTTACGTCCCCTGTCACCTATTCGCTTCAAGATAGTTAAGGAGGGGAATGAGCCAGGCAACATTTCATCACAATATGCACAATAAAACATAGCTCGTCATACGCCGTTCACCACACGGGGTATATGGAGGCTAGCTGAAGCCATCATTGATGGTCTTGATGTCTATTAAACCAGCTCAATCCGACACTTCCTACCTGTTTCTAATGCATCCAATTTCCATGTAGCGGTCCATACCGCAATCGTATCGTCAAACGAACTTTCCCCCGCAAGTGCTCAGATGGTATCGGCTACCAGAAATCGTAACACGGGATGATTGCCATGCCCGTCGGGTTGGACTCGATCGAGCGGTTGATCACAACAGTTCACGTCTCACCTTCGACTGTTGAAAGCGGACCATCGAGCGACCGTGGAGCGCCGGGGAAATTGGATTAAGCCACGCGCAGTCAGCAGGACGGCGTAGTAGTAAGCAGATGTGGAGAATCAACAATGGGTTTGCCCTTCGTGCAAGGGTAAGAAAAAGCAGTAGCGTTTTGGAATCAACCCGTCAAAGGGTATTCCCAGTGCCTCCTGGTCTCGAGACCCCAGATCTTTTGACTCCCGCATTCACTGAATGAGAGACGTCGTCTGGAGTTTCTGAAACCCGATCATCGCAGATTTGCCGTCCGGGATGGTGTGGAGCTTTGGACAGGCCAGACCAGAACCAGATCAGACATAATAAAGATTTGGGGTTGAAATCGTTTGGGTTATGAAGGTCTGGAATCACCAAAGGTCTGGTGCTCTTCCACGGCGGGCGTCTGAGACGCACACCATCTTACACATAAATTTCTCAGCATATTCAGCTCGTTTGAGTGGACTGGGCACGCTCGGATCGAGACCCGGGTGATCCATTCTTTTTGTTGCCCACCAACAAGCGAGAGGCGGCGAGGCGCAGGGAGAAGACATCACAGGACCACGGAGCTCTGTGACGCAACTCGAAATCGAGCAGGGGGCTGCTGGTGAACGGGATACGTAGGCTGGGAGGCTTGGTACGTACCGACGGTAATGGGAGACACATCAATGGAGCAAGGAACTAAGTAAGTATAGTTAGACGGTACTTCGGGCAAACTGCACATCTACATCCACATGTACACAAGTACCCTCACCGCCCGCCTGCTCCATCTTGAGACGGATCCCTACTGTCAAATCCCGTCACGCCAGCTGGGTGACCAGCAAACAGGTTGGCGCATAGAACGGCTTTTCAGTATAGCAGGACGCTATTTGCGTTCATGTTCTCCAGCATCCTTATTGTTCTTGGCCCTTTCCGACGGTTATCTACAGATCCAAATTGTTTTTATTGCGAGCCTAGACGAACCGTTCAACGGGGGCACAAAAAAGAAAAAAATGACAAAAGAGACAAATACGGAGAACACCGACCGAGTCTGTTATTACGGCGGGCTCGGTTTGAGTGTGTCTGCTGGGTGCTTCCCTCTTCGTGTTGGGTCATTCTGCTTTCATCTCCGCACCACCAACAGACATTCTTTGCTTCCAAGGCGGAGCCTCGGATTGGGGGCAACGGAATCCCAGCCATGACGATTAAAATAAAATAAAAATAAAATTGTCTTCCGTTGAGTGCTCAGCGGCAAGATCCGCGACAAAGAATGAGAATGACAAAGGGCCGGTTGCCTGCGGCGGATACGGCAGACAGGGTTTGCGCACCCCGTGTGTGTCCAGCAGGCTTCCCGTTAGAGATGGGCAGCTGTTCTGCTTGTTGGCCAAACCAATCCGACCTGACTTGACTAGGCTTTACCTGGTCGCCTCTGGCTCGGGCCGACCTGAGCGGCTTTGCGACCGGACCACCTTCGCTTCCAGGGTAGAAGATAAGGCCAGGATACCGGACCAGTACTACTCTGTAGTGGGTAGGTGCGGTCGCTCAATTGATCCGGAGCTGTTTGGTCACATCAGCATGCAATTGGCTACCTAGCATCTTCATCCTCCTCTTGTATGGGCGTTAACACTCGAAGTTTTTATCCCTTCTTTTCGAAACCGACCAAAGTACTTTGGGCTGAAAGCACATATTGTGGGCGTACGGATCTCGAGGACCATGGAGGCTAGGCCTGAGTGAGAGGTGTGTCCCGTTGTGAGACACGGGTACAGAGCACACCCCCGTCAAGATAAGGTACAGCAATCACAAGAAAGAAAGAAAGGAAGAAAGGAAGATTAACATCGGGGCATGGCGGCGGGAAGACGCCAAGAACGATTCGTTGCTCCCTGCAGGATGCTGGACAATTACAGGAAGCGTAGTTGTGCCGCGTTACGGCGCCTCGACGGCCAATAGGCCTCTGAACATCGGAGCCTATGAAGCGAGGTGGGAAAGACAAGGAAGGCTAGAAAGTTAAATGGCAAATCACAGAAGGCAGGACTTTTCTTCCAGTCTGACCGCCAACTGGCCCCTGGTCATGTTGAGCGAGGTAGTCAAATACACCCGCAAGTCCCTCAGAAATCATAATCAATGAAGCTGGATCAGAGCGGCAGAAATGGCACCAGCGCCTAGTAACAGCAACAATGACGGTGACATTCACAGCCACATGCCGAAGATACATTTCCGCAATGCAAAAGCAGGGTACGTCAGGCCAGGCTAGGTCGGGCCATGCAAAGATGATGCCTCAAACTGGACAAATTACCAAGTTCCAGCACACACCGTTTGCCCTGCCTGCGGCCAGATCTGCGACCGCCGCCCGGGCTGGTGGGTTAGACAACGGGATTAGGCGCGACCAGTCTAGCCAAGACGCACGTTTTCCTTGTTCGGCAACACGCTCCACAGCTTCCACCACATTTATTGCATTCGCACCACGCACCTCGCCCACAGACGACACCGGCCAGGGCCGTACCTAAGGCACCTAGCCTTGCCAGGGGGCCCGACGGGGGCATGGCCGAACCGGTCAGACGGCTGGGGTCCTGTAAACAGTTGGCCGAAGCGAGTAATCTAGGCACCGCAGGCCATGAGAAAGTAAATGCAGTCAGGAATCTGCACTCACACAATCAGTGCGGCCATGTTGCTGCTCGTCAAGAGTCATCTTGTGTTGCCCACATGCGTTACTGACGGCTTAAACTAGCCCAACAGGCGGGATCGATCGATAAACTGCTGCAATACAAAGCGTGGCCTTGAGGCTGGGTCACTTCCGCGTCTCCTCAAACTCGTGCCGCCATATGCAAATTGGCTCAGCATCCCACGCCGCATAAGATCTTCTATGTCTTCGATATTCGTGTCCAATATCCGCCATGCGCACCAACAAGAAATCATTTGGGATAAAATTATCTGTGAGTGCTTGCAGGACACACAATAGCGACCGAGACAAATGACGTTGGTCTTAAATAAGATAGGCTAGCAGCGATATCAACGCTCTTCCATTTGACAGTCCGTCTTTGGCATCGCCTCGCTCTTGATCTTGCCTTACCCGCTGCCCTTTCCGAAACCTTCTTTCCCGTTGCCTGTTCTTTGATGTGAATTTTTCTTTTTTTCCTCTTTTCTTTTGTCTCTTTGACCAGGTTTTGAAGGGTTGAGCGTGCTTCGTTCCTCTGATAACCCCCCCCCCCCCTCCTTAAAGCCCTTCCGACGACTGACAGCGGGCCGCGCTCAAGTCACGCAAGACGCTTTGAGAAGACACCCACGTCACTTCAGACAGATTGAATCATCATTGAGCCGCCAACCACTGACACGGACCCAAAAGGGACCAGCGCACCTCCATCTCACTTGTCTGTCGACGGGACACCCCGTATTGGCTTGGCTTGTTGGTCACACATCGGATAGCCCCAAAGTTCATTCGAAACCCGGTCCAGTAAGCCAGTCTACAAGTCACATCAGGTACATGCTGCTTTTCTTTGTTGTCTGCTCCTTTATACATTGTCGTTGCCACTTTAAGTCCCCTCTTTGTCTCAAGGTCGCCCCAATCCAACGACCCGCGCGCCGGGACCATGTCATGACGGGGGCAGGTATGGATGGAGGGCCGTCCATCGCTTGTGGGCTTGACGCTTTGGCACGTGAGAGAGTTGGCAGCAACGAAGGCAAGAATCAGCGCAAAGAAAAAAGAAAAAGAAAAAAGAAGAGCATGGGACACCAGCAGCAACACCAACTGCCGTACCAATAAGTAGTAGCCAGTGCTTGGCATGTTAAAGAGCGGCAGACAACAAGTTTTGCTTTTATTTGCGGAATTGAAGCTATAAAGTATTGGAAGAAGGGTTGTTAAGGAAAATAAAAATAAAATAAAATAAAGAGAAAGGGAGCAAAGCGGACCATGCTAACGATTTGGGATAGAACAGGTGGGAAAGGAGGAGTAAATGGAACCAACACTTGCCTTACTTCTACCCCAAAGTACCAACAACAGGCTCCATTAGGCTCTTCCCACTTTCTTTGTACTGGGTTTCCACTCGGGTGCATATCGAGCGATGCCTTTGCGGATGTCAGCGAATGGCTTGCGATTGAGAACTTGAATCTATTCCCAACCGCCTCCTCGTGTTCCTGCCTACTTGTGGCAATGTATCAATTTCTCTTCCTTTGTTTCCCGCCCCATCCCCATGCCCCCCTGTAATGTGTCCTCCACAAGGGCCTAGACGTTTGTACTACCTTTTTGTCTAGAAGATTACTTGAGCCCACGTCTCTCCGTATTCTCATTTGAAAGCGGTTCGATTGATAGAATTTATAGAATGCGTGCCACTGGATTTGCATCATGACCAACGTACCAATGGCGTTGAGCAAGGGAGACCTACACCGTCAATGGGTAAGGAAGGGTCTTTCATTATGGCCTTTACGCCTCGTTGTTTGCCCCCAGGGTAATGCCGACGTGAAGCCTAATGCGATGCTGGCTCTTTACAGTTTTTGTAACATCTGGGCGATGTGTGACTCTATTGTGTGTGTGTATGTATGTGGGTGGATGTGGGTGTGGTTATTTAAATCAATTCCTTGGGACATATGTAGTTGGTTCCCTTGCTGGCTGGGTTTCCTTGTTGTCTGGCTGCAACACAGTGGCTCAGCCAAACCAGTGTGTAAAAGTTGAACCGTCTGCAAGCTAATCGACAAATGGCGTCGACTATGGCGCTGTCCGATGAAGAGCGGGTACCTGATGCCAGGCCGTTTTCCATCCTGTCAAGTCAGTTGTTCTAGTATGGGGGAAGGGGAGAGGGATAGTGTCTTTTTTTGAGCGGGTATCTCATCTCTGAGTGGCCCCCTGCTCGTCCGTGCTAACGAAAGGTCCCAAAAACCGGCGATTTCCCAGCTGGCGGCGGCGCCAGTTGTTGGAACACACGCTACACTACGGTCGGGGTTGTCGCTAGACTGGGGGGCTGCGTATCTTGGTACCCGGACCTGGGTGTTAGGGGTGGCAGAAGAGAGAAAACCAAGGAGGGGGGAGGCCTAACCTAAGGAGAAGGGAGGGGGATACTCCCGCCTTCAAAAAACTCACCCATTGGGCGGCGCGACATCATCCGCCCGCTCTGCCATTCCCGCTGTCTCCACCTCGCACCATCCACACTTGGTTGGGGAGGGTGTAAGTTTGGGACGGGCCTGCGGGAGGGGTGCAGTTGGTAAACTCCCATCTCCATCTGGCACAGCGTGCAGGTGCGGGTGCAGGGTTAGGAGCAGGAAGAGCAGCAGGAGGAGGGAAGAAGGAGGAGGAGCAGTAGCTGCAGCTGCAGCAACAGCACCCAGCAGGAACAGGAGTAAAGGCAGTAGCAGCAACAGTGTAGGTGTATGGTTGCCAGAGAATGAGCAGAACAGGTACTTGGTACGACGACCAAAATCCAGGTACCTCGGACTGCAGGTGTACCTTCCCTGCCTTTAGACCCTCCCCTACCTACCTTTTACCCTTCAGAGGAAGACAGGGTACCTTCCTACCTTTCCTTGCCCATCGTCACCTTGCACCCCATCTGCACCCATCTCCTTCCTTACCTTAGCAACCTTACCCTGCCATTCCCATGGCACCCGAGGCCTGGCACCCTGTCTACCCTTCCTGCCTGCCTACCTTTACTCTACCTGACCTCACCTACTTTTTCTTTTCCTCCTTCTGACATGCACTACCCTGATCCTTCTGCCCCTGCCCGGGCAGCAGCCTACTTTCATCTTTCTTACTTGCCTTACCATCCTGACTCTCTTCCCTCCTCCACCACTTGCACACTTCGGCCTCGACTTGCCCATATTCTCTCAGACACACATCTGCTTGATTGTGATGACTGCCCTTCATCTATACGACGGGCCTAGCTAGTCATCCAGCCACGTTCGCGTCACTCACTCCTCGATTCATTTCAGACTACAGCCTGTTTCTCCACTCTATCTATTTAGCTGTCTATCCTGTTGGCCACTTAGACACGGAGAATATTTGTCCAAGCAAAATCAAACCATAGTACAGCCAGCTACTCAGCGACGCGACACTCGAATTTGAATCTTGACGAGTTTCGTCTAAGGAAGGTAAGTAAAATACCTTCTTTCTTCTTGGGCCCATCTTCATTCGTCCTATCTACTTCCTTCCATCTTTCCTGACCCTCACCATCTATCTGTGCCTTACCTAAGGCAAAAAAAAAAAAAAAAAACATGACAGCATGGATGCCCACAGACGGGAAGTGCCTTGAAGAAAGAAAGTACGTTGGCTGACGACGGACGACGGTAGGGGCGGACGGTACCTTCCACACCTCCCCGCGCATCTGGGCCCTTGGGCGTGCTTCAACCAAGAGTCCTCGCTACTTTTTGACGCAGTGCCCTAGGTCGCAAGCCACGCCGTGCATGCCTGCTTGCTGCGCTGCGCTGCTCTGGCCTAGCCTGCCGCCTGCCTGCCTACTGTCCCATCCTTTGCCCCCCTCCCCTCCCCCATCCGCACCGCACCGCACCGCATCCTTACCACTTACCCACCTCCCTGGGCCGGGGCCACACACCACGCACGTCTTTCCCCTGCTCCTACTAGTCTCCGCCCTGTCCTGGGTACCGCACCTGGTCCCAGTGCCGTACCTTCCTAGTACCGCACCGTACCGCACCGCACCGCACTTTTCAAGTACAAGTCTACTTTAGTGCTGCTGCTTTTCCTTTTCTTACATCTTCCCATCTTTGGCGCAATCCTCCTCCAGTATCATTCTCTCCTTCCACTCCACCACCACCGATACCTGACCTGGGGCCTGGCGTGGCACCTACCGACCTTTAACATTACATTACCCGCCTTGCCTGCCTCTTACCTCTCCTGCCTTTACCTTTTTACCTTGTCCTTACCTACCTGACCTTTACTTTACCTGCCGACCGACCAACATCCTCCTTCCCACCGAGCACAGTAGCGATCACCACCATTTTTCTTCTGTCGAGAGGAAGGGCAAATCTCAAACCAAATACCTTCCTCGCCATCCATCTCGCTCTCCCCCCTCTCTCTCTCTTACATACACACACACACACACACACACACATCAGCTACGGACAATCTCACGCCCCCTTCCCACCCCCTTGGATCTGAGGCCAGCCGTCACCGACTTACCTCACCTTCATTCCTCGACAACTAAAAGAGCACGACTCCTAGTCGGGGGCGCCTTTTCGTCATCCGTCATCGCCTGCAAAGTCGACCCATTCTCGATTCTGCTCTCTTAAGATTAATCATTCCAGTTGTCCGGTCCTCTAAGCTGCACCACTTCGCCGCACTGCATTGCGCGCCGCGTCGCTCCGCTTTATTTTTATTTCTTTTGACATCTTGCGCTCGCGCTGTCTGCCGTCTTACACGGCCTGCATCTTCTGACTTCCAACTCTCACCGCGACAGGCTGTATGCGGGCACATCACAAAATCATCGCCTGACTGACTGACGCGCAAGACCTCCGCTACAGCCGCTTGGTCATGATTCTTGCCCTTTCTACGCTTAGCCGTGTATTTCTGATCCTTGGTCTTGACGGATAGCCTATGCGCCTGTCATTGTCAGAGTGAGCTGTCTGGTCGCAACAACTTTTCCGTCAACCCTTCCGAACTAGTTTCCTTTTATTCTGCTACTCTAGCATCGCAAGGCGTCCAGAGTGCACGTTTCATTCGCGGCATCCGGTTGGATCTACCGCAACCAGAGTATGGCAGAGGAGCAAGGACGAGGGCCGCCTTCCATACACAGAGAAGACCCATCAGTTCATCAGCGAGAAGAAGAAGCTCGTCACCGGCTCCCTCCAGTGGGAGCCCCCGAAGACCCCAGATACCCCGACGACAGACACCAGAGACCAAACATGGCCGCACCTGTTACCCTCCCATCTATCCAAGACCCTCACGGCGCATATGGGCAGCCTGCCTATCCGAGGCCGTACCCGCCGCATCCTGATCCGAGAGGTGATCCACGCGCCGACCCGCGTGCCAGCAGTTACAATGCCTCGCCTAATTCCGTGAACGGCTACCCTCCACCGCAACCGGGCGCTCATCCGCCCCAACTGCCGCCTCTGCAACCCCCAGGAGACCCAAGATCTCCTACTTACCCTCCCCCGCCTGATGCGAGGGACGACTATTACAGGAGAAGCCAGCCGCCTCCGCCGCAGTACGGCGACCCTTACTACCAAGAATATCACAGTCGCCAAGGACCCCCACCTCCGGGTCGTTATCCTGAGTATCCTCAGCAAGGTCCGGGTGCTCCGAGGTATGACTATCCCCCTGGCGCGCCGAGGTACGATTACGGTCAAGGAGCACCTCCTTTGCAGCAAGCGGCACCAAGACAGCGGACTTCCATCGCTTGCAGGTACTGCCGTAAGAGAAAAGTAGGTGACTAATCCGTCAAGGTGGTTTGGTTCTGTGTTGGCTAACTATGGACGTGAAGATTCGATGCAGCGGCTACCAAAGTGCACCTGGTGGCAAATGTGTGAACTGCAGCAGGATGAACCAGGAATGTATATTCCAACCTGTGTCCTCGTCCAGCTCGACAGCTTTTGTGCCGGTGTCTGCTGTCCCCGGTGGCGTTCCGCCCGGCACACCGCTCTATGGGGCCTACGGTCAACCTTTGCCTCCGGGCTCGTTGCCTCCGCCACCTTCGCAGGGCTACCCGCCCCAGCCTGGCAATGGGTACTACCAACAGCCTCTCCCTTCACCAACAGGTGGCTACTCGCCATACGATGCGCAGCGTACCGGGAGGCGGCGTCCACGAGATGATGAGGGCGACGAGCTTCGACCTCCGCCACCTGACCCTAGCTCCGCAGACGATCCCCGCCGGCGATCTCCGGCCTCGAGCTCTAACCACAGCAGTCCGGGCTACATGAACTATCAGCCCGCTGGACCTGGCGCTTTCGATCCAAGAGCACCTCCCGCCAGGCACAGTCCCGGGCAACCATCCTCGATACCTCCTCCAGTGACTGGGGACGAGCGCGCTGCTGCCGCAACCCAGCGCCAGAGCAATTCGTCGACTCCCGCTGCTTCCTCGAGCTCGGTGATGAGTCTGAATAACTTGGTGGACACGACACCCAATGACATTGATAGGAACATGCTGGGCAGGTTGAATCGGGGACCGGCCCCCAGGAAGTAAATAAGTTGAAAAAATCACTGGGAAGAAAAGATTGGGTGCTGTGCTCAAAAACGCTATCCGCCGCAAAAAGTCCCACTAATTTGTCCGGCGCAAAACGACGACTCTGCTGGCCAGGTACTCTCATTTCCTTTGGAGTCTCGAGAATGACGCCCAAGGGGCAAACCCCACTCTTGCTTCGTACATGGCGAGCGCGGCTGGATCGTGACCAGCGGCGACACCGAATTGTATATGGTATAATTCAGGTTGCACACAGATCATGGGGAACGCGTTTCGTTTTGTTGAGCGTGGGCTCGGAGCAAATAGGGGTTTTTCTCTTTTTTTCGGATCAAAAGCACATAGCGAGGACGGGTTTCCTGGCGACAGTTGCCGGCATTAGCCAAAGGGTCAGCATCGTCTTGGTTTCTTTCTGGTGTTTGCTGGGTGGGGGTTGTTGGGAGGTATTTTTGCTTGCTCAAGCATAGCACAAGGCTTTTTACCCCTTTAGCACTTGTGGTCGTTTTCATCGTTTTTCTTTCGTACACAGTCATTTCTCGAAGGAAAGGAAGGGTTAAGATTGGTCTGCCTCACGGTACACGTCTGTTGTTGATTTTGATACTCTTCTATTTTATCCCTCTCATCGTTATTGCACCATGACGGAGTCCCAACCTGCGTTTTCCTATTGTGTTACTTTTTCCGAAGCAGTATTACCCAAAACCTCGAATTTATTACGATGCGAAATCGCGCAAGCGATAAGGCTGGGCGGTAAAGATATCTCTTGCGTTTATTTATTTAGTTTATGTTTTTTTTTCGAACCTTTCTTCCCTCTTCTCCGCAGAAGTTTTCGAATGGCACCGCAAGGGCTACAAAATCCGTTTTTCTTCTTCCTTTTTTTTTGTTTTTTTTTTTCCTTTTTAGGTTATCCGCTCTGCTCGTCATGTTTCTCTCAGGTCCTGCCCCGTCTACGTCTAGCATGCACTCATCGGATATAATGACAGTACGGATAGGGTGAAGAAGAAGTAATGAGATGAAATCGCTGTATCATTTGTTCACAAAAGATGACAAAACGAGTCATCGCCGTGGTTATTGCCGTCACGTCCCCTGTTCAAAGTATGCCTCTCACTGATGGACCTCGCCTGTCAATTCGAATGGCTCCGCTTGCTACGCGTCCTTAGATACGCTGAGGAACAATGATGACTATGTGTGGAGGCTAAAATGTCGGCACTGGAGCTCAAGCCCAATCTCAAGGCCAAGTCAGGTATCGATGGCAGTTCCCTAAACTAACAAACTAACCAAAGGTTGGGGGCCGGTCCGATGCTGCCATGTTCCGGGAACTGCCTGCTCCCAGCCCAGTCGCCGCGCCGTTGGTCGTGCCGTCTTAGCGGGTAAGCAAGCAAGAACGTATATTCTCCTCTTTTTTTCAACCCCCTTCAACCCTCCCACCCTCCTCAATGAGTGCATGCAGTATGAGTGTGTGTGTGTGCCGCGCTGCGTTTTTTTGTCCCAAAACCCCCTCCCTTGTTCCATTAACCCCCTTCGGTCAACGGCCGGCGGCGAGATTGCTTTGTATGGCATGGTAAGACAAAGGTGACAAGCCAGTTTGTTTCTCAAGGGTAGGCGTGGAACAGATGGATTAATTTAATAAAAGTAAGAGATCTGAATGTGAAAGGGAAAAGTACAACCAAAAAAAAAGATAAAAAAAAAAAAGGCCAAGGCGGATCGGGTCTGCAAACAGGAACACACGCACACACACGCACACACACACAAAACGCATACACTCACGTACAAATGCACACACAAAGATGAATGGGGGGTCAAACTACCCAGAACAAGGCCAGCTACAAAAAGGGAATAAAGAACTAATACCAGGCAAGGCGGGCATTGATTAAAAAAAAAAAAAAAACCGGTAAAATAACGACATCAGAAAGTCTGCTAGATCTGCGCGATTCAAATTTTACTGGCCCACATAATTTTACTGTCGATGTGTTCCCACAGTCTCTATATGTGTAGGTAGGTATTCTGTTCTTGGTGTGTGTGTGTGGACGTGGTGGTGTGTGAATCACCTTCATTCTCCTCCTGCTCCTTCCCCCCCCTTCCATCCCCTCCCCTGCGTCGTGTTTAGTAAAAGACCAGGCAAGGCCAGGCCAGGTACGAGCGACATAGGAGTACCACCGCCCAACCCATCTTTTTCCTTTGGACCTTTCGCTCTGCTCCTGCTCCGTCTGCGCTGGGCGGAACAGGTAAGCTGTTCGAGGCGAACCGGGTCAAGGCTGGTACTTTGGGGGTGGACAAAGGGACCTCGAGAGGCCATTTGTCGAGATTTCGGGACCCTTAACGCTAGTCCTGGGCCTCCTCCCGGCGGGCCTACGAACGAGGGGGAGTGAGTGAATGATGGGTTGATTGAGAGGTGGCCGGTGCCCCTCTCCGCAATCAACGCTCATGGGGACACGGGATTGGGTTGATCCTGGTTCACGCAGACTGCGCGAGCGCGCCAAGGCAAGGGGTGGGAGGCGAGGGGAGGGGAAGGGGGTAAAAGTCACACCAAAAAAGGCGACAGCCGTGGGCAACATTGAGCACTGTGGTCCGACGAACCGGCAATGTATTCTGAAGTAACGCAGGCCATACATACTCACACATTTTCTCTCGCACACTCACACTTCCTTCCACCTACGCATACACAATACTCACCGACAGAGCACGAAGATGGACCTTCAAGGGAGGAGGAGGAAGGGGAAGGGGAAGAGCTCAACAACCCCTCTTGCTCTGAGATGAGAGATGTGCTCATATACACGAAAAACCATACACCCTGCTCTTTCGAGAGAGGAAAAGCGCAGGTCTAGAACCGTTGGAAGGAGAGGGGCGACTCACGGCAGTATCCATGGCTCTAGCAGCTAATTACTCGCATACGTCTGTGCTTGATAGATGTATGCCTGGCGAGGGCCGAGAGGCCCTACGATGGGATCGGGTTCGAAGGAGAGGAGCGGTGTTTGGTTAGCGCCGTTGCGTTCTGTGTGTGTTTGCGTGGTTCGTTTCGTTCGGCGTTTACGTCCTTCGGGCACCATCCATTCCCCTCTCAGCCGTTGATCCCAGAAAGTAGGTGAGTACATGGGGCGGGCCTTGAACTATAGTACATCCGATTCTCTGCAGATTTGCGCTCGGTGTCTTGGGCTTTGCCGGGCTGGCTGGCGCAGGATTAGGCGGAGGCGGAGGCAAAATGTGCGGCGCCAGCGCGGGCGACCCGAACGTGCTAACCCAGAGAGTAGTGAGTACTTTTGAACTGAGGAGGTCCCTGGATGTCTTGGCCCAGCTTTCCTTGTCTCGAGCTATCCCCTCGCAAGTCGGTAGGTGGAGCGAAAGGAGACAAGTGTGCTCAAATAATTGTGAGTTGTTGGCGGAGAACAATAGAGTATGAAGAACACGACGGTTGGAGAAGCTGAAAGGACGGATAACTGCCCAGAGAAGATGATAATATGACTCCCGACCGCTCACTTCCATGCCATGTGGGAAGATGAAAATCGGAAAATAAAACAAAAACTTTTGTTTAAGTTAAAAAAAAAAAAAAAAACAACTGGATCTGGGTTGCTAAACTGGTCAGCCTCTTTTCTTTTTGTGTTTTTTTTTTTCTTGCTTCTTCTTTTCTTCTTTTTCCTCTCACTATGGGAAGCGGATAAGTGGCATGCAGAATGTTTTATAGGAGCCGCTCTTGGAGAGCAAAAAAAAAAAAAAAAACAGACGAGTTATAATGGAGTTTGTACAGTGAACTTCACACCGCCGGCATCATTTTGGTCAATGATGTCTTTTCGCCCTTTTGGTCTCCTTGTATTTCTATCTTATGTAGCTGAAAGAGTAGACCAGAAAGAGAGCGCATCAAGTCAAACGTCGACTGATACAGCTGTGAAATGGTTTTTTTTTCCTTTGTTTCCTCATTCCTTTCTTGCTTTGGTGTTCTGAGTATATAGGTTAAGGCGTATCCATGTCTGTTGAAGCGTGAGATTGGTGAACTACCTTACTCATCACGCCGACTTGCGAGCCTCCAGTCGCACTTTCGGTTTATTTACTAGCTGGTGAAGGCGGGGGATTTGCCTGCCGGCCATGTGAAGGAACAAAGAGAAGAAACCCAGATTAGTGTAAAAACCGACGGCAACGGAACCGTCCGACTCGCTGGCGGGACACTTGAGGTATAATGATTGGTCTGACGACCTAAGAGCACAGCCTGGAGAGGAGTGAGGCGCTAAAAGAAAGTGACCAAAACGCGGTCTATCTGGGCAGTATGGAGCGATGCGAGCGAGAAGACGAGCTGATTCAACGGCCTGACGCTAGTTTCTGTAGCTGGTGGCTCTAATTGAGCCCAGCTTTAATAGGGGTGGTCTTGCCAATGGTGGGATACATCAAACGGTGAGCAAAGTTCAATGGAGACGGAGCTGGAGCGGAGGCAGCATGGCAAGATGAGCGGGTGACGAGACGGTGTGGAAGCTTTCCGGCGCTTACACCACCACATGGGGGAGTGTGTTAAAGGGGGAGAGGAGGGGGAACGATAGAGAAGCTGTGGGTCTGGACTCAATGTCGTGGACAAGTACCGTCTACCTCGTTCTTGACAAAGGGTACCATGCGGGCATCTAGCATTGACGGTCCAGGGTCACCAAGGAAGGAAGGAATGTGGAGAGTCCGAACATGTCCCTATTCACAGGCATGTATGAAGGACGGCAGACGGGAAGGAGTCAGAAAATGTGACACCAGACGTTCGTCTGGCCTCGACATGCTTACCTTGGACCTCTGTTTGGGGTTACACCCTGACGTGCAGCAATCTTGCAGCGCAACTGTCCATCCGGAAGCATCCAAGTTGCGTCCGGATGGACCTTGATTCTTGATGTCCCAGTTAATATCGCTGGTGTGTCTCTATTTATTGTGGTAATAAAAGAAGATACAAGTGAGGAACATCCAAAATAAAAAATGGGATTTTCAGTAATTATTTTTTCCCGCATTTTTTGCTTTCTTTTTTCTTTCTTGTAAAAAGCCCCTCTCTCCATCTCCTACCTTAGTTGGCGAGGAAAGTCGCAGAAAATTAAAGTCACATGTCCACGGCGTTATGCGGGCGACACTACCCTGGGATACAAAGTTACATATGCAGCCTGTCGTACTCCATGTGCATTGCGAAAAATTATATTATGGGACAAATCATCGATCTGGAGCTAGTTCAGGGACTGTGCGGCTGAGTGCCTCAAAGTTGACCTCTGATCTGGAACATTTTCATAGTGTCATGTATCTCTGGATGAAGGAGAATCTTGGGGTATTAAAAGCAGCAAAAGCTATGAGGTGATTGGAGAGGAAGAAAATCCGGCCTCGGAGCTCGGACGGTGTTCCAGAGATATGACGGCAGGGCGGCGGGGATTTGGCTTGGAAGGGGGTGCGAAAAGGCATGAGTGGCAAGGAAGGAAGGGATGGGACTGCTAGGAGGCGTGTCGGCTGAAAACGGCGGCGCTATGATTATGTCTCTCATTCGTGGCGTCGAGGTCAGATTTACAATGTGGCTTTCTCAAACTGGCTGAGTAGGAAATGAAGCAATATGGGGGAAGGTAGGCGGCTACGCCAGCAAGGAAACAAGCAGGAACCCTCGAGACTGGTAATTACAGGAGTCACAGCGTGACAGTAGTCTGCGGTTGAAAATCCAAAGGCGGCTGGCTGTAATGGTTCGGATAGCCTTGCTGCTACTCCGTACATTCCAGTTTGTTTGTACGTGGGCAAACTAACCTTGAGTCTTGATTAGGATGGATTACCAAACTCAGCTTTGTATGACGGGGAAACATGCCGCTGGCAACCTTCCCCGCCTTCTTGTCTTCCCCATATGACGGTAAACCGTCTCGCAGTCAACAGTAACATTATTCCCATGGCAGTGTTGTTTGGGTGGAGATGCTGTGCCGCATCTGAACTTGACATATCCCTGACAATCGACATGGCGGCTGACCAAGACAACTATGGCGCTTTTCGAAAACGGCTTTCTCTCCCGGTATCTTCTGGTTCGATGTGTCGTTGACGCCGGACTCAGATTCTGCACAACCTCGCAAGTGGGTTTCGCAGACTATCACAGCACCGTAAACATTCCTCAAGTTGTAAGCGATGGCATGACGCCTAACCTCCAAAATGTAAGCCATCTACCGGCAGACCGGGGGACTACCCGTCCCAAATCTAAACTGAATCACACTGAGACCATTCAGGCGCAAGACAAGCTTACTTGCTAAAAGCTGCAAGCAGATGTTTTGGGGAGCGAGACAGACAGCCGCGCTCTTCCGCTTCTCTCGCCACCATCAACAGCTCCTTTCCTCCCTTGGACTGCCTGCACTAGGCTGTCCGGGACGCCCGTCGATCACCGATTGAATCAAATGTTTTGTTACTACGCATTCCTGGGGAACACACGATTGTTCCTCGTGCTCCCTAAATCCTGTTTCGATCTCGGTTCTAGCACCTCCTGGAAATGTGATTCAAGGGGTGAACATCACCATGACAATCGCCCAGACCGCGAGAATTCCGATTTACGATCGAGGAGATTGTAGCCATCACCGTGGAGAATACCGAGAACTCCCACGTCGACATTCCAGCCGATAATATGGCAAATACCAATACCTTGCTTGCAGTCTCAAGTCAGCTGCTCGGCCAAGCTCGATGCCTGAACGATAGAACAGCCAAGGTTATCGTGGATTTCACCGAAGTTTCTTTCCTAACAGGTGTCTTGACGATTCCTAAATCTGTTCATATCAGTCCCCATTCAAGTCAAAGATATTTCCCGGCGAGTTAGCGCGAACAGCTCCCGGCACGACTGAATTGTCTTACATCATAATCCTCGAACGCAAAATTTGTCTGTACAGGCGCAACTAGATGGTCGGCAACAAAAGCAAACAAGGCTTTAACCTCTATCTTCAAGGCTAGGTATAAATACTGCACAATAGTCTACCGCTATGCATCGGACCAACAACCCCTTTTTGTTGATCGCTTGTTGCATCTATCTAGGGTTAGGGTTAGATGTGCTGTATGGAAACTTGAGCTTCAATCTTCCGAACAGTATGCCTTCTCGAGTAACACAAAAGAGATACCAAGGAATTCAATATCCAAGATATCATACGGATTTGCAAGCATCATAAGGGTCAAGCGAGGGCGGCGCGGCTGGCAAATGTCTCGCGGGCCCTTCCAACTTTCCCCTGGCAGGCACTAGTCTCGACCAGACTCTCGGGAGCAATGTCTCATTCCTTACGCAGACGGCTGAGTGACAACACGCAGTCTCGGGCGACGCCCTGTTCCGCGGCAAGACATTCCACCGTATTGAGGTCCACCCCCGAGGAGTCTTGGCTCTTAGCTCCCCTTGTCAAGTGACACATAATGTCTCGCCAACAGTACGTCGAGAAGTGATAGTAATGTTTAACTAGCGATCAGTCACGGGACTTCGGGTCTTTCACACGGTGTGGAGCATGAGCTTGATCCAGCATCGGGCATAACAATCGAACGAGAAATGGCGATGCTTGCGGGTCTAGGACAACATGGAATTATCCGCGGATGGGAATGGCCTTCTTTTTTTTTTTTTTGGACAGCCGAGTAGTGACGTTTCGAAGTGATGTCACACCCAGACTCGAAAAGATCTCTGTGCAAAAATATTTGCCGAGCAGGAGAGACGCTGATCGTACACACCTGGCAACATCATCTCGACTGGGTTTGAATCGAGTTGCTTAGCCAGATATGTCTTGGTAACAGACGGTATGAGCTATGGAAGGAAACGGAGTCTTTCTCTAGATGGCATCTCCTGATATCGGGCCGGTATACCAAGCCAGCAAGGCTTAGGTATTTTATACCGAATCCAGAACGCAATTTGCCTTATTTTCTTTTCTTTTTCATGACTCCGTAATACTACTTTGGATTGAGCAAGAACTAAGCACTTTGCAGAGCATATTTCTTCTCGGAAAGCCTTACCAGTCTGGAGACGGCAACAACGCCTACGTATGCGCCAAGCTACATGCCATTCCGTTATGCACCAAATCTTCAAAAGGGCACAAGGCCCAAAAAAACGAAGCAGGTAACTGAAACAAAGATAGAGAGAAAAGAAATATCAACGCCTATCAAGATGTTACTGAATTTATTGGCCTCGTCTGTGTAGGAGGTTGTTCTGTACTTTTGCAAACAGACGTTCTGGGGCACCTTTCCATCAAGACGATCAAACGCCTAGAAAAGTGCTACGAATATATAAGTGATGCTACGGGAAGTGAATATGATTTCTTTTAGTCTCCTGGGCACATTCAATCTCGTCCAGACTTGCAAGTGGTCAATTGGATACCCAGCGCATCATGTCGCGCAGTGATCTCCATCGCCACAAACAAGCTTTACAGATAAAAGAAACACATAGCTAGTATCTACAGAGTCGCATTTACTCAATGATCAAGAAAAATTGAATAATCATTTCTAATCTCGGTGTCCCGGTGTAAGCTGATCAAACTCACGATGGAGACTCTCTCTCACCTAGGTGAGAGTGCCAAAAACTCGGTGTGGAAATCGGTGAGAACACGTTCACCTGTCAACTTCACCGAAACTTTGACCGAGCTGATGTGGGGACTAGAACGGACGACAGGTGGGCAGCTCACGTACTGGCGCAGCACGCCGTGCCCGCCCCCGTGTGGTAGCCGACGCAGCAACGACTGGGGTAGACGAATTTAAGTCACTGTGACCCGGATCCCAACGTTCAACATTCGTGTCCATGACCGTATATCACTCGCTCAATGTATAAGCATGCCTCGAAATTTCCATGTTGTATGTGTGTCATCATCCGTGATTCGGCCATTTCACCGAAGTGCCAGCTATGCAGGGAGTCCTTCAGGCACGATTCGATTCTTATCTATAAAAATCATGGGTGGTGAACTTCGTTTTGCCGGGCCAATATCTCACACAAATCGAGTAGATACGTCAGGTCAGGTTCTAGAGAAATAGTTTGTCACCCGATTTGGGAAGCAGTCGATGTATACTCAAAATGCGGTGGTCATAAAAGTCATTGGTATCATTAAGATAGGAGTGCTGGCCTCGACCAGTCTTTCTATGTGCCGACGACGGCTCTGTAGTTTTGTTTCCCGCCGTTTCTAAGCTGGCCTTGTATACGCCCTTTTCCGTCCCGTCAAAAAAGTAAATTATACCAAGACCGGGTAAGTCTTTCCCTCCATCAGTCGTACTCGGTAGCCATAGTTGGCGTCGGTGGATCAGGTGTTGGCGTTGTTGACCGCCCTTCCACGCTCATTTCCTCGCGGTACGCCATTTGCCCCTGTTCGTTCCTCTCCAATACGAAGCACCGCTCGGCATAGACGCCATTCTCGTTCTGTCGGCGCCAGGCGGCGCTGAACCGGCGGACCATGACTTTCCGCCAGCCACCGACATTGATGATAATTTGTTTCCAAGGTAACTCGGGGTTGGCAAGCTGTTTTTCGCGTAGTAGGAATTGGAAAGTGCGGACAGCGGCGTCGTAGTCGCGATCCATGCCAGGGTGGACGACCTCCAATGGGTGAAGGACAGTCTGGACATGAAGTGTAAGTGTTTGCAGGCTGCGGAAGCTGCAGATGGCACGGAGGAATTCAGGCGGGTCGCACAGTGCCACGTCCATGTCTATCTCAAGTGTATGAACGTACGGCAGCCCTTGCGCCAAAGTCGCAATGTCCTCGGCCCACAGAGTTGGGCACCGTCTGTCCTCCTCGCCAAAACCCACATGATCCCGAAACCGAAGTACCTGTAGCGAAGCACCGTGTCTCAAAATGCCGTCCAAAGGAAATAACTGGATATGACACGTTATGCTCAGAGTTTGCAACGCCCGAATGTGGTTGGCCACCAGCAGGTACATGCCGCCTGTTGCCTCCTGTCGTTTATCGACGAGATGAGCGCTGAAGTCTTCGCAATGTAGTCGGTGTAGACCCGTCAGATGAGTAAAGTCGACAGACGATAGAAAGTTGAAGATTGGGACGGATATCAAATCTAGAGATTCGAGATGGGTAAAGTCCCAGGATGCCTGCGTTTCCTCCTTGGAATGGTTCCAGTCATACGACTTGAGGACAAGGTCCCTCAATGGAGGCATCCGCTCGCCTTTGGCAAATTTGAAATTTGTGCCTTGCCCTCTGTCTTCGTAGTAAAAAGTCCTGAGACGTCGAGACAACAAAAGAAGCTGTTTCAAAGAGTTCAATCGGGTGGTAAGCGGCGGTGCTGGACTGGCTAATTTAAGGGAGACCAGTAGGTCCGTTGGAATCGCTCGTACGTAGGTGTCTCGTAGCTGCCCCTCGAATTCTCGAAGCGGAAGATCCTCGACAAATAACTCGGTGCCATTGAATCGAGTTTGCTGAGGGTTCAGCACATCCGATGGAAGCCAGAGTCTTCCTAACCTGAACTCGGCATCCACGTAATGCCACCTGGATCGGGCATCAATATACAATCAATTGCGATAGCAACATCCTGTGTAGCGAACATACCGCACAGTCTTTAATCGTTGAACCCTGTCCAGCACTTTTCTAATGCCATCAGGATCCAAGTCGCTTCGCACAACCACATGGTTGGTAAAGACAGAAACATTGCGCAATAAGTTAGGGTAGCGCGACTCGGCGTCGGGTGCTACGATGCGCTCGTTGAGACACAGGGTCTGGTAGGTGACGGGAGTCGCAATCGCCTCGAAGCGTCTCGATAAGCAGCGGGTGGCAGCAACAGCACGCTCATCAATTTCTCGAAGCTATACTTTGGCATTAGAGCTAACATCGGGACGGACCGATAGGATGCCGAGATCCAGGTCAGGGAAGAAGAAGGCATACCTGCTCAAGAATCAGAGCTAACAGCTCGGAACTGAGGTCATTCAGAGACCATTTTTGAGGTGGTGCGCGGAGGGAGGATGCGGTCGCCATTCGCCAACAAGTGGCGCTTCCACATGGAGGAGCAAGAGAGAGTCAGGGTTGGGGTGAGGTGTCTAGGTGAGGTAGAGGAAGAGGTAGAGCTGGAGCAAGGGACCTCGTGACTGGCACAGAGGGGGGAGGTAAGGGTCTTATCAACGGTTCCATCAATTGAGAAAGCGTTGTACTGTTGAAGAGAGCTGGGAAGGTCCAAAGTCATGATCCGCCGGTTGACAGACGGGGCTAATCTGTTTCCGGACAATGTCACGAGCGGGTACAATAAGATGACCCAAGTTAGCCAACAACAGCCAACTAGCTGTGTGGCGACTGCGGGACGGAAGCGAATAGACACGCGCCGACAACGAGCAGAAGGTGGATGATGACGAGGAGGCCCAAGTGGAGGAGGAAGACTGAACGGATCGGGGGCCGGGATGGGGATGCGATGGAGTCAAATGGGGGGCATCTACATTAACTCGCAGAAGCCGCCTGCAGGACCAAGGCGTAGCAAGATGCAGCCGGGGCTTTGGTTCGTACGGGTGTGTGTACGTGTATGTATGTATGGATGTTGACAGGTACCTTGGCTGCGTGCCGTTCTCGATTTGGTGTGAGAGGCGAGGATGGAGTCTTGATATTGGCCCGACTCGGACCGGGCGATTATAATGACCACTGGACAAGGAGAGAGCAAGACATATCCCAGCCAACCTAGTGGACAGCCACAGTCATAGGAAAAAAGCGAATGAGAAAGCAGAGAAACAAGATTTGAATGGCGGTCGAGTAAGGGCGAACTAGAAAAACAGAAGGAGAAGAATTTGCTGCTGAGACTAATATAGCAGGCGCAAAAGAAGGAAGAGAAAAATTTATGAGACAGCTGGCCGAACGTGGCGGAAATATGCGAACAAGCAGCCAACAGGAAGCACATGGACGAGAGAGAGCAGATACCCACGAACCCGGGGGCAGTTCGCCAGGTGCACCGTTCCTCGAACATTCGGTTTGGGAACAAGCAGCGAGGTCTTCATACGAAGACAGGTAGGGATTGGAGAGGTTTAGGACCCTAGGCATGGGCTGCTAGACCAGGTGGATAGAACATGTTTCAATTGACCTGATCCGCCCTACTAGCAGGAGGGGTCTCTTGTACCCCTGGTACTTGAGAAGGCCTGCAAGTACTCTGCAGCGACGCAAGATAACAGGGAAACGACAAAGAGGAGACGAAAAAGAAGACAGGTGTGAGAGACTGAGGTGCGAGGTGACGAGGAGGAGTAAAGATGAGGAGATGGGAGGAGGTCAAGGGACGTTTCGCAAGAATGTCCAAAAAGGGAAATGCAGATTTGGACAACATGGGTGGATCCCGGTAGAGCCTAGTGGCCTCCCCTTTGGCTAATGCGGGGGTTGCACTAATCCGAAGATCGCAGCCGTCTGCGTGCATAAATACCGTTTTGCTGCATTCTTTTCCTGTCGCACCGTCTGCAGAAAACCCTCAACCAATCTCTTTCTCTCTCACCTGCCTACCTGTGGCAGTGGCTGGACCGCAGGTCTTTCCATCCCCACTCCTCTAACTTATGACTTCCTTGTCTATTCTCTTTAAAGAAAAGAAAAAAGAAAAAAATAACCCCCCTTCCGCGTCTTGTTCTTTCTCCGGATGGAACAGCGATCTCAATCCTAGACGCGAAGTACCGCTCTCCACCACTCCCCAGCAAACCTGAACCTGAACAGCTTCTGCTCTGCTATCCCGGGTGCGGTCACCCTTGACTCAAAAGGCCCCATCCATTTTCATTTCCCATGGACCCGGCAAGCTGGCAACGAGGAAACTCGCCATTCGGTACATCACGGCACATGGACACCACCTTTGTTTACGCAGTAACGGTGGCTCTCTCTGGTATCCCTTCGTCTTCTTTTTCGTCCTCGACCAATGCCAGCGATCAGCTGGATATGCTATCGGACGACGTTGGATCAGACCAAAAAGACAAACATCTCATGCCAGCCTTGCCGCATTAGTAACTGCTAGTAGTGTAGTCCCCAACTTCAAACTCTCCTATTGTAAGTCTGCACTGGGGTCTGTCATCAGGACCACATCAACCTAGGCTGATGAAATGACTGATTTTCTTGTCGAAATGACGAGTCCTTCGCTTCTCTCTGCCATCTGCCGTTCTCTATCCGCATCCCATCGGTTCGAAGAGACCTCGTTGTCGGGTAGTTTAGCAGATAAACCTGGTTCGACTTACTCGGTCGACATGGAGACACCGATTGCATGTCGCAGTGGCCAACTGCAACCACGTCTCCCGAGTCATCTGCTCATTTGCCTCACCTGTTAACCAGCCCACAATCCAATCGCGAGTCACTATGGGAACGGACGTGCAGCCGCATGAGTAAAATACTTCTCCCAGTACTAGAGCAAGATAGCCGGCAGGGACTGACACTTCAATACTCAATTCTAAAACCACATGGGTTAGTAGAAGACAACGAGCCTCTTTTCTATGAATTTTCTCGAACCGAACCATTGGTTATATCCACCCATGAGTCGAAGACACTCCTATGGAATGTGTGTGCTTCTCGATTTGTGAAGCTCAGTTGTCCGCCGTCAAACCAGGAGCCCCTGTTCAATAGCATCCGTGCTCCCTGCGACGTTCGGCCCGCAAGTCGTTTTGGATTGGAATAGGATTCGACTGAACACACCCACACTTGCCAACCAACCGGGACCCACAATCCAGAGCCCTGGTACATACTAGGTAGTAGTATACTACGCAGTACATAGCCCACGACATTAAGAATGGAGATTGGCGCACAGTCAATGTAGTAACCACAACAAGCAGAGCTGGCTATTTTGTAATCGGTAATATTCCGTTATCCGGTCTTATGGCCAGCGAAGGATGCGATTTGCTCGTCTGGTTTTGTGTCCAGACCCTTGCTGCATGTGTTGTCGAGCAGGGCCCCCGGATCTCCTGTGCCTGATGCACTGCGAATTATGTTCAACAACGGGCTGACTTGTATTCTTTTTTCACCCCCTTAACAAGGACAAGGTAACGATTCTGCACTATTGCAGAAAACAAACGCGCCGATGCGGCACAGACTTGACAAGCAGCTCGGAAACACTGTCACTTGGGTTGCAGCAGCAAAGCCAGTTGAAATCGGCGAAAATGATCGTGGTCCCACGAAAATAGTTACGTGCGTACGGTACGGCATGGTATTGTGCCACAAGGGATGCTATTCAGTAAGCCCCCATAGCGGAACACATTTACAAAAGTGTGTCCACGCCCTACCTAAAGAAAGTTAAAAAAAAAAAAAAAAAAATTAATCGGATGCTACAGTAGGTACGCCATATGCATCTGACTGCAGACCTACCCTAACAATCACTGCTCGCTGCACTTCATAGACACATGCATGTATACGTCAACGAGCGAAACCGCTTTGGGCTCGAGTCGCGACATCGGTACCAAAAAACGTTGACTGACTGCATGTCGACATGCATCCGGCAGCTCCAAATGCTGTTTAGGCGAATGATCCGCGCGCCCCAACCGCAACGGCTGCACCGAGATATTCATGATTATTCGCACCTCATCCCTGATTCCCAAAGTGACAGCTCGCTCAGTCAGGTCAAAGTCAGCCAAAATCCATTCTACAAGTAGACGAGTTAATCTTGCTTGAGATTGTATCGCAATTAAGGAAATGGTGAATGGATTGATAAAATTATAGCATATCGAAAGAAACTCAACTCCTGTGGTGGGCGATTTCGCTACACAGTTATTGAAAAGTCTCTCGTGTGGCCTTTCATCATGTCTACAATTCATCCCACAGAGGCCAGTGACATAGGTGTCTTGCACGCACGCACTAACCACCGTAAGCGTACGACATGGCGACATCCATATCATCCCAAGCCATTTCCGCGGCTAAAATTGGCTGGTGCTCTTGGTCGAAGAAAAAAGGCGTAAACTCTAAAGTCTGCCTAGCTACAACGAATCGAATTCCAGTGAACTAGCAATAACGCCTAGCCAGATTTCTGTTCCTCCTTGGCCTCTCATTACTGAACTACTTGACGTTTCTTCTCCCGCACTGAAAGCGACATCCCAGGAAAGGCGCACAGAGCTCAAATGAGTTGAGGGGCTAGTCGATCTTGTTCCATCAGCCGCATCGTCTGATCTCCGCCCACAGATTCCAAAGATGCGAGTGGTCCATCGTACCCATGTTCAGTTCCCTGCACAGCCCGCTCGCCAAACCTCCACGTTGCATCCTGGCTAGCCAGCCTTTAACTACTTTCTTCACGAAGCCCGTCAGCCGTCAATCGCCGTTATGGATATCGCCTGTGATTGCATTCCGCACCCCAGCTTCTTGGAGCTGATAGGCAAACAAGACCGCAGTTGGCACTGTCAGCTCAGTACGCCAACCAACCAGCGAGAAAGGCCAGTTTTCTTCCCCGCAACTGCATGTTACTCACTCCAGCCACTTGTTACGATGAGGCCAGAAGATGTGATCCATGACAGGCGCTTTCGCCAGTGTGATCGAACATGTTTGGACTTTTTTACGCCCAACCTACCCGCAACTCTAAACCCAACCGAAATAGGTGTTGGGCTTACTCGAAGCACTCGTCTCCGATACCTTAGCAAAGCGGCGCTTGCTTCTCTTTGATAGGATGTCGTTGAAACGAGGCTGGCGGGGAAGGGTTCCAAACCCTCACTACAAGGTGGTTTGGGCCAGGAAAACCTGGAACAGTCTTCCCCCCCCGACCCATACACGGTAGAGTCGTCAGCTTGCGCGAAACTAGGCTCTGCACGCTATGAGGGGGGTTGGCCTTGACTTCATCATCCCATTTGACGAGACGGGTACTGTTTGCAACACCAGCACGTCCCATCTCCAGGTTTTCCTATCGACCAGAGTCTTCTACAGTCATTGGATCGGAGCAAGGGCCGATCGTCAACCCCATCAAGGGACAGTCATCTGGCAACATGGCGCTTGAGGAAAGGTGGCTTCTAGCGCTTCTAGAGTCGCGATTGGTGGCGCTCACACCTCTCATCATCTACTATTTTGGGGTTGGTTTGCGGCTCGAAATAGTTTTGACCCAGTCTGCGCCATACAATGTCACCTTGCGGCTTTCTTGATATTGTAGGCTCGATGACATGATCGAGCATCAGTTGTTTTTCTCCCTCTGACTCTTTCCTTTGCAAGGTGGAAGGCGACGTTTTACCCGAGAGACTCATCGTTATTCGCCTTCATAACGTGTCTGTTTAGGGCCGAGTCTGAGCCTCTAAGAGGTATGTAGACGAGCCATTGTGGGTGCAGGGCACAAACGCAGACTCGCCTTCACAGCATCTGATGTGGCCTCCCCCACGTATCCGAGCCAAATGAGAACCTACCTGTTGTTCATAGGCATCGTAGAAAGGCAAAATAATGTCATCCCAAAAGTGACATTAAACTAAACATCATCTCTCGAACCCTTGCCGTTGGCCCGATCGAAAAACATGACCCCCAAGCCGGCTTCGCGTCAACCATTCCCTCCCCCCTTCCCCCCTGACCAGCCCCTTCTCAGCCAGCCTCCCGTTCCTGTTCCTCTGCTCAAAAGCCAAGTCTACTGCAGCCCCTCAGGAGTGACTCCAACTGGCTGCCCATACATGCATACTCGCAACCATCACCGAGCTGCCTTTTAAATACCCCCGACGTGAGATCGATGCAGCTACCTCGCCGAGATAGCCGACGAGTTACCAACACCTCAGCTCCGGAAGAAGATACATATACATGGTTGATATTGTTCCGGCTACGCCCGACTTCGGGCCAATTTCCCATTTCTCTCGTCAACAGAGACTTGGTTCCATCCGGACTTTTGGTTCCCACGGCTACTTCCGCCATAAACATCAAGCGAAGGGCCAAGTATTGGCTTATCTCAGCAACTCCTTGAGGATGGACGGGGTTGCTCTTTAGTGATTACTGTCCTAAAGTGAGACTCAAGGTGTCCTCTGTTTGACGGATTTAAAATAGAGGTTATGTTAGTTTGCCATGAAGCGTCTGAGCAGGAATCTGGGTTCGAACAAGTAACAGTTTCAGTGGATGGCTTCGATGTGTCGGGTCGTCTTTCCCCCACAAGCTCCAAGGTGCGATGTTCAGGAAGCAAGGAATGGAAAATTATTTTGAGTACTTATTCAAAATTGCCATGTAAAATTAGCACATACGACCATACCCACTGGAAAACTCGGGATCCCGTCCGCTCTCCCATAGATAAGCCAGTGAGGGCCGGATTAGTAGTTGGGTCGGTGACGACCAGCGAATACCTGGTGTTGTATGTTTATTTCTTTTGCTTTTTTTCCCCTTTTTAATCAACTCACCACCTTCCCTGAAAGTCTACCAAGATTTGCTACTTCGTTTCTTTTGGTATTCAAGTATACCGGCGGGCGTGATTGGCCTAAGTATACGTACGTTGTGATGACTGTAGTATAGAACTAGCCCAACACAACCAAGGTTGAACTGCTTATTAAATCACTATACGCCAAACAGGGTAGTCAAGCTGATAGACTAGGTGTAACATCGAATCAGCTTCGTCGGCTGCTTCACTTTCTTTTTACTCCTTCATTGGTTCTTTCGGGTCTCGCTGAATGCATCATACTCTGAGTTTCTTGACGCATTACATGCCTTGGCAAAATTCAGGCGCATTCCATATAAGCTTGTCGAACGAAGCCCGGGCACTTGTGTTAAAAGGACCCAGCTACATGAACAACTTCTTCGTGGCAGCTGTAGAATGACTCGCGAACCTCTCACTGCGGAATCTGGTCGTTAAGATGCTTATTAATCCTGTTCCCAGAAATACTCTTTTAGTCCCAAGGACTAGGCTGATTGCAAGGTCTTGTGCCAACCTTGCTTAGTAGGGTTCTGATTGTTGTCTTATACACGTTAAAATTTACACACTCAGGTTCGATCTTCGTCTACTTCCACCGTCTAAAGGGGTGCGCCTCAGTATTAAACACAAACTCATCTAGGCTCACTAGCCCCGGCTCGCTGAAGATGAGATAGAAATACTTTAACGTCTCGCCCATCCAGAACGACTCCATCGAGTCTGCTGCTGGTGGCTTATCCTTAACTGTGACGTCCCATACCGCCGTGTTGGCCAGCTCTGTACTCGTCATGTTGTCAATGGCCGTCCACATGTCCCACGCGGACTCTCGCAACGCCTCATGTGCTGTTGCGCGATACATCACGAACACGCTCTCAATGGCCTCGGGCCTGAGGATGTATCTCTTGTCCGGCACAGCAGAGAACCCTTCAACAAGGCGCTCATCGCGAATGATATCGTCCGCGGACCGGTTTTCATCGTCATCATCGCCCTTGCCTGCGCGCTGTAGCACATGTTTTTTCCACAGAGCCTCGTCCCACGCACAGGAGGTGGAAACGTCTTTCGATGGGCAAGGGACCATGTAGAAGGTCTCGGGCATGACGCCATGCGGGAACGCGCGGTAGGCATACACACATCCATCTACAAGCCTCCGCGCTAGGGACACCTGGTCCTCATGGTTGAAAAGCTTGCCTCCAAGGGCCATGAGCCCCCCCATGAAGCAGACGAGGTGCTGCCCCTGAGGCTCGAGCTCGATGTGCCGAGACTCCGGGTCAGATTCGGATGCGCGCGAGTGGACCTGGCCTGCGATGAGTATATCGTCGCCGCCCGGTGTCATCGGACGAAAGAGGTTGTGCTCGATAGCTGGCGCTATAGCGGCCTCATACATAGACTTGTACATTGGGCTGCGACCACCAATGAGGGCCGCCATCTTGGGAAGATACTCATAGAGAGAGTCAGCCATGGCTCCGAGAGTAAAGTCGTCACCCTTGTAGAAGATTTCCTTCTCTGGGTCCACAACGAGGGGCCACATGCCGGGCAGGTTCGTCCTGTTCTGCTGCGCTTCAAATAGCTCCATAATGCGTTGTGTCGCATCCCACCACTTTGGGTCACCTGTAAGTACAGAGAGTCGTGTGAACTCCATTGAAAGGCTTCCAATCTCGGCGACAAGCTCACCGCCCGAGATTTTCTGTGCCACGCCTTTTGCGGCATCACCAACTTTCCAGCGCGTTATGGGCATGCGGTTCGGTGTGTCAAAGGCCTTGTAAAGCATCTCGCCAACTTCAGCCGCCTTTCGGAGCAGGCGGACATCGCCGCTCAGGTCAAAAGCTGAGAGAAAGCCGCCAAGATATCGGATGTTCGTTTCGAAGACATTAATCTCTTCAAGATCAGTCTTTGTGAAGTCGATAGTCGCTGCGGCTGCTACGGCGTCAGAGAACTCATTTTTCATATCCATAATCCAGAGTGTATCTAGCGAGTCAACCAGCGTCGCGGCCCAGCCACCGAACGTGTTGCGCCGCCCACCCGAGATAGGTGTGAGTTCATCAGAGAGCCATGCGTGCTCCCGGTATGACGCCCACGCCTTAGAGAAGGACTCCTTCACTGCCTGCTGGCGCTCCTCGCGCACGCGACGCTGCGTGCTCGTCTCTGGTGGAAATTGAGCCTGAACCTGAGGAAAGCGGACAGAGGGGGGGATGGGGAGCTGTCGAAGGGGCTTGGGGGCTGGATGGTGGACCTTGACCGTCTTCCAAAAGTACAGGTCGTCGGCTTCTGTCTTCCATTCTATGGGTGTCGGCAGGAGGACCGATGAGGATAACGATGATGGGATCGAAGGAAGGCCACCGTCGTTGTGCAAAAGGATGAGAAGTAGGAGGGAAACGGGGAGACTCAGGAGGAGGGTGCCTGGCATTTTTCGTCGCACCAGAAGCATATTTGCATATCGCGTGTGTGTACTGGTATCTCACGAGGACCCAAGACGTAGCAAACATCTACCTTTGTAGGAAAGAGGCAATTTTTAGAAGTGCTTCTTTATTGTCTTATGTTCCAGGCTTGCTCAACATTACTATGTTGTGACGGGAGCCTTTGGCGGATTTCTGTGTTTGTCGACCTCTTTCGTTGAGGACTGGGTTATGGTGTGTCCTCTCAATTCTGTTTGCTTTTGAAAATCCTCTTATTCGTCACTCCACCGTTACAAGAAGAAGGGAAGGGGGGGCGTCCTGGGCATGATAATATGCATAAATGGTAGCGCCAAAACCTTTGGCGCTGCCACGGCTAGCCATGCGCCCAGATGGTGTCCACCCACTTTCAACTTGCTTTGGGTATCTTGGCGGTTAATCGCAACGGTCCAAAGCAAAGACAAAAAGACCTGGAACGGAGGAAAAGTCACAACCCTGTCGTAATCGTTGCCGCCTGCAACGATAGCGACGGTCAACTGTGGGGTGTGTAATTACTTCAGCTCAGTTCGGCGTTGGCTTTAATTGCTGAACTAGGAGTCGTGGACAACTCAGTCTTGAATTATGTCATCTTCGTTCTGTTACTTTGGCTTCCGTCACCAGATCAGGTCTGGTACCACAGGCAACCCATTGATTATCCACCGGATTGCAGAGCCTTGATAGGGGATTATCGTGTATAAGCCTCGAGACTGCCAAAAAGGAGCGAGCAAACGCATCGAGACCGCCCTCAGGGAAGGGGCGCGCACATGGCGACATTTTAATTTCTCTCGGGTGCAGCTTAACGGGCCGTACCGTCCCATCGAAGTGGAAAGCCTGCTCACCGCCAACTGCAATTGGTGGAATACCCTTGTTAGCCTCAGTCCATCGACACGGGGTTATTTAGCCGTCCTATCACAGCATTGCAGGGTGACAACTAAAATCTCAAAACAACAGTCTATCTGGGGGCGAAGAGGCAACATTACACTCGTAACTTCCCAACGATGACAAACTAACTGGAAAGCCATGCTTAAGAGCTGACCAACGTCTAGGCAATAAACAGAGCGGGTTAGGGATTCGTCTATGTTGGGTTTAGCCGAAGGCTACCGAGGACGGCGCCAGCCGATAAGTAATGTGAGTGCTGGCAAGGATGAGTTGGTTTATCATGCGCGCGCGCGTGCGCGCGTGGGTGTGTCTTTGTTACATACTACGCATGGTTATCCCACCTGATGTAGATTGACTAGGGTCAAAGTACTCTACTTCCACCTTATGCCTCGGGTTCCTAGCTGCAACCGCAGCTATTACGCAGCTAGTCTGACGGTTTCCTCCCTTTAAAATCATCGAAGTGTTCACCCCTAAGATAATACATCTCTTATCCTTACGTCCTCTCAGGTTATAAGCTGCCTGTACAGCTAGAATTGCGCGTGTCTCATAACGACATGTGCCAGGCGATTAGTGAAGAATTATAAGAGGGGGGGAGAGCGGAACTTACAAAAGGACTCTTCACCGAGTAGTTGTAAAGACTCCCCATTTTTCTCGTTGGTTTGCATGGACACGGAGATTGATAATAGTATGGCGGCAGTTGAGTTGCCAACCTTGAAGACACAAGAGAAAAAAAAGTATTGCAGTATAAATACAGTGCAGAAATGGGCGAACTAAATGGCTGGGGCATGGCTAGTCACTTTCCACGGCAGGCAGAAAGTTTGGCCAATGAGTACCAATAAGGCCTGAAGCGCGAACCGTTACTGTAATCCTTGGTAGCGTTAGGTACAACATGATGCTCAGTTGAGATATGTAGAACGTTGGTAAGAAATGCCTATTCAAGGTGGCGAATGGTTGAGTCTCATGAATTTCACCATTATGCCGATCTAGCTCACAATTTTTCAGGCTTGGATGAGAACAAGACCATATGCTGCGAGATTAATACCGTTTCGTTTGAGTGAAGCGCAAAGGGGGCAAGAAACAGTTGTTTCGGCGTAAAGCACCAAGATCTCAATGACAACGGTGGCTTCGGTAGCACGGAGGACTATGCTGGGCATATGACGCCGTCCGCCACAGTGTTGGAGCACATGCAGGTATAACTACTAGCCCAGTCTCAGAGATGAGACGGAACAGTGATGACGGTGGACGGAAGAGCCTCTTGTTTCCGGCGTCAGAGAATGAAGAGGGACTGGAGTCAAGTACAGCCCATCCATCACTCAGCTTCGCAGTCCCTCGCTCAAAGTCTGACCGCATGGTAGGCGCACATATTTAACACGTCCTTATAAAGTTCAGTTGGCAGTACTCGGCCGAGTGTTTCGATGACGCTGCGCCCCCGGCTAATCTTTGGACGGCATCAATAAGTGGCATGCGGCTCACAAAAGTTCCTGCTGCAGTGGACAACTTGTAAATGAAACTTGGCGACTCCAAACCTCGAAGCTGAGGCGTGCCGTAGCGCATGGTGCCCTGCCTTGGACATGGACAGGTGCAACAAACTTACTGGCGAGTGGATGGGCTGCACTATGTGGGAAGTAGTCGCATGGAATCAGGCGGTTTATTGAAAAGAAAAAAAAAGAAAAAACAAGAATAAAAAAGCTGGTATAATGAGCACGGAGTAGCTTGTCATCAAATTACCAAACGGTAATATGATCAATGAATAAAAAACGGGTTGATTTAATGTTGAAAGTTACCAAGCCAGACGCCATGCTTTGCTGATGCCCTGAGTCCCAATAACTGTGATTCCGCTGACGGAAAATGCAAGACTCAACACGCTGAAGAAACCAAAGGACATCATAAACAATTTTACTCTGCCTCCGGGCAGGTTGCAAAACCTTACGCTTTACGGTTTGCTGTCGATCACCATTTGCGCCTAGGCAATTGCTGTATGGACTCGACAATAAGACCTAGTATCTATACACTGGGTCTTTCCTCTTAGGAGTTGACTCGTATATATCATCATCAGAGTCCTCCCGTGGTGCCTCCCTGTGATTCCTAAGGTCGACAGTGCTGATTGGATTGCCATTCAAAGGGCCAGGCGTTGTGGCGGCGTCTGCGCCATGCATAGTCACCTTGCCTAAGGCGCTATCTTGTCTTCCAACATAGCTCGGTGTGGGGTTAAAGCCCGGGTGGTACGGATCAAAGGCTAAACGCGGTTCCTCGCTTGGCAGTTCGACCGCACTGCCCGACCCGCCGGCTTTACTTGGGGAAGAATGGTAGTTCTCCGGTTGAGGGTCTCTGAAGGGGTCCTCAGCAGGAGGTTCTGGATGAGCCTTTGGCGGAGGTCCTGGGGGTGGAGCAAATGACTCGGCTGCTTTTCCCTTCCCGTTGTTATCATTGGGCCGGGATGGCAAAGGAGGGGCCGGTACCAAGCTAGGCGACGACGACTGTGCCTGCTGCCACTGCTGCTGCTGTTGTCTGTCCACATGTTGGCTGGTAGCCGATTGGGGGCTGGTAGGGCTGGCGTTCTCTGACCGTGCGCCAATTCCGAGCTGCTTACGGGCACCGAGGACTGCTCTTTGGTGCTGGTTGAGTGCGGACTGAAGCTGTTCGTTTGTATCGATCAAGTTCTCCATCGTGTCGTTATCCGGGGATGGGTTCTCGGCCCTCATGTACAATTGTATGCTTCTCGAAGCACTCTGGCATCTGTCGGCGAACTCCTTGATTAGATCGTTGTTGAGCACCTCTTGTGGAGGTGTATTGATGACAACTTGTGATAGTAGCTTGGCGGAGGTCCTAGCCTCTTCCAGCCGACTCGCTAGCTCTACAGGGCTCGGCAAAGTCGGGTTGTTGTGATGACGGGCAAAGTAGTTTTGCGAATGAGGATCAAACGGCGGCGCATTTGCTGTCCGCGGTTCGGGATGTGATGGCATTCTAGGATGCTGGCAAAACATGTCAGTTGAGAAGATTAAAGTGAGGGTACGGGGGAGGATGACCCTTACACCGTACTTATTGTAGCTGCGCTCCTTCTCCTTTTTCCACATGGATATCACCTCTCCCAGACCTTGGTCGTCGATCTTCGTCATCTCGAAAGTGTCCAGAGTCTCTACGATCATCTGCTTAACACTGGGGTCGCGTGTTGAACGGAACAGGTCCTTGACGGTGTCGGCGAATTTCTTGTCCATATTGCGTGTGAAGGTTGGGCCGGGGTTGTCGGTCAAGATACGGATCAACATGATGGCGTTGTATTGCCAAGAAGCCTTTCCCATGTAGTCTTTTGATAGGTATTTCCGGATGATGCGGGCGCATTCGGCGGCGGCGATCGGGGAGGACTCGGCGGCCTCGACAATAGGTGGTAGATGGAGGACGTCGTCACCCTGGAGTTCCAAGTCAGTGAGCGTGGATGTGGACAAGGAATTAAGAAGTTGCCGTGGACATACCTGGGCGTTTGGGCCCCCAGACTCGCAAAATTGTTTCTAGCAACGGAGTGAGCCATGACAGCTGGTCTAGAGGAGTCGGGACTCACGAACCACGCTACGAGCCGCGATAGCTTCGGGTGTGTCGTTCTGCGGGTCCGGCGCTGATACCTCACCGGGTCCACTGAAGCCTGCGGAGGGATGCCGATCAGCACCTCTATCGCGATATGGATGATTCTCGACGCGGTGGGGGGCGGAAGCGGAGCGTTCTCACTCACCGGTGGCTGTTCGCTTTTTGATGGTGCTCATCATGCGATTTACGCTGAGTCCCTTCATGGCCTTCATTTTCGCGATCGGAGACAGCTAGGGCGCTTTGATCGAGAGTAGGTGCTTGAAGCCCGAAGTTTAAGGGTCAGGGACGGTGCACCAGAGGGTCAATCGGTACTGAAGGAGATAATAGCGATAGGATGGAATACAGATGGCACGTTGCGGGAAAAGCTGTCCCGAATGAGCCGACGAGAGAAAGAACAGACACAGTTGACAAAGGTCTGTGTTGGTGCTCCGCAGCTCAAGTGCGAATGCAGTTGTGATAGTTGTGCAGCAGTTGGTAGAGTCCGTGGCAGGCAGCGACGGGTAGAAATTGGTTTTGTTGCAGAGAAATGCGCAGGGCCTGTCGAGCTGCAGCCTGGAAGTGACGCTCGGAGGGTAGGAATGGCCAGACGAACTGGGGAGTTATTTTAAATTAAACCTCAGCCTGGCGTCCCGCGCTGGTCCACGGGGTCCTCCAAAGTGTGACTATGTGCGTGCGTGTTGGACTAATTACGCAGTAGACCGATGGAGGCGATTTGGCGCGGGGTGAAGGCCAGTCAAAGTCACTCTACCTTAGCTTTCTCAGAAGAGACTGGGCCAGGGTACTGATGAGGAGTCTGGCAAGGGTCGCGGGGGCCGGATCGGTGTTTCTGAGTCTGAGCCTCCTGTGAATTGCGACGGCAGAAGCGCTCACGTCTTGCGTGTCCGTCTCAAATAACAATTTTGAGCTTGGAAGAAAGATAACGAAGGGGAGAAGAAAGAAAAGAAATAAAATAAAATAAAATAAAATAAAATAAAACGGAAGCTTGGGAGAGACTCGATGTCTTGTTTTTTCCCCGTTCCTTTCTTAAAAACTGAACAATTAACCGGCTGATAATCACCAAATTGCACAGCATAGTTCCCGGAACCAGAGCACCAAGATTGCCTGTGCCTTGCCGCGGTACATTCCCTCTTTTTTCTCTTTTTTTTTTTTTTTTTTTTTTTTTTTCTTGGCGAGCTGGCGAGGTGCTCCGTCGAGACTGGTGCAAGCATTACGACGACTTGGAGGCAAAGTGATGCTTGGAGGAAACGGCGGTAGGCAGGGGCTCCTTGTTTAAGGTTCAGATACGTACCCGAAAGGTATCTGTGATCGAGACCAACTAACAAATAATGGCAGACAGTTTTCGTCCAACATCGAGAGCACGCCTATCCTTGGACTGTTTAAGAATTGATGTTGTTGCTCCAGTTCTATCGACACACACATCAATCCCTTAATAGTGTTTGCATTCTGTTGTGCACGGAAAACCAAACATCTTACAAACATTGCAAGAACCGCCGTTGCCTCAATCAGAGACAGCCCCCGTTTTGATGTATGCGGCTTGGGTCCACGTATATTCATGGCATAATTCAGGGTCCTCCTCCACTCATTATCGGATGGCATGGTCTGCCACAGTAAAAAAAAGTACTCGACTTTATTTGAGAGGAAGCCCAAGTCTAGATTTGGACTGGGACCAACACCCTCAGTTTCTTTTTCTTCTGCCGCTTCTCTTCCCGTCACCGTCCGATCTTCATGTCTCTGTTCCCGTCTTCCCTCATCACCTCTGTCGGCAAAGTCCACTTCTATTCACTACCCCGCGGCTTCGTCAGCCAAGTCACTTATTGCACAGCCTCCTTTTTCCACGCAAGCACTTACACCCTCACTAGAACTGACCACTTACGTATCTATCGACACCGCCACGAGACCTGCAGCATACACCTTTGGCACTTCTTTGTGGAGTTCCAAGACGCCAGCGCCTGTAGGCCACGCAAATCAATGCTATTAGCGCCCCGCGACGCTGCATCACCAGATTCCCTCAATCCCTCAGCCCCGGCTTGCTTCACGACACTTAATCTCACTTACCCAAGGCACCTTCTGCTGGATGCTTTCGGCGACAAGTACCCTTGATTTCGGCGCAGAGAACTATGCTCAATAGCACAGCCAAAAGTTAAATCGATTCACAGGCCGTTATTACTTGTCATTTTACCGCTGTGGATACATAATGTTGTAGTGGGCCTAATCTATGAACTGGTTCATCAAAGCTCGCTTGATCAGATGTCCTGATTCTCTACTATCTGAACAGCCGCGCCATCTAAGACGAATAATCCTCACCCTCGTCCGAGTCGACGTCTGGCGACACATCTTCTACGATCAGGTTTCCTGACCGCCCAATCTTTTGACCCATAGTCTCTTCTTTACTGGGCTCGTAAATGATCCGGGGCATGATTGACGCAATCCGGAATTGGTACTGATGCTCATAGCCTTCGGGCTGGATTGTGCCCTTCTCCTTAAGGTTATCTGATGCTGCCAGAAGGTCGTAGCACTCCACGAAAGCGTACAGTGCTTCTATAGTGGTGTCACTGCGAAATCGGCGCACTATTCTGCCAGCCCCAGTTGATTCGGGCATCTTTAGCGCAATTCGCACAATATCTTTGCTGCTGGCTGGCGGTTCGTCTTCGATCGTCGTCGCCCGCCATCGTCTCCAGTTCTCACGCTGCCCCGCCAGCTTCGCCGCAGCCTCCGCCTCCTCCTCGGCTTTTCGAGCCGCCTCTGCAGCTGCCTTCTCCGCCTCGCGTCGCTGTCGTGCTCTCTCCCTGTCTTTGGCCAGCGAGCGCTCATAAGCAGAATCTTGCTCGTTCCTCAAGTTTCGCGCCACTTCCTGTGCGGTCCTTTCCGCGCGTACGCCAGCCAAGTCCGCCGCATATTTGTTAATTGCAGCCTGTGCTTCCGACAGATACGTAGACGCCGGCATGGGCCCGGCCAATCGTTTGATAATACTCATTCTGGTGCTTCCCTCCTTAGGCGTCAGGCACACGATGGCTGAAAAGGGGTATTTAGTGCAGTTGTACTCCTGCGCAACTTGATAGGCCTCTGAGTCCAAGATGTTCCCGCCCCACAGTATGATGTTGTTTGCAGGGTCAGATATGAAACTAATGACATCTGGAGCCAGAAGGGTTTCTCGCGCAAACGATTCCGTATCGTCGTGTTCAGGTGACATGAGAACGACCAGCAAAAACTTGAGGTCCTTCTTGGCCAGGTCCTGGGCCTGTGCGATTCCTCCTTCGAACCACGGAAGCTCTGTGCTGCCATACTCTTCCTCAAACTCCCGCTTGAACCGCGCGGCGGTATCGCGCGGCATCAGCATGCGACGGCCATTAGTGCTCCTTAGACCGGTCCCTGGCCCAGCTGTAATCGCACGTGGCCTGAGCTGTCGGGGGAGGAAACTAAGAAGGTAGAAAACAGTGCGGAACACCTTGGACGCAATGCTGTAGCCGATGCTGAAAGGTGCCAATAGCAGTCCGATAAGAAATGGTGGTCGATGGACCGTATTCGGCTGGGGAACGATCCGCGGTGCAGGGTCCGGCCGGTCTCTTCGAGGTGGTTGCGTTTGACCTGATGAGGCGAGCAGGCTTTCTTGGAGGTTCTCATGCCGCGCTGCTGTTCGAGGTATATCTTGCGCCATGGCTTCAGCGACCAGGTCGGGCCCTTCGCCATCAAAGAACTTTGCAATAGCAATCTGCAGGCAGGACAAATATTAGCCAAGTTCACAAGCCAAGGTACGTCTGGTTCGGTAGGGGAGGACATACCTGGACGTTCCACTGCGATCGCTGTAGCAGCGGTATCGCATCCTTGAGTTCTTGGTTCGTAACTTGAGTGTATTGTTGCAACGCCTCCTGCTCACTTGCGGACAGCTGTCCCAAGTCGAAGTCCTCATTGTCCGCCATGGTGTGGAGAAAGTCGCGTCTTGTGGTTTTCAGTAACGATTCAGCAGTCCATGTGAGGCAGGTCTTCGGTAGCGGGCGGGTTTAGATGGCAAGACTGTCGCGATGATTATCCTCGCCAGCTGATAGTTAGCAGCTATATCATTCATACGGCTTTGGCCGAACAATGAAAGACGAAGTGTTTCGGCGCAAAAGCAACAGTAAGTTCAATAGTAGAGGAAACAAAGTCAACGGACGAGCCTGAGGGGTAGTCCAAAGGGCCAGAGAGGCTGGGGCACGGTAGAGTAAGCGTTATCGGTGGCTTCGGCTAGTCGAATGAAGCGGAAGACCGTCTGAGGTGCGAAATGGTCCACCTGCCACAGTCGACTTGACGTCTATGAAGTATAGGTGGTCCTGTGACGACACTTGTGTGGGTGGAGGCGAGAAAGGAAGCGAAGTACCTGGCCTCATACCTTGCACCTTCTGGTAGGGGTACTTGCCTTTCCAGATCGGACAACCACTTCTTCAGACGCCTTTCACGCAGGGCACCTCAAGGGGGGATTCCGCGTCTGCAGACAGCCGCGTTAGGGACGCTGCACACGTGTTAACAGGCCTTATCTCTTATCGCAGTTCCTGACTAGATGGGCTGGCCAAGTGCATGTCCCGGATACTGCAATATCTAACACGAGCCCCGATGTAGCTTGGGTTCGACTTCTGACGTAGCAATAGCAGGCATTGTCTGAAGAATCTTTTTTGATTATGCTCGAAAATTAATGTATCTATACTAGGGTTGGATGGCTAAACTACCAGTCAAGCCATTCAAGTCTCATACGCTCATCAATTCGAGATGTCGATTAGAACACACTTGGTGTAGACGGTTTCGATGCACTGCGTTGACCTCGGATCTTCTTTGAGTGACATACTTAATTAACATTTGCCCCGTGATCCCATTTTCTGGGCGGCAAACTATGTAGACATGCCCATCCGCAGAGGGGTTAGTGGTCATTCCAGGGCTAGGTTTCCTGGTAAAGAGCAAGAGAGAGAGAAAGTGTTTGTTTTGAAGGAGGGGGAGGACGGGCCGCCAACCTAGGCAGAATGGGACATGAATCAGTTCTGATGCACTTAGCGAATGCCCATTCAAGTTAGGTGGAGACAAGGCTGGGTGCTGTCTCCGTCCGTTGCTTCAGCGTGTGCGTATGTGCCCTGAGGGGAGCCAAGTGGGCTGGCTGGCTCGCACACTCGCAGTGTGCGACACCTTGATCGCAATTTTGGTACCCCTAGTTAGGCGTTGTGTCATCAATCCTCCCCCGAAATGGGCACTCGGCTCCTCTTCCAGTCAAGTTCCCTGAGCATCTGCTTTCCCGGCTTCGACGCCGTACCAATCTCCCACTGCCCACCACCGTCACAATTTCCCGCCTAGGAGACCCGGGCTTGCATCATTGTCTTTCCCACCACTACCATTCTACCATAGCCCGTCGCTGCCTCCGCCGCCGCCGGCGGTCTCCCTCCTACTGTGGACTACAGACCTCCTTCCAATCCTTTTTCTTCGTCTTCCTTGTCGCGGCGCGCTCGTAGATTGTCTTGTTCCCCAGCCCGCCATCCCTCCAACCTCAACTCTCACCTGTCCCACCCGTCACTTTACATCATTTATCTACATCTATCTCTGCGCCCAAACCGCGGCCGGCCTCAGTTTCGCCCGTGTCGTGTTCATGACCGAGACGCCTACCCCACCAAAACTGTTCGAAGCATGGGAAATGTCTGCAAGGATCAAGTGCGTTTGGCCAAAATTATTCTTGTCCCCCCTCCGTCTTCGTGCCAGCCCCACGCGAGCTCCAGTCCTACCACTTCCCATCCTCGCCCGCCTTTGTCTCCCCCGCCCAGCCCAAAGCCCAGGTTCCACGTCCAACGCGCGCGTGTTTAACCACCACCACATGGAACTGACCCCGACGACGAGACGATGGGCTCTGGATTTGGCTGACTCTGTGTAGACGTCGTAGTGTCGACCAAGGGGACGAACCTTTCATCCACCGACTGTACTGATCATGGCCACCTCGCGATACCCCCAGTCCGACCTTCGTCGACAAGTTGGGTCGCCAAAACCCAAAACCCGAGGCGAGTGGACGCGCACACCCACCCCGTCCGAGCTGCGCAGTACAGAATAGCTGACTCTCCGTCAATTGACTCAGAGAACAAAGATACACAATGCCGAAACGTGCTGATATATGGTCACTGTCGATACGAGAATGCCGGCTGCGCTTTCAACCATGACCAAAATCGATCCAACTCAGTCCAGAATAGCCCAGGAGGCCAGAGCAACCAGTCAGACTTGTAGGTTACCCTTCGCTCCGAGATGCTCTGTCTTTTGTTTTGGGAATGCTGGATCCTTGCTTTCCCTCGTTGCCAATTCTTCGAAAACTATCAACAACGCTCCTAGCATCTTGGGATCCTGCTGGTGGAACGACAAGAGGTGCATAATAGTAGATTGGCGTGGCATAGTGCTGCGGTCGCACACCTCTGATGCATATGCTGCGAATAGTCTCGCTTGTTATTGCGAGGCATATACACCTATTGTTGTTGCGTTCAGGAAAGATGCAGTGCGTAGAGGACAAAACCAGCCAGGAGTCAGGCTCGGTTATGAAGTGCCCTGTAGTAAATCGGGGGTTTCGACCTATCATTTTATGGGGGATTTGGGCCCTAGGACATGAAGCCTTGTAACCCAAGTCGGTCCGAACATCTTCTGGAGATTCCACGTTGAATATTCCATACAAAGACATGGAGTACTGACGAGGAAACCAAGCGGGGCTTAGCCGTTGTGCAGTCATGGCTCAACTTTGTTCCTTCATCTGGCCGCTTAAGCTTTCAGCTCGCGTTCAAAAATGTTCAACAAGTATGGCTAACAGACAACCAAATATAGTTCAAGAAAGACACTCAATGTCGATTCACCCTCCTTCACCCCGGCCGGTCTGCCTTCGGCCGCATCCCCAAGTTCCAACGCCATAGGTGCTCCTTCAAAGAAATCGACTTTCTCATCCCAAGCTGCAAGCGCAGCCGTCTTTACTCCAAGGGGAGCAGGCTGTAAGCTGCATGAAGAATATCATTTGGCGGGCTTTTGACTAATGCCATGTTTAGCTGCAACGCCTGCTGCCCAAGAAAGTGAATCCTCGTCAACTGTCTTTAACCCTGCAACCTTTCGAGAATTTACGCCTCAGAATTTTGAATTAAGTACCGGTGTAAGAAGACCAAGTTCAATGTTGTCTTGTCCAAGCAGGCGTGACTAACAGTCACTCAGATCACCGCTAATGGCGGTGCTCCGGACACCGGGCTCAATTATGACCCCTTTACTATGTCCAATGTTGGCCAAGCATTGCCAGCAACACCATACAATCCTTATGCAGATGACCCAACCGGACTCGCCGGCTCAAGTGCCGCATTTTTCCAGCATCAAAATGCATATACTGCTCCTCTTCAGCCGGTAAAGTATTACGAATTGATTTGTTTGGAAGCCTCTAACGATTGCAGCTTCAATACCACCTCTATGCGCCCGTGGGGCCTTACAGGGAAGATTTGCTCCCTTTTCAGAGACAAGTCCATGACTTTTTCCTTCCTGACAAGCTCCGTGAAGATATGCAACGCAAATCCGAAGCCTTGCAACAAGTCATGCCAAGTGAGTATAACTTCGGACAAGAATGTAGGCAACACTCTAACTTGACATGCAGACTCTACGCTACCACCTTTAGATAACTACTTCTCATTGGTTCCTTTGGATACTAGCCACCGAAAGAGCTCCAGCGTCTTTGGGTACACAACTTGGGTGTACAAGGCGACGTCTTCGAAGAACGGCAGAACTTATTGTCTCCGAAGACTTGAAGGTATGCGCCGAGTACCGATGCTTTTTTTCTTCAACTGACGTAAATAGGCTTCCGGTTGACGAATGAGCACGCCATTCGCTCAGTCAAAGAATGGCGGCGACTGAACAACGGCAACGTGGTGACAATCCATGACGCTTTTACCACTCGAGCATTTGGTGACAGCTCTCTGTTTTTCGTGCAAGACTACCACCCTCTTTCGAAGACCCTTGCGGAGCTGCACTTTCCCCACGCTGGTACGGCCCACGCCAACCGGTTCGCCGCAAAAACACCCATTGCAGAAAGTGTGTTGTGGGGTTACGTCTCACAAATAGCCAACGCTTTGAAAGCCATCCATGCCCTGAACCTTGCCGCTCGATGTCTCGATATGAGTAAGATCATAGTCACTGACAAGAACCGCATTCGTCTGGGGGCCTGCTCTATTTTGGATGTCGTGCATTTCGAAGCCCGCCGTCCAGTCCAAGAGCTACAGCAAGAGGATCTGATTCATTTTGGCAGACTGATACTGTCGCTGGCGACTAACACGCCGCCAAACCAGCTGACTAACCTGCCACCGAGTCAGCTCAAGGGTCTGATCGAACAAATGAGCCGGGCCTACTCGAAAGAAATAACCGATACCGTATTGTGGCTTCTGACACCAGCACCTCAAGGCGCGACGCCGAAGGGAATCGAAGAGTTTGTGAGGGGCATAGCAGTTCATATGGTTGCCACACTGGATGCTAGCCTGCATGAAGCCGACACACTCAAGTCGGAGCTTTTCAGGGAGTTGGAGAATGGCCGTTTGGTACGTCTTATGGTCAAGCTGGGCGCCGTCAATGAACGGCAGGAGTTTGACGGCGACAGGGCATGGTCGGAAAATGGCGAAAGATACATGTTGAAATTATTCCGCGACTATGTCTTCCACCAGGTCGATGCCAATGGCAATCCGGTTGTGGATATGGGCCACATCATTCGATGCCTCAACAGACTGGATGCCGGTAGCGACGACAGGATCTGCCTTACGAGCCGAGACGAACAAACTAGCTTCGTGGTCAGCTATAAGGAGCTGAAGAAGCAGCTCGGCAACGCGTTTGGAGAGCTGCTCAAGGCAGGAAAAACGTCAGCGGCAAGAGGATTCCAGGGCTCGTCCCACTAGGGGTGGAGAGGTTCAGGTTCCAGTAACAATCAAACTCATAGACATGTCGTTGTGAGAAGTGGAACCCCGGATCTCTCGGGTCCGGAAGACGATATTTGGACCACGGGTTGAACAACAGGAGGCATGCGTGATCTACATGGAAGGATCAATCGTCACATTGGTCTACTGAGGATTTGGAATATGGCTTGATGGTCCGAGACGGGGTTCGTGCTTGGAGGCATGGCGGGGCGCAAATTGGGCAGCACTTGAACGGCCAAAACGTATGGCAGCGAGTTGGGCTCCAGCGACCCGGACACGGGAGACCGATATTAGATATGAGGGGGCTTGTTGAATGCCAGATCCCCCTCTTGTCCCCGAAACGTAGCTAGACGAGGCGACGCCGAGAGAATAGTAACGAACAAACTTCTTTTTTATTCATTCCACTTGTGCGTATTGACATTGGGGCGCTTCAACCACATAGGTCGCAGCAGTACAACGGCCCGGACAGTCATTTATGATGCCGAATGGGAACCCCAACCCATTGTGGTTTATCCTTCTCTTCGTCATGATGTGCGAGGGCCTCTCCCGTAGTTGTCTTCGGTTGGTAAACACATGTGCCAACATGTTCCGATTTATGTCGACTACTGCGGGTATAATCTCGATGCGGTCATGCTGCATATACTGAGCACGACACCATTTATTTGCGTCTCCCTCTCATTGAATATCGTTTCGTTTCCTTTCTTTTCCTTGCTCATTATGAGATCCAACCTATCATTCCTCCTCGGGCTGGGCAAAGGGGTTTGCTATGGGCTCGCTGCCGTCAACAGGGCTGACCAGAACAAGCAGGGTACCACGGGCCACGACAAGGCCGAGGGACCGGGTAGTTTCGTTTCCTTCTTCGTCTGTTGCGAGAAGCATTCATCAGCATCTAAAACAATACATCGACCGGTTGAGAATTTGGTTCGATTTACCTCTCATAACTTCCTGGACCTCGTCCAAGACCAGGTTCATCAAGGCATCGTATCCCTTGAGTGTGCCGGTAACTACATCGCTGTTAGCAGGAGATTCGGAGGCACAAGATGCGAGAACGAGTCTGTAAATCTCACCTTCACGTCCACCGTTGAACTTGACGGTGATTTGTTTGTCCATGTATTTGGACAAGTCTAGGATGTTCTCCTTCTTGGGTCTCTCTCGATCACCGCCGGACCCCTGGTTTCCTCCGCGGTCGCCACCTCCTCCGCGACCTCCTCCTCCGCCCCGGCCGCCGCGGTAGCCACCTCCGCCTCCTCGGCCGCCGCCTCTGTGTGAGCCTCTATCCGCCATTGCGCGTTCGGGATGCGGCAGTGGTAATATTAGGGTTGGTGCGGATTTGTTTGAGTGTTTGCGATCGGCTTGCTATCACAGTCTCGCGCGTGCCAAAGGAAGCCCAATACGATCCGTAATCGTGGCGTGTAAGGGTGCTCGCAGGGGACGAATGAATGGGGTTCAGGTGACGTCGACGAGGATTGCGTATGTCGCTTGCTCGGTGCTGGGTATACTGAGGTCGGTGGAAAAGGAAAATGAGGAAGCTTGAGCTTGGTCCGGGCTGTGGCGGGGCTGGCCCCCCGCTGTCCCGCCCTCCGTGATTGGCGGGGCGCAGTTGGATCACTTTAGGTGAGGTACCTCTCTTCAGGCCTTATCGCCAACAAAACATTATAATTTGAACCACAGGCCTAATATGAACCGACAGGATGAAAATGTTTCAAAGACTTTTTTGATTCCCCGGGCTAGGAGAGTCCTTTCCCTTTGCCCTTCTTCCTTCCTTTTTTCCTCCTCAACTGTTTCCTTAATGTCTCCCAACCTATCTGCATGTGAAGCGGTTTCCAAATCGCCCTCTCACTGAGCATATCGCTTTATAGCTTTATTAGGCCTTATGAGACCCAAGAAGAACTACCTTTCTACCAATAACACGCAGTCGGTCTATCGCCTTACGGCTGCCATAATTGCAATCCAATTCGTCTTGTATTAACCTCGTGACTGTTGAATCCGCAGCAATAGCAGGGTGATTGAAACATCTTGGCGTGAATAGGGTTGGGTCGGTGTCGTTGCAATGCAACTGGGACGATGGTCGGTCGCGGTGTAAGTGAAGACTGGCGAAGGAGCACCAGGTGATTGAACCATACATTCACAATCTCATGTAAATGGCTGGACCTGGTAATCCGAACCACAGCACTACATCACGCACTGTAAAGGGAATGAACAGGCGGACATGTCCAGGATCAGGTCGCCCTGAAATTTTCTTACCTGATCGGGAACATGACGCGTGGTGAGCGATATATTTGTTGTGTTTGGTGGGAGATTCGGTCGTTGTTCTGATTTCCATCATGTCTTGGCACGCTGCTCCGTATCAGCCAGCACCAGCCAGGACAAGCTAAGCTTTACGTCAGGAGCCGGGGTTCGTCGTCAGGAAAGGCAGGGCGCCCGTCCGAGAGGAGAGGCCAGCGGGCGGCGCAAGAGTCAGGATTGCGCCTTTATGCCATCTTACGTAGCGCAATTACGAGGCAAGAGCCATTACGAGTCCTCTGTCATGCTGTGGACGACCACATTGGGTGGACAAGAGAAGTCAATCCAAGCCAAATTATCTGCTGAGCCCTGGCGCGGGATGAGTTCAACTGAAGATCTAACATACCAGGGACCACAAATACACACGCCGATTTACCAAAACGGCAGGACGACTACGAATAGTCTATTATTATAGCTGATGCTCGCGCACGACTATGACGAGTTGTTTCGCCCCAGTGTCACTAGGACCTGCGTAAGAGAAGCTGGGGCTTTTGAATGTCACTTTATTATTTGATTTCCGTCGTGAAAACCGCAAGAGACAATGACAAGACAGGGGAATTGGTTGATAGAAACAAGGGAAAATGGGAACAAGAAAAGAAAAGTCAGAGCAGGGGTTGAGCAAGTTGGCGAACAAATATCTTTGATAATTAGGCATAAGTAAAAGCTTAGCGGGAAAACGCAGATGGCAGCCGTCCTGCCCTAGGACCTGCTTTATTATCGTAGGTGCCAAATTGGCACTTCCTGGAAAGGATAGTTTGAGTAGCCCCCAAATACAGTGGAGGCCTGTAGCCTACGCATGTAGTCATGTAGTGGGAGGGCACTGCCGGGGCACCTTCTGCTTTTCCCTTCCTGGCTCTCTGCACACTGTTTTCCATATCAAAACAGAGTCAGGGAGTTCTGGATGAGAGCTTGATATCTCCATCGCGTCCCGCTCCGTCCGAAGAAGACAGAGTTTCCCAGCGGTTGGGTCTCTGTATTCCTCTACTTTAATTTCTAGAAAAGTTCCATGCGCCTAAGAATTGGTGTCAGGTCCATGTAAGGCATTCCAGCAAGACGGCAATAACATCTGTTTGGCGACGTCTCCTAAGGATACTCCGCCCTTTGTCCGCTCCTGACGTCCGCTGAGACCTGACGGCTGTAAAGACGGGATGTATGAAGACAAGACAATGACTACGTACAAGAAACATCTCAGCGTGGCATGTAAGCAAGGATGAGCAACCTGAGCAACTTGGTTCATCATTCGCTTTCTCAACATATCTCGGCCACTTGGGATTTGCCATGGTGGTGGGTAGATACTCAAATATGGAAGGTGAGCAGGTGAGGATCTATACAGGCAATTAATATCGCTGCTCTTTCCCACCCGCCAGCCGTGCCTCTCTCTCATTTCCGCGCTCTGCTGTTGGCGGGATCGTTCCTGCCGTGTGCTGCCTCGAAGTCTCACACTTGGGGCGGACGGGCGGGCTGGTGTGTCTCATAATGAGCCAAGGTACAGGTACCTGGCTTCCCTACTTCAGTCCCTGAGAGATAGGTAGAGAGACACTAACAGACAACTAGTCACGTACCGAAAGGTACCTTTCTTAGCAAGAGAAAATCCCAAACAATCAAACCCGACTGGCCCACTGGGCTCCATTTCCCCAGTTTCCAGGCTGTGCACTGCACTTTGCTGGAGTCTAAGGCCCTTTTGAAAACAAGCAGCTCCCTCCCGATCCCCGCTCGTATTATTATTTATTAGGCGTCTCAATCTTTGATCCCACCCAGCGGCGGCGGCCTCCTATGGCACCCTGAAGGCCGGCGAGGACCTCTGCTTGATGCCGCCGCCCTGCCGTAGTGCCGTGGCAAGTGGTGCCGTAATGCCGTTTTTGGCTTTTACCTTTGCGCTCCGTCGAATCCCTCGGGTTCCAGCCGGCCCAGCTGTCTCGTAACTTGGAACTTCTTTCGGCCTTGCCTGAGGACACTAAGACTCGTTGCATGGATACAAGTCTTCATCTTACTTCATCTTAGTCTCTGGGTTCCTCTAAACGGCGTCGCTGCGCCAAGAGCCCCGCCAACTCTGCACCGATCTATTTGCCTCAGTCATTTGTCGTTACATGGTCCTGGGGATTTCTGGCCTATCATTTCACTGTCGAGTGTATTGGGTTTGCCTTGACAAGAGTAGCCTTGGAGTAACATAGGTATATGTTCTGTTGGCACAGGGGTGGGAAAAAAGAACGCATCACCAGTTGTACCACACGATGCCAACGTCTTACACTGGCGCGCTTCTTCAACAGATAGAGACAAGGACGGTAGAAGTAGACACCGGCACACAGCCCCAAGTCTAGTCCCGTTCAATCCAGCCACATGGTGTGCACCCAGCCGCCATCTCTTGGGGGTTGTTCTTCCAATGTACTTTAAGCATCCGCGGGCGGCATTGAGGTGCATCAAGCTCGAGCTAGATACTTGCATACATACTCAACCCTCTGCTTTGCCCTGTCTGCATAAGACTGCATTCCTGTACTTACTTACCTAACCCTATCTTGCACCTCTGGTCCAGTTGACATTGTGCCAGTTGTTGGAGCTGCACCATTCCTGTCTCACTGACCTAACCCCCCATAGAGAAAAGCGCACTCCACAAGCTATTCATCAACCCCCTGTCGACTTCCAGCGCGCCCTCCTCGGGTTCCGTCTGTCCAAGCTTTTTAGGCTCTTTTCCTCCCGACGAACGAAAGAAGACACCGGGTCCCCTTCCCACTCCCGGCCCCATCTGTTTAGTGGAACTCCTCCGCCCTTGCTGCATCTCCCAGCGCCCCGTTCCCTCCCAGCTTACTGCCCGTTGACGGTCCCGCCCACCCTCTCCCTCCCTCTTTCTCACTCTTTTGGCACTCAACTCGCACAGCGCCATTTCACACACCCAGGCACATTGCATACATACACAGCTCTCACACCGTATTTGGTAGGCTTGAGGTTAGAGCACGGTACCCGTCTGCCCATGCCATTGGGCAATTCCACCCTCGTGGCCACCAGGTGCGCCCGCTCTCGTTCTATTTCTCTCCTTCTCTCCCCTCGCCTTTCTTCTCGCGGATGGCGTCTGCCCATTATTAGTGTCCTTACGCTCTTGACGTCTGTAGTAGGTCTTCCCCCATTTACCGTACCGGTCTTGGTCCCGTCCGTCTCTGTCTCCCCGTACAAATTTCATCCCAGACTTCCAATTTCAACCCTCCTTCACCCCCCGACTTTCTTGGCTCTGCGGCCTTGTCGCTTCCCCCCCCCATTTAACAAATCTTTTGTTCCTCTTTCGCTCAAAGCTTGCTCCAGTCAAGCTCCAACCGCTGCCGTTACCTCAGGCATACCTCGCCTGCCAGCCTGCCCGCCTGGCCTGGGTCGCCACTTGACCTCTTAAGGTGCTGCTTCGCCATGAACTAATCAACTCCCAGATTCCTGGTCTCTTCTTTTACGCTTCAAGGCTTTTTAGCCTTCAAAATCCTTCCCCACAATCTCATCCCACGCCTCAAATTTCACCATCATACTCAGCTCTTTTGGTGTATTTGCCCGGGGGGCCGCAGAGGCAAGAAGGAAAAAGAGGGAGAAATAAAAGGACGGAAAAGGCGCGCAACTACAACCGGTCTACGAGACCATTCACGGCTCGCCAGTGACCTCCTCGCCATGGCGCATGCCCAGGACCCCCAAGAGCCCCATAAACGGAAACGGGACGCAGACGACAGCGGCACTCAGCCAGCTCATTCTGATCGCATTCCCCAGCCTCCTCCGCCTCAGTCAGGTATGTGCGGTGCGCCAGTGTGTGTGATCCATGCCGAACTCCAACAACAAAAACAAGACAAGCGGAAAGCATAAGCCGTCGATCTCATCCATCAACTGCATATAGTCGTCGCGCTCGGAGGCAATCGAGGTTAGACTCGCCATTGATCCCTCGCCCCGGCCTGCCAGCCAGCACCGTCCGCCCTTGTTATTCCCTCTTTCCGTCACTCTCCCCATCTTCCTCCCTATCCCGACTGTTTAGTCGGAATTCGCATCAGGCGCTCTTCTCGAGCCCTTAGCATCGTTTGATTCGCCTGTCATGCAGTTTGGTCCTCTTCAACCTCGCTCGCTTGCGTTGTATACTGTCTGCCAGAAGCAAATGCTAATTGTCACATCTAAGGCAATGCATCCATCATCAACTATCTCTCAAAGGCCAGCGCTGGCAAACTCAAGCTGATACAGGGCGAACCTGACACCTTTTCCGACGTGCTCGCCTTATTAAACCAATATGAAGGTATGCGATACCTTGTTCTGGATTTGTGTCATTGAATGCCAAGGCTCAACGGTCGACTTTAGGGGTTCTCAACAGACATGAGAGTCTTGCCGCCAATCTGGGGGCCAAGCTGACAGGCCCTCGCCTGCTCAAAGCCATGGAAGGCGCCTTTGAGGGCCCTATCATCACAAACCCTCCAGCCGCATATGGCGCAGCTCCTGTAGGTTGGCTGGACATTGTAACTTTTGCCAAGACGAACCCAGAGAAATTCGTTTTAACTACCGCTCATGACGGCGAACGCACCTGTCAGTTTTACCTGAATGGAGTGCAGGTGCAAATTTTGGAGGACGACTGGCGCCTCATCATGAATGGCGCCTTGGACAGATTTTCTATTGTCTCCACGGCTCCTCTGGAAGAGGATGAGACCGCCGAAGTGGCCACCTTGGAAATCGTAGAGCAACGACTACAGATCCTCATCAAAAAAGCCGATGAGATTGCCAAGAGGGCCCGACAACTTAATTACCACCTGAGCGGCCGAAAAGCCGGTATTAACTCTCGCCATACTGGCCAACAGCCCAGCAGCTCTGCGTTCCAACCTGTCAACCACTCGCAGCGTCACGGTGGTGGTCATGGATCCGGTTATGACCTACATGCCGACTTACTTCAACAATTTCTTTCATCTTCACAAGCTTACCCTCCGAGGGTTCCATCTAGCGCCGGCCTCGACCCGACGCAGTCTGGACAGCACACGCCGCCTGCAACAAATCCTCATCCCCACTCTCTTCCTCTCCAGGGTCGCCCGCCTGTGGCACATGCCCCAGCAATACCCCAGCGAGACTCGTCTTATGATCCCTCATCAGCGCACAGAGGCATCATCACTGCACGTATAGAGAAATTAAATAAGGGAGACCAGATATGGCCGCCTTGCGACCGCTGCCGTAGGCTCAAGTCACCATGTGTAAAGCACCTGACAGCCTGCCAAGGCTGTACGAAAAAGCACGCCAAGTGTGGTTGGAAGACCATCACTGAGGGAGAGATTGCCTGGCTCAACCGTGAAGCAAGCAGCAGTGCTGATGAGGCTCATGTCGAAACAAACCCAACAAATCCACCGCCATCGAGAACATTACGATACGATCCCACTCAGGACGACGGCCAATCCAACGGGGAGCCACCGCCCTCGACCAATCTCATGCCAGGAGAAGTCTCTCGACCAGCCAGCAGAGGCCAGCAGAGCCAGCATGGCGGCCAGCAAGGGCACCGTCAGCGATCTCCGCTGGAACCTGGGTCCCGCAGCCGAACAAGCAGTTTCATGGAGGTAGAACAAGAGACACCTCCCAACTCCAAGCCGTGGATTCCAGAGTCTCATCGGGAACAACTTCCCAGCCTAAAGAGAGACCACTTGCTGTTGAGCCACATGGCATCAGCCGCGACAGCAGCAGCCGATGCCAGGGATGCTAACATCACGCCGGCAAGTAAACTTGCAGGCCGGTAGATAATGCCGGCTTGCAGCAGAAGTATTTGTGCAGTATGAGAGCATGAACGACGAGTTCAGCATGACATGACTTTTTGTATTAGAGCGACGGACAGAAGAATCCAGGCAGCTGTCACATTGATTTGTGTGCACCAAAAGGTATGCGAGCAGAGAACATATTGCAAGAGAAAAAGAGAAATACAAAATAAATAAACAATTCAAAAAGTTCATATTGATATTCGAAGCATGCAAGCATGCATGCATGTGATTTATACTGTATTCGATCTTTTGGTGTGCCTTGATGACATCCATTTCTGAACACACAGGTCCGTGTTCCTCTGCATTGTGCAGTGCTAGTGGGTGGGACAGTCAATGACCAGTCAGAAGCCATAGAAAGAGGCTACTGCACGAGCCACCTTGCCCAAGTTTAAGTGGACCAAGATCACATCTGAGAGGTCGTGGCGTGGCGCGTCTACTTATCGAAAAGAAAAAAGTTCCTGGCTCCATCAATGACGGCTCTCAGCTGCTCGCTCCCTCATCAATCCACTCCTACTTTCTCCTGCGGCATGATCCTAACATAACGGCCTTTAGACGTTGACATTTGTCTGCCTTTCGTTTTAACGTCTGACACTGAGTGCAATCACATTCTATCCCCCTTATTGATCCGCTTTACTTCACCTAAAATAACTGGTCTCAATTCTGGTCGTCACTTTACCAAATGGCCCATTCCCCCATATCCGCCGAATTCATGGCTGGAACAGACAACCGACCGGCCTCGCGCCGTGCTCCAGATACAACTTCATACCCGACATCTAGAGAGACAGGCGATGTCATCCCCAACACAAAACAGAACCCTGCAGTGAGCGCGAAGGAGTCACCCTTTGCTAAGTCATGGGTACATTTCGTTGCTGGCGGGTATGTCCAAATTCTGACCCCTAAGACCCTTGAAGAAAAAATTTAGCTATAGTGCTGACGAATGTCTCTCCTGATGTAGAGTCGGCGGCATGACGGCGGCAACGTTAACAGCACCTCTTGACGTTCTCAAGACCCGATTGCAATCCGATTTCTACCAGGCCCAGCTTCGCGCCTCTCACCAAGCTCGCGCCCAGGCTGTCGGCGCCCTCAGTCCCCTTCGAGCCGCCGCCTTCCATCTCAAGGAGACCTTTCAGATCCTCGGCTCCGTATACAAGATTGAGGGTCCTCGCGCTCTCTTCAAGGGCTTGGGTCCCAATCTCATCGGCGTTATCCCTGCGAGGAGCATCAACTTCTACACTTACGGAACCGGCAAGCGCCTGATTGCTGAGTATGGTAATGGCGGCCAGGAGGCTGCTTGGGTACATCTGTCAGCTGGTGTGTTGGCGGGCATCACAACCAGTACGGCGACGAATCCCATTTGGCTTGTTAAGACGCGGTTGCAGCTGGACAAAAACGTGGCGGAGCAGAGCGGCGGCGTCACGAAACGCCAGTACCGCAATAGTTTAGACTGCATCCGGCAGGTGCTTCGTACGGAGGGCTTTACGGGTCTCTACAAGGGTATGAGCGCAAGTTATCTTGGTGTTGCTGAGAGCACATTACAGTGGGTGCTGTACGAGCAGATCAAGAAAGAGTTGGCGCATAGGGAGGAACGCATCATCCGGAGCGGCCGGGAAAAGACTTTCTGGGACCGCACCGTGGACTGGATGGGCAACGCCGGCGCTGCTGGCGGTGCCAAGTTGGTTGCAGCCGTCCTGGCGTATCCTCATGAGGTATGTCAATGCCCATTGTGCAGAGCTGAACCACTCTTTAATGGGGAAGGGCAATGATGATACTAATACCACGGGTAACAGGTTGCGCGAACGAGGTTAAGACAAGCCCCTATGGCCAACGGACAGCTCAAGTACACGGGGCTGTTCCAATGCTTCCGCCTAGTCTGGGTGGAAGAAGGTCTTATGGGACTTTACGGCGGTCTCACCCCACACCTCATGCGTACTGTTCCCAGCGCTGCTATTATGTTCGGCATGTACGAGGGCATTCTTCGTCTTTTTAGTACACCTGCAAAGACTGGAACAAGCTTGTAAACGCAGAAGCTGGGCTTTTGTTCCCACCGGCAAACACTAATGGTACCGCTGGCGATTACGAAGCCGCTCGAAGGCGACATCGCTCGAAAAACTCTCTCTTGGGTGCATTTCTTGTACAATAACATACGATCGACGACTGCGACTCTAGGGCAGACATAGCCGTAGCCTCCTACCCACCCCACACTTACATCTCGGCAATCTTCCCTTCTCACCAACTTTATTTTGCAATGTCTTCGACGATGACGATATTGAACCGAACCCCCGAATTATACGGCAGCAGATGTACGATATGAATGAGCGACTCTAGACTTGTTGTAAAGTTCAACGAGAGGATTTCGCGGGTGCACTACTCTAATGAGTTTGGGGAGATTTTCCACGGCATCTAACGGCGTTTTGCGAGGCGCCATGTACAACCACAAGAAAACACACTTTAGGCACCCGAGATGTTCTTCTCTAGCGAGGGTGTTCATCCGTGTATAATAATGTATATAGAAGATAAGAGGAAGTGGGGGAAGCAGAAGAACACACTCCCGGGGGAACCGACAAGGGGACGGATGGAAGGAACATAGACTCTACTCCATCCGAGCGGGCCTGGATGAATAGCCGCAAAAACCCAAATTCAACTTCATTCTGGCAAGGACGATGTCTTACAGGCTAAACAAGATAATTTGGATGAAACTTTCGTCATACTATCCATTTTGTAGAACGCCAACCTTCCTCGAGGCGAAAAGCAACGCTGATGCTGTCCGCATGCCCCTCGGCGGGGTTTGTGCTTGGCGCGAGTGAAGAAGAAAAGGCTATGGGCAAAAGACACAGAAACCATACGCAAAAAGGTTGCTTATAATCGTTGGATATAGTAGAGACGAAAGGAAGAATAAAAACAGAAGAAAGTCAGAAAAGTAAAGAAAACCCCCCATTGTCAGCCCGCCCCATCGCTGCTTAAAGTCATATTCTCTTGGCTTGTCATTTAAAACCGCTATATTTTTGTTAGAGGCATTTTCGCTTTGATCTCCGATCATGTCCCTCCACTCAGCTTGGAGCTCTTTGCCAATCTTTCCAGCTGTGTGTCGATGCGATAGTGCCTGGGCGGTCGCTTCCGCAGCTTGTTTGCTACCCGCAAAGCGGATGGCGAGGAGAAGGCCCCAGGCCAGCTGGCTCGGAGTTTTAGTCACCACGCATTACGATCCCAATTCGGGTCTATCGGCACAAGTCAGTCAGGTGTCTGTCATAGTCTCTTGTCTGTCTGTTTATGTCTTTGGAAATGATACCCTGGTACTGGTTCACATGCAGTTCGCAGAAAGATTCGCAACTCACCTTGTACAAAGGCAGCCAGAACTTTGCTGCCCGTCTGCAGAAGCGGGTGACCGACAACTATGCGCAGGAACTTCTCAAGGCCAGCACGGCGTCCCTCGATGACGTCGTCACTGAAGCGATTGGTGAACACCTTGCCAGGAAGAGGGGGTATAGTGACGCGAGCACTCTCTCGCTCTAGAATGTCGCGGAAATACTCAAAGTCGGAGTAGCGACGGCGCACGCTTGAGGCACGGAGTTTGAAAGCTGGAATATTGGTGCGGCAAACGATCTCGTAATCGGTGTACATGCTACGGCCCATGCCATGGGTTCGGGGGTTGCGGACCTACAAACAGACGAAGCATTAGACAATGTACGCCAAGGTTGGGGCCGAAGGCGAGATTGACGAATTCATGGCACCAAAAAATCCCAGAAAGAACTCGCTTGCGCATACCTCAATCTCAAGGAAGTTCTCAGGAGGTCCGTAGATCTCGTCAAACGACTGCTGTCGTGTATCTGGCATTGCCTGCATGATGGGCCGATGGAAGCGCGGCGATGCCTGACTACCCGCCTGAGAGCCAGTCGGTGATGTGGGAGAGGCTGGCTCGGCGCTGGCAGCGCGAGCTTCGTTTTGGGTTCCGGAATCCGTTTTGACGGCTTCTGGGAACAGAGCGGAATCAATCGTCGAGAACTTCGTATCGGGAGCCTGGTGGACGGCTGTTGTCGGCACGGCGGCAAGTGTGGGGTATTCCTCTTTCCCCTTTTTTTCGTGGTATTTCCTGTCTACAGTTGCAAGGCAGTTGTTAATGTGGAACGATACAGTTTTACTGCGGCGCTGTACGACGCGGTTGGTTGAGGCTGAAGTGAGGTTGCTGCGGTAAAAAAGTTGAGGTAGGAGGTGGGGGAATAGTGCGAAGGCGGCCGATTACGATAGAAGACTTCGGATGATGTTTAGCTACGAATTGCGGGGGGAGCAACCGCCGCCGACATAACGCACCCAGTCGCAGGCCGCCACGGCTCCTGGTTGGCGATTAGAGGATAAGACACCAAAGAGAGGCTGAGCCAGTGTCTGTGGGGGCACCCCTCTTTGGTGCACAACAACTGATTGACATTGGTACCCCCGATTCAGCAGGTGGGGGAACTAAGCATGCTTCTGGAACCCATCTGGGCTGTCGATGGCGGCTTGACATACCTGAAATGCCAACTTCAACTAATACGTGTCACCTATAACTGAGGGCAAAGCAACAGCAATTCAAGCGCTCTTGCAAGTGTGAACCAGGCCTGCTGGGCCATTCATCTGACAGGTTTATATCATTTAGATTTGGAGACCGCTGGCTATCGTCAACATCGCTAACCTCAACCGTTGCCTCGTACTTTGACACCAAAAGTCCTTCGATTGCGCCATACAAGTACAAAGTTATATTTATATCACAAAAATGCAATTTGAATGCATAAACCATGAAAGACGCCAATGTTGTCCCAATCTTCCAGTCTTGTAGGAATAATTCAAGGCTTACCATTTCGGTGGATGGGACGTAGCCAGAATCAGAGGTAGGTGCTGGAGCATCGAATAAGCCCAATGAATAAAATAACCAGTTAACGCCAATATTCTCACCTCCTAGCCCCTTCTCCTTTTTTTTTCATGTACAAAGTCTTAACATGCATCACCGCCTAGAGTCCACGACCTCCATTTCATGGCAAGGCTTAGAAGGTAATCATGAGTTAGAGCCGAACTTCGACATTGCTGGGTATCCCTTTTATGATCAAGACAACGGCAGCATAATAGGCCCCACGATGGCTATGGCGGTCATCTGTTCGTAATATCAGACGGTATGCCAGCCGATACAGTGTGAATTTGGCCTATAGCAGCATGGTCGTGATGTGGAGGGTGTCTAAGACGCATCATAATGTTGACCTCAACCGTCGTAAGCGGCCCACCGGAGTAAAGAGTGAGCCACCTAAACCGCCCAAGTAAGGTTCACTTCTTGTCCGCGAATCTTTGATGAATAGCTCGGATTTGCTCCTCAACATTAAGACTGTGCAAGTGATTAATGTGTGCTTGGCTCTTTCCGTCGGGGTTACCATCAAAGCTGTGGATTGCTGCTTTCTTCCGGCGAGCAACTTCTTCTTCCGAGACGGGCTGGCCGGTGACACCATCAAACACATCGCTCCGCTGACTGGCCAAACGCTTCAAATTGTTGGCAACATCCGCGGTAGATAGGTTCGTGGTGGCATACCGTGCCTCCGCCTTAGCCTTTTGATCTTTCCACTGAGGGTCCAGGAGTTCGACTGTAGAACTGTTAGCATATTATCTCTTCAGCCACAATGATTCTGTGGATTAGGATGACTGACTTCGCATGTGCTCATCCAGCTCGTTCATGGGGATTTGCTGTTTGCAGTTTGGACACAGTGCCGTCTGGACGCTATGCTTATTGGCCGCGCGTTGAAGCGCTCTGGGGACATAGTTCTCCTTTATCTTCATTGGTGCAGTACCGCCTCGAGCCTCAGCCCGTGCTTGCTGCTCCCGAGCTCGAGCTTCTGATCTCTCCTGAATCCTCCGCTCCTCTTCCTCTTCTTCCGCTGACCTACGTGGTGGGCCATTATGATATTGCTGGGGCCCTGCCGAAGCCTGTGCCTGGTAAGGTTGCTGAGGCGCATATCCTGTGTGAACTGGCAGTGTATGCGACGTCGGAGGATAAGCATTGTAGGTCGAATCTTCTTCGCCCGGGAAAGCTTCCTCAATTCGGAGATTCGAGCTGATGGATGCCTTGTTGCGCTCTTCAAGCGAGGCGTACTGTAAGTCTGAAAGATTCGTCGGAGGCGGCAGGTTCGCATGCTCATCAGCATCAGTAAAGACAATGGTTTCGACGACAACAAAATCGTTCCAGTCGATGCGGGCAAATTCGAGGCGCTTTTTCTCATCCTCTTCTTCCTTCTTTTGCTTCTCGGTCTCCTGGAATTTCAGGTATTCGGCGCGTTGCTTCGCGCGACTTAAGACATGGTACTTGTCGTCGACGTTCTGCTGAAGGTGGGCAATGCGCTCCTGCTCCAATTTGCCTCCTTCACCACCCAGCCCACTTGCCCTTAATAACGCTGTGTACTGATCGACCTGATGTTGGAAGAAATTGTGGAATGTGTGGTTGGGGATGAGGAACTGGAACTGTGGGTTTCCGGCTTCTCTCTGGGCCAGCTGTGTCATGAACTGACGACCGTTCTTGGCTACGAAAAGAGCAGTCAAGCGAATGACTTCAAGATCCTTCTGGTTGATTCTAGGCATACGGGCGGAGAATTGAAAATCGGGGGGCTTAGGCGGGCCTTGGGGCTTCTGGTCGACTGGGGCAGCAGTTTCGTTAGCACGACCAGCTGCAATGGCGGTACCGCGACCAGCCTTGATCTCGTCAAGTCGCCACTGATAGTAGGCATGGTACGCGTCCGCATTGTTTAAAAAGCTGAACTTGGGGTTGGAGCGTTCTTTGTCGCGAATTCTGTCCTCGAAAACCAGTCCGTTTCGCGCAACGTAACCGGCTGTCTTCTCTAGGACATTACGAATTTCGCGGGGAGGAAGGACAACACCGGCCGGAGGTTTCAGCTCATCAAGAGCGGCGACGGCGTCACCGTTTGCCGTAGGTGTGGCCATGTTGAGTATGGAGGCTCGCGCGGTCAAGATTGTTTCGTGACAATGCGGCGCGTGGAGCAAAGCGAGAAGTCAAATGCAGAATGGAGCTGTTGTATGCTTGTCTGCTTTTTTCGGCTGCGCCAAGGCAACCCCAGAGGTGGATGGCGGCTGTCTTAGTCAGCATTCCCTGCGGTCAGTGCGGTCCTTCTTGAAATGTTGATAGAGCCATCGTTGCCAATTGCATTGGTTGGCTGAGGCAAACAACGTAACGTAAGGCACACCAATTTTAGAGAATGTTTACAGTGATAGATGCACAATATCCTGGCATATTTATTGTTTGAAGCCTCAAGTAGATTTCGTCATCTTTCTCATCAAGGGATTCCCAGATCGAACAAACGGTTAGAGCAGCCACCGACGACCTAATCCGACTGGCTGAACTGTTTTGACACTGGAAACAGGACCTCATCTCCGTGAGGACGCATAGTGGTATTTGGACTAGAATCGGAGCAGGAGTTAAGGCAGTGTGCAGTGAAGGTAATGAAGAAAGAGAATGAAGGGATAACCTTACGATCACAAGCTAACATCATACATCAGATGATCAATTGTTTGATAATTATTTAAAAAAAAAAAAAAAAAAAAAAAAAAAAAAACCTTAGCTGAAGTCGCAAGCTAAGCGTCAAGAAACGTTTATTATAATAATACCTTGTAAACTTGCAAGATGCCTCAAGGCATGGGCATGAGTACGTCAGATAAGTTGAGGCATTGCGGCGATGCATAAAGAATGTGGAGCATACTCTGCAGCACGCCTGGGAAGCCCAGGTATTCGAACATGTGTGAGATAAGTTGCTTTACGCATCTTACACGTAGTAGAGTACGTCGCTGTCCTATGTTATTTTAGTTTCAGCCGCATCGCCGCGGCGCACTGGCCACACTCCATCCAGAGTGGGAATGAATGGACCTAGGACAGGCGCTTGAAAAAGGCGTAATATTAGACACTGACAGAAAGAGGGCGAGGCCTGGGCGCAGAACATTAACAGCCACAGCTGGTCCTTCCGCCGTTTACTTTGGCGCTAAGCGGGGCACAGATGTTAGACAGGAGCTATAGCACCTCCAGTCAATCAGCTTTGGGGATGAAATGTAATTATGCAGTGGCCACTTGTCTAACTAACACATACTGGAAAACAGTTGAGATTCTGATAAAACTCGGCCGATGACACGGTTTTGCGTAAAAAGTACGGAGTAAACTAGCTGGTGCTGCTTCAGCATCGAAGCGCGTTAAGTGCCTTCAGGTGGATGGTTAGCCCTGGAGGATCAGTGGGGGCGGGCTCATATGGAAGCGCGTCCCTGGGTTCAATTTCCTGGGCAGCAGCTTACAACAGGGTAGTTTTGAACACCTCACGCACAGTGATGGGTGTCCCTAAAGGGGTCTAAGCAGGTCGAAAAGGGCGGGCGCAACTTCAATGAGCCAACCACATGCCGGGTACACAAGACAGCCTGTGGGCCACTGGGGTCTGGCTATGGGAATCATGGGAAGGGGGCGTAGAAAGTTCTCCAAGGGGGAACCGCAAGAACCAGGCAAGTCCTAGCTTCAGCCAATGGCTGCCTGTCAAACCACATGGGATGAGGCCACTTAAGCTACAACTTCGACCCTGACCCCCTTATCCCATACTCCCTTCCAGCCTGGCCTCCCCAGCTGTCATCAGCTTCCGCGGTCAAACTTTCTGTCATCAGCCAGGACTGTCCTAACCTCTTCTCTTTCCCTGAACCTCCCTTTTACCCCGTACGATACGTCTTCTTCTTGAGGGCTTTCATCAAGGTCGCCCGTCAACCTGCTTTGCACGAATGACCGAATTTTAATGCTTGTCTTTTCTTCTTGACTCTCGTTGATTCTCTTTCCACCTTTCTGCAACTCGATACGCGAAAACCCTGCCATACCCTACCTTGCTGGGTAGCAACCTCTCCACCACCGTCGTCGACGTCGCCGTCGCCGTCCTTGAAAGAGACGAGTCCCCTGCCTACTCGATCGCCTCGCCCTATATTCTACCTTCTGCGATCCGATAGCACCTTCTCCGCGATGGCTGCCACCAAAGCCGTTCGCTCTCCGAGCCCGAAGCTCGAAAAGCCAGCAAATGGTACCAAAGTCGCCAACGGTGCCAACGGTGCCAATGGCATCAATGGCAAGACCTCCGTCTTGCGCGAACACAGCTATAAATCCGATGGTGTTGAGGACCACGATGTCTTTCTTCTGCCCGTTTCCGACTACCAGATCATGCTTGTTCTAACAGTTCTTGCTGCTGTCGTACGCCTGTTCCGAATTTACCAACCCACCAGCGTCGTATTTGACGAGGTCCAGTAAGTCATCAGACTCCTAAGCCCCCGTGTGTACCAGCTCTAAATACCTTGCTCCAGCTTTGGTGGTTTCGCTTCTAAATACATCAAGGGCAAATTCTTCATGGATGTACACCCTCCTCTAGCCAAGATGCTAATTGCTCTGACTGGCTGGCTGGCTGGCTTCAATGGTGACTTCGATTTCAAGGATATTGGCAAAGACTATCTGGAACCCGGTGTCCCATACGTCGCTATGCGCATGTTCCCAGCTATTTGTGGCATTCTTCTCGCCCCTCTCATGTTCCTGACTCTGAAAACCACCGGATGCCGAACCACAACCGCTCTGCTTGGCTCCGGTCTGATCATCTTCGGTACGATACGGGTGTATTTTGATAATTCCCAAAACTTGGCTAACTTGACTCCATAGAGAACGGACTTCTTACTCAAGCCCGACTGATTTTGCTCGATTCCCCGCTCATGGTCGCGACTGCATTTACCGCTCTTGCCTTCCAGTCTTTTACCAACCAGCACGAACAGGGTCCTAAGAAAGCCTTTCAATTGAGCTGGTGGTTTTGGCTGGCCATGACAGGTCTTGGTCTTGGTGTCACTTTTAGCATCAAGTGGGTTGGTCTGTTCACAATTGCTTGGGTTGGAAGTCTCACCCTGATCCAACTTTGGGTTCTTCTCGGCGATACTAAGAATGTTACACCGGTATGCACTACTTACTACTCGTTCAATTAAGCATGGCATCGACTGACCCAATTATCAGCGTATCTGGGCCAAGCACTTCATGGCCCGTGTGTTCTGCTTGATCATCATCCCATTGGGCTTCTACATGGCTATGTTTGCCATTCACTTCATGTGCCTCGTGAACCCAGGCGACGGCGATGGATTCATGAGCTCCGAGTTTCAGTCTACCCTCAACTCCAAGGGTATGCAGGATGTTGCGGCCGACGTCGCCTTTGGCAGCCGTGTCAGCATCAGGCACGTCAACACTCAAGGTGGCTACCTGCACTCCCACCCTCTGATGTACCCCACTGGTAGCAAGCAGCAGCAGATCACCCTATACCCACACAAGGACGAAAACAACATCTGGCTACTTGAAAATCAGACCCAACCTCTCGGCGTCAATGGAGAACAAATTAACGGAACCTTGGCCTGGGACAACCTCCCACAGCCCGTTTACATCAAGGACGGCGATATTGTTCGCTTGTACCACCTCCCTACGTTTCGTCGCCTTCACTCCCATGACGTTCGTCCCCCGGTGACGGAGGCTGACTGGCAGAATGAAGTATCTGCGTATGGCTATGAGGGCTTTGAGGGTGATGCCAATGATTTGTTCAAGATCGAAATAGTGAAGAAGAAATCGCTCAGCTCCGTGTCCAAGGAGCGCCTCCGCACCATTGAGACAAAGTTTAGGCTGGTCCATGTCATGACTGGATGTGTTCTGTTCTCCCACAAGGTGAAGCTTCCCGACTGGGCGTCAGAACAGCAGGAGGTCACTTGCGCGAGAGGAGGCACGCTTCCCAACAGTCTATGGTACATCGAGTACAACGAGCACCCTCAGTTGACCGGTGAGAACATTGAGAAGGTCAACTATCGCAACCCTGGCTTCTTCGGCAAATTTTGGGAGCTGCAAAAGGTCATGTGGAAGACCAATGCCGGTCTCGTTGAATCTCATGCCTGGGATTCCCGTCCTCCCTCTTGGCCGGTCCTCAGGCGGGGCATTAACTTCTGGGGCAAAGACCACCGTCAGATCTACTTAATGGGCAACCCGATCATCTGGTGGAGCTCCACTCTTGCTATTGTCGTTTACGTTTTATTCAAGGGTATTGCGACTCTTCGCTGGCAACGTAGTTGCAACGACTATGGCAACGTTACCTTCAAGCGTTTCGACTATGAGGTTGGTACCGCTGTTTTGGGTTGGGCCTTCCATTACTTCCCATTTTACTTGATGGAGCGTCAACTTTTCCTCCACCACTACTTCCCCGCTCTTTATTTTGCCATCATGGCGTTCTGCTCCGTCTTTGACTTCGCTACTGCTCGCGTTTCCTTCGCTGGCATCAGGAACAACCCGATCATCAACCGCGCCAGTGCTGTGGCATTTTTGGCCCTCACTATTGTAATCTTTATGCTTTTTTCACCCCTGGCCTACGGAAACTCCTGGACCAAAGCCGAATGCAACCGTCTCAAGCTGCTCAGCACATGGGACTTTGACTGTAACACTTTCAATGACAACGTAAGTACCACTGCTGCTAATGTGCCGGGACCTGGAATGCCTGAGAGAGGGTTGTAACAGCTTGCGATGTCTGACATGCGTCTTCGCTTCCGCTGCAAATTTTATGTGGAAACCTACATAGGCAAATGATATGAGATTCGGCTCGGCATAGTTGGCAACCGTGACTTAATCGATACTAACTTTACCTTCTGGCACTGTAGTACTCTCAATATTCGGAACTTCTCACCCGCACTTCCGCCTCGCCTACCCCTACTCCAGCTGAGGCCCCGGTCGCCCCGGTCGGTGGTCAAGTGGGTCAAATTCCTATCCACAATGCTGTAAAGGAGCAGCCTCCAGTTGCTGAGCCCTCGGGAGTTCCTGGTCAGAAGGTACTCTCTCGAGAGGAGCGCGTCGAGTATCGGGATCAAGACGGCAACCTCCTTGATGAGGAGCAGGTCAAGGCTCTGGAGGGTAAGGTTGAATTCAAGACGAAATATGAGACCCGGACGCGTGTCGTCGACGCAAGTGGAAACGAAGTACAGGTGCCTGAAGGCGGATGGCCGCAAGAGGTCGCCCAAGGTGAAGGAGATAGCGTCGCCCCGCCTCACCCAGATGTCCAAGGAGTGGACCAGGAGACCAAGTCTTCTGACAAGGCAGAGGACTCGGTGTCCCCAGAGGTTGCCGAGAGCATCAAGGGTGCGAAAGAGGCCGAGCAGAAGAAGGCCAAGCCGGCAAGTGAAGGTGGCAAGGAGGCCACTGCCCAAGAAGAACTCTGAGTGCGAAAGCTGACCCTGGATGGATGGGAATGAGGAAAACGTGGTCATAGGCTTGCAGTGCGGCTAATGTGTTGCGATGTGTGACCCGTTATCCACTAGACTTGCTACGATCTAGGAAAGAATCTTGGGTCAAAAGTCAGGTGTGGAACGAGAAGCACAGAATACTCCCCAGCGCAAAGGTTTATCTTGTTTATGTTTCCTTGTGGACTTCCAGTAACGACAGAAGAAAAAGGACACCTGAAGGGCTATAAAATCAAAATTTCATTTGTTGTAAGACCAAGCAAGACACGTTCTTTGATCAAAACGCTGGACGGACTGGTTTCCTGCGAAACCTCTGTAAAATGACCATCTCTTGTTGAGAAATTTAAGATGACAAACTGCTTAGCCCATGATCCATGTGGATGGCACAGGGTGGGTGAGAAAGACTCAATTGAGAGCTCACCGCGACATGATGATGACCTACCTGATAATGGAGGGGAAGGATACCATGCCCTCGTTCTGTTAGTTGTGCTTTTTAGAAAGCAAGTGTTCGTTGGGGGCTGCCACAGTTGAATCGATTCACGCTTTTGTTTCGAGATAGGACAAGAAAACAGACAACAAAAGGGTGGCAATAGTCGCATTCTTGTCAAGTTCTGATTTAAAAGTAGTGCCAAGCTAAGATATCATTGCCTCTGCCATTAATAGTGGCGCAGTAAGCTCTAGTGCGTTTGTCCTCATCGTTCCAGTTAGTCTAACGGATGCATGTCCTCCCCAGTAGCAACTGTAACTGTTGAGAGTCCTCTGCACCACCACAGTTTTTTACTCTCCAAAACGCCGGTATTGACTCCTAAAGTAAACAAGTGATATGTGCCTCAACCCTTCCTAGTCTTGCCCACGATCCGTAACCCCCGCTTACCCTCCCGTGTGGCCATCATTAGTAGCTTCGGCATTTTGAGCCTCGTGGCATATGGCATATTAATACAATATTGAAAATTAGGCGTGTATGTGTTGTTAAATCGAGTGTCTGTCGTCGTTGAGTCGCCCAGTGACTGTTCCTCTGATAAAAAGATTCCGGGTATTTGGTAACTTAATCGGATGGTGTGCTCGCAGGCAACTCCTGATCGCTGGGAATAGTGAGAGACAGTCTCTTTCCCTCGTCTTTCTCTCCGCCGGCAGCCTTTTCAGGAGACAGCGATTGTAATGAACTTCGATTACTGACGCATGGGGTTTCCGGCCTGGTAAGCGGTGCTTCCATATTCTCTGAAGTTCCCTTATCTTCAGACGGGGTGTTGTCCTCGTTGGATTTTTTAAAGGCGTCCTCTGGGATTGTTGTTGCCACCGTTGCAGCCTCTTCTTTCACATCACTCTCGTGGCCCAATCGAGGGCTCTTGTCCAGCCCTGACGCCACAGAATGGCTAGCTGGGACAACTCCACCACCGATACGAGACCAGAACATCTGCTCTCGCAAGCGAACGCTTTCCTCCCAGGCTGCCTTCTCTGCATCCTCGTCGTCCGCGCGCCAGTGGCCGTCCTTTAGGATGCGCAAGAAATTCAGGAAGTCACAGGTAGATCTAACACGTCCCAGGCAATACTTGCAAAGAGGATACCTTTGCGCTGATTCTGACTCGCTTGTTCGGAAACGATAGGTCCGTAAGTATTCTTCGTTCTTTCGCGAATCGCCACACAACGAACAGGGGTAATACTGCGGTTTAACAATTGAAGCAAAGGGTGCGTTGGCTGGAATAGGCTCTACTACAATCGATCCGTCGCTCATAGCGTTCAAAACACTACGCCGAGCTAGCCAAGAAAGCCCAGGCGCAATGTCGAGTCGAAGAGTTGGTTCGACATCCTCGGCGAGGACACGCTTGAAGAATTTTGTCTCCTTCAGAGCTGGGGGAGGTGGTCCTATATTGGCTGATGTTGTACTTGTAACTGAGGCTGGTGTGTTTGGGGTTTGCGGCGAAGACGTAGCAGGCGTGCCGGCGGTAGAGAGTGAAGCTGTTGATGCATTTGAAGGGTGGGCGCTAGAAGTGCTGCCGCCCATTCCGAGACCCAGGCCATTGAGACCAGTAAGGGAGCCTGAAGAGACACGGCTACCAGCACGGTTCCGGGATATACGAGTAAGAGCAACAAAATCTTCGTACGAACCCAAATCAGTTCTGAGAACTGGTTGTATGAGATGAGTCAGACTTAATGGGTATGTTGGTGAGGTCGGGTCGACAAGGGGTGAGGCCACAGAGCCGTCACATCGTTCGTCATCCTTGAATTCGGATTTGCTGAATCCAGGAGATGACGGCGCGGTTCCGGTCGTGGTATCCTCTCTTTCAAGGGCCATTTGCTCCATAACCTGTTTGAGATCGGCAAGCTGCTGTTGTTGGGAGGTCAACAAAGCCTCCATATCGCCTAGCTGGGATCTCAGATTGTCGTTTTTTCTTTGCAGAGCTTCTTGCTCAATACGAGCTTCTTCTTTGGCTGAAATGACCATGTTGTTAGCCTCTTCGAACAGAGCAGTAGTCAGGTTTTCCAGCTCTTGCTCTATCTTCTTCTTTTCTTTCTCCACATCTTCTCGCAATTTCTTTTCGTGGGCCACACGGGCCAAAATTGTCTTTTTCTCTTCATCCGTCGTCTTCCGGCGAACCCAGATATCACCAGCGAGCATTTCTCGATGTGTTGCATTCTGTTCCTCGAGTTGCTTTATTTGCTCCCGCGCCCTCTCCAGCTCTTGTCTAGTAGCAGTCAATGTGTCATCGAGAGTGGTTTGGTGGTTGATTGCGTTGATAAGCTTTGTGCTGAGCGTTGCTACTTCGTCGTTCAAGTCGGGGTGATGTTGGGAAACGTCAGCATCGCTCGCTGGGCTCATGGCTCGGCTACGTGGGTCTGGCAGGGTGCTCAGTTCGCCGTCATCTTCTGGGGGTGGTGTGGGACGTAGAGAAGGTGAGGCGGGTGTAGAAGCCAGTGAGGACGACATTATCGGAAGGTCGGCGACAGATGGTGGTCTGCCGATTGTTTTCGCAACTTTGGGACTGGGAGATGGGGATCTAGCGATGGATGAAAGAGATCTGAAGTGGCCGAAAGGTCTGCCGCCAGGTTGGGGACTGGCATGCTGAGCCCAGCCAGCAACCGCGATGAAGGAATCCATAGCTACCAAATTCGGACCTTTGAGGTACTTCGGAGTTGGAGAGTCTGAGACAATGATGGAAAGAGCTGGTGGCACCTAAAGAGGGCGAGGATACCAATAGCAGAAGCAAATATTATAACAGCGAGTTGGAAAGGCCAAACGACAAACACCAATCGATTGCTGGTAGCAGCCAACCAGGGGTGTGGGCAGGCAGCCGAAATGGGGGCGTTGGGAGGCCTTTAGATGAAGCAAGACGACATGGCGATGCTGTCGAGGTTGAGATATAAATCCTCGGTCTCGTTCTCAGGTGCTGAACTAATTGTCGAGGTAACAAGGCAAAGGCGAAACGGCGGGAAGAGGAAAGCTGGGCTGCTATCGAAGGGGTCGTGGGTCGTGACGGCAGCGCGATTATTCGTGTCGAAGCAAATGGGCAGAGGGGTTTGTTGCAGTGAGGGTCAAAAGAAAGAGGAGAAGAGGTGACAAATGAGGTAGGGAAGGACAATTAGAAGCCGAACGGCGGAGGAGCCAACACTTTCAGTCTTTTCCAATCGTGGCAGGAGCCGAACTGAAGTAGTAGCGGCGGCGGCGGCAACAGCAGCAGGTGCAAGAAGCAAGTGTAGAGAGGCGGCGGCAAACCGACAAGAACCAGCCAGAGAGAGAATAGGATGAGCAGCAAAAGACTGGAGACAGGGACCAGGACTGGAACAGGCCGGATGACATGGGTGGCATTGGACGGGTCAAGCGTGACAGGGACCAGATGTCGAACTTTTTTGGGGTGTGTGGTGCAGAGTACTGGTAGAAACTGGGCACAGGCTCACTGAATTGGTGCTTGCACAAACGCTGGGACGGACACAGTTGGGCGGGGCTGGGCCGGGACTCGCCAGGGCCACGCCAGAGCAGGGGTGGAGGCAGTGCAACAAACAGTGGGATGGGGCCAGAGGTTCGTAACCTTGATGCCCCTTGACTTGGAACAAAGTCCGGGACGGGCGATACGATACGATAGGGGCAGAGCACAACTGGGGGAACAGCAGCTGTTAGGCCGTGGTTCTCAGTAAGCTGCACTTGCTAAAAGGGTCTCCGTACTTCACCCACTGGCTCTGGGGTCGAGACCAGAAGGCGACTTCAGTCACCAACTAAGAGACTGCGCGACACGACCAGATGTACTAGTAATCGTGGCACAAGGGAATGGACACGAGCAGGGGTAACGAGGCGTCCGTCAAGTCAATGGCAGGCGGCAGCTGAGTGTGACGACAAAGCTGAGGTATCTTAACGGGCGGTTTAGCTGCACCTGTCGGTCTGATCGGGTGGACCAAGCCTGTCATTGTGGGTCACAAACGGGGGGGCTGGGTCGGTTGGGAGTGGGCAGACCTAGGCCACTGAGATGACGACCACTTCAATGATTCGCATCCGCCCCTTGAGACCTCCGTCACAGCCACAACTCAATAAAAAAAATCGACTCCGTCATTCCGACCAAGGACACACCGTCACCAACGGGCATGGCAGATGGCATATGGCCGATGGCAGAACTGGAATTTTATGCGAGCGTGCGACACATGTTGTTTCCTGCTAAAAGTGTAGTGCTATTCTTTCCCGGACGCGGAAACAGGCACTTACTAAGATGATATGTCGCCCTGACATTTCACTGCAATAAGAAAAATGCCAATCATCATTGGGGTCAATTCAATTCAAGACCATGACAATTCCACGCAATTCCTCATCACGTTCCCGCCCCAAGTCAGACCTTCTAGATTTAGCGACTCGGTTCGGTTAAACGACTGCACCTCCCGTCAGTTGATCGATTGTCTTCGTCATGTGAGCATACTAGTTAGTATACGTATCCGTAGGATGTACCACAACCAGATCTTACCTTCCTTCGTAACTCCACACCTTCCCCTCTTTCACCTTCCCTGTGACTGACTATCTGCGACTTTCCGGCTCTGAGGGCCTTCCTCACCTCTAATGCCCTCGCCACTAGTAATAGTCCATGGGATGGATGGCCCTTCCTCCGTTTCTCCTATCTTCCCGGCTTTCTTCTCCTGCCGACTCATATTTCAGCGATCATCGCAGCAAAATGGAAAAGAGAGAAGGAGGGGAGCACAGATGCCCACGCCAGGCTGATCCCGCAAAAGGTAGGTGTCGCCAGGTGGTCATAGTTATGAACGCCCCCAATGGCTTATTGTGCATGTGCATGGATAATCCACAACGACAAACCTCCCTTTGGTAATACAATTGATCCGTCTTCATTTTTCCCACCGGGTGCTGTCGACATTACGGAGTACGTGAGGTCCTCTTGCCGCTGGGGATTCTGATCTGCCTCCTGAACCCCTTCTCGCCTAACAAACATTAGGAACCACCCTGCCTCGTTGTCCTCTGTACGCCGCACTAGGCACAGCGGGTTCAAACGAGCCCAACGCGCATGCATCGCTGGAACTCGACCACGCCTTATCCCAGCCAGGCGAGACTCAGCTTGACAGCCTCTTTACTGGGCTTGAGATGATGTGCTACCTCCCCCTTAACGGCCCCATCCTATCATCGTCGGCTCGGCCCACCTTCACATCTGCACTGTCCTCCGTGTTCGCCTCAAATACGAGTATCGTATGCTACTGTCTCTTAATGTCTTGTTCATCTAAGGCTCTGGAATGCTGCAACGTTGGTCCGGTCAGTTTTAAATCTCGAGCGATGAGCTACAACCACCACTCCCACAATTGGGCCCATCACAGTAGCCTGTTCTAGCTTATTTCTTTATTTTTATTATATATATATAATTGTTTGCATTTCCTCTTCCACGATTGCATGTTTAGAATGGCGTCCATCTACTGATCGCTATACCCTGATCATGTCCCAGGAGACGAAGCATCAAAAATTTAGAAAAGAACAAGTGGAACCAGAAACCAGTATAGCACCGATACCCTGCTACTATTCTGTTCCGGCACCCTGCTCGCTCTATTTTCTGAAGCATGCCGACGGCTCCGTGTTACAACCTGCTTCTGTTTTGCAATGCTTGTCCCGATTTCATTACTTGCCTTCATCTCCAATTCCATGCCTGCACGGCATCTGCCGAGTGTCCCTTGTCCTTATCCAACCATTACGGGTATGCTATGCGTGTCCTGCACAACTCCCCAACCTCGGCCAAACAACAGGCGACAAAGGCTCATTCACCCAAGGTGCCTCCACAATCTCCTTGTTCCCCCTCGTGCCCCTTCAGCACCATCTTACTAGATCAGGGACGAAGACCCTGGCTCCAATCAATTATCGCCTGCAAGGCGAAATCTCTATCGGTCGCCAATATGATTGTCCCTTATCTGGTTAGACCCAGTGCATAGCTTCCACATACTGCCCCATAATGGCATGCCCTGGTCCCCTACTACCGTGTTTTCCTTGTCTCTCCTGGGCCAGTACCGTTTGAATGGCTTTGTTGTGCGGCTCGCCGCCAAACCCTTTTCTTTGAGCATCATCGACATCCTCAAACTCACACAGACGTTGAGAGTCTGGACTACCGTCTGCATGTAACGGTTGTCTGTCCTCGGGTTATGAATCGCCCAGTTTGGGTTGAACCACCGCTCTTTGTCTGTTATTCATCCTATACACGCCTTTGTCCACACCCTCTTCCCAACTTCCTCTCATGCCTTGGATAAACGGCTTCTGGCCTTGGCCAAGCCTAGACCTCTCACGCTGTCCGCCTTACTCGTTACAGTCATCACTCACTACTTCTCCCGGCCTGCTTTGGCTCCCTTTGCCTGATACCCTTAGCCTTGTTTAACTGTTCCCCGATTTTCCCACGATGCCCGAGCTTGCCAACCAAGCCAGGAAACGCAAATAAAACAGCCCAGCCAGCATTTTCCGGCCTCCGGAACGCTAGCGGCGCCCTCGTCACTCCGCTGACTCTTCTCCAACATGATGCTTTCCAGATAGAGCACTATCCCAGCGAGCTGTCAGTCAACTTGATACGATTCGTATGTGCTTCCCCCAAGCTTGGTCCCTGTCCATTCGTTCTTCGTCAATTTATTCATCCCATATACCCCGGATCCCGCTTTGTTTCGCACAGACATCTAGCTAGGTAATCACCATCCGCCACAGCATTATTTTGGCAGCATTCACTTATTGTTCAATACCTTAAGCCTCCTAGTGATGACGCGTTGGGTGTGTGCCCACATCACATTGCGTGTGTAAGCTTTTGCCTGACCAAAAGAACTGGGATTCATAGCTTCGGGGGGCAGAGAGGGTGGTGCGTTTTGTGATGTTGATCAATGTACGCTCAACTACTGGATGGAGACGAAGTGTGTATGTGTTCACGTCCGTGAGCAACCATGCGACGTCGCCTGCCATGGTTGTCGCTTGATATGGCCCTGGCTTGGGCCGAGTTCTGCAGGTAGATCGCCGCATCTCTGGTCCTGAGACCCTGAAAGCGCTTCCGGGAATCCGTGCGCAGAGGGTAACGATAACACGCATAAAATCATCCGACTTCAAAGGGCGTCGTCCACTCGCATGTACAGTCATCCTGCTTGAAACGAGAATAAACCTTGCCACAGAGTCACATTAGGTGTGTCCTGCAGGATATCATTGTTCCGTGACTCTTTGCGTCTCGCTCTAGACGTAAACGCTAACCCGACGAGCCAATACTTTTCCTTGCCTCATCAACCAGAGGCATGGTGATATTCACGTTCTACTTACGTGCTTGCTTATGTTGTAACCGTGCACGAGTCTTTTATGCTGTCTACCGCGGAATTCAGCAGAGTTCTTTTGCGTAGCAAATCATCACTTTGGATAGTATCACCCATTCAGCTCCACCTTCTAGTTTTAAACAAGTACCTAGTCACCTTGAACGCCGTGCTCGTTGGGGAATAGAACTATTACTTCGACTTCCAATACTGTTCCCTTCAGGATAAGGTTACATGTTAATTTCTATCCCTTGCCTAATTGACCGGGTCGGTAGTCCTACAGTTGGAACGTGCATTTCAATTCTGAGGCGATTGGCCTCTAGATTGCGCCAGGCAAGTATGTCAATTGTACGACACACTTTTGCAAGTCAGCGCCAATTGTGACTTCTGGCTCACTAAGCAACATGACGCGGGACGAATTGCAATATTGCATAGGTCCAATTCCAAAGCGCTTAAGGGACATGACTAGAACAAGTGAGTTACAAGGAAGCGAGGACATTTACGCAGCGTCCAGTTTCCGGTTGCTTCGAAGTCTTTCCAGCCTCGTGTGATGCTTTCACGCTCCATACCATCGGAATGATTCACGATGCATCATTTTACCTACAGAGCATGTATGTATAGTCTTATCGTCTCGTAAGACAATCGACATACTCACGAGGATTTCTAGTTGAGGACACGATCAGTAGCTACTTTATTAACCACTGGCGAACACCCGTCTTTGTATATAATTTGTCGTTTGTTATTTTGGGTGACAGTTCAGTAATCACATCAAAGCTTTGATGAGAGTGAAACTAACCCTCGTCATAACAGGAATGAACAGCAGTACTGGATGGATTGTCTAACCCAATCTATTCCCAGTAGTTTCTAATCATTCATGTGAATCCTTGTCTAACATGCTTGCGTCAGGATAGGGCGACGCTCAAAGTAAGTCGATTTGTTATGCGGTATTTGCTACTTCTCTCAATAGCCCTCTATACTGCCAAGCAGTTGAACAGAGTCTGCGTCTACCACACCAGTAGGATTACACCAGCAACCTTAGTTGACTGTCTGCTAAATTGAGTTCTAGGAAAGTGTTCTTGGTTTCTGTTGTTCCCGTGTTCTAAGCTTTACAATATAAAGGGCCCTAGGGAGCAGAGCCATACACAAGCGATGTTACAGATGGATGACCAAAGGACCTCTGAGGTTCCAGGAGCGACAACGAAAACCAATCATGAATGTCTGTCTTTACTAACCAACTTTGTTAATGAGGCCCCTATAGAGTGTCAAAACCCCGCAAGGCTGTTGCTGGCACGAGATTTCAAGTTCCATGCCCAAAGCAATGATTATCTTCGAAACGCACAATACGGCTTATGCAATTATGTGATTGCGTGTGCCCTGCTCCTCTTATGTAAAATGTTGTTTGAAATTAGTCTCCTTTCCTTCTGTTTTGAGTTGTAATCTTGAGCCACATAGAGGTTGATCAGGCGCAAAGCATCGTACATACATAATAGCAGATGGTTTCTCATGAAAATGGATGCTTAGGCAGCCACTCGGGGTGAAAAGTAAATGGCCGCTTGATCATAGGCAATATTTCCCCAATAAGCCTTCTGCCCCAAGAAAAGACTTTTAACAATAGAAAATTATTCATAAAATGCGTCAGCAGCTTACTGATTCTCTCAACAACTTTCCCAAAGCAGTGGACCCGGAGTGATGCGGCGCCGGATCGCCCCACACCTGACCCGATAAGCACGTGGGTCCACGGAACTGCCTCGGGCTGTGTTCAGGCCATACCCTATTCGGCCCTTGGAAGCGATGGAGAAGCGAATGCGAAGGCAATCCCAGCAAGAGGTGCGCATTCTCGCCTCTAACAGGTTCAATGCTCTCTGACTTGGGAAAGGTTATAGCTGCTTTGGCGTCACTAGGGTGGAGAAGAGATTGTAATGGCACTTCGAACGTACGTGGTCGCAAAGGGCAGCTGAAAACCACATTCACGTCGTCGGTGCACCTCACAGGACTTCACCTGAAGTTTTCCACGTGTCATGTGTCCCGTATTCGTAGCCTATTGCAAATGCATTCTGAGCTGCGTGTGTCAACTGTCGTCATCGCCTGGATTTCCCGAGCTATGCACGTTTCTCTTGAGGAATGGTCGAGCTATAAGTTACCCCATGCCCGTTCGTGGAACCTAGTGCAACCTACGGTATAAGTACAGGCACTTCTTGAAGGGGTCTCGATTGAACATTTCAGTTAAAGAACAACAACAACACTGATTAGAGGCAGATCAATCCACTCTATCTCTACAGGTATTCAACCGAAACCACCTCTATTCGCCTAATCCGACAACTGTCGAAGTGAAAGCTACTATGTGCGGTTGCAAAAGACGTCGTGCCGCCCGTGCCGCATGGATTGAACAACATGCCGCAGGTGGCAGAGGATGCGGAAGAGGGTTCAGCCCCAACGCAGCCCCCCCATTCTACCCTCCATTTATGGGAGGCCCTTTCGGTCGATGGAGAGACACACCTCACAATAACGGGCTCGGAGGCCCCTCGCAACACGAATCGATCCATCCTCGTGAGACGTCTCCTTCTGGAGACATTGAAAAGACAGGAGCTTCGCAAACAGAGGCAAACCGTGTATCTTTCACGCCAGGATCTTTTGGCCGATGGCGAGATTCAGTCAAAAGCGACAAGAAGATGAACATCAAAAGAGATTCGGCCGCCAGCCAGCCTCCGCACTACACGTCTGGGATCAAAGAGGGGCCGCAGGTGGATGGAGAGAAGCCAGCAGCGATGCGAGAGGCTCTCCCACCAACATATGAGGCAGCGACAAAGCACTGAATAAGAAATGGGCATGGTCAAGGGGTGGTCGCGACTCAACTGGACAGGGCTTACAGGAGGATAGAAGATGAAACAGATATTAGCGGAAAGGAAACGTGAGACTTTGAGAAGTAGCAAGCAGATGTTGGAAAAAAATTGGGACGAATACTAAAGCTATATCATAAAAGTAAGGTATCTGCACTGGGTATTCCGGAATATAATTACTTAACTCCAATCTGCTACAAACGAAAACCTCGTCTGTTCCTGTGTGTTGAATTAAATATTTGATCCACCATATTTCTTATTATGAAAGGGGGAAGGATAGAAAGAAAAGTACAGTATATACATATACAAAACTAAAGTCCAGGTGTAAGTGGAGGTAAGGGCGAGCAGAAATGATGAGATCCTAGTCCCAGTCCTCATAGCCGCCGGCCCCATATGGGTTCCATTCTTGCCCAGGATAGCTTGTTGCGCTCATCTGGGGGGCGTCTGGATCATCATCTTTTCTGTATTTATTCCCCGAGGACTGCTTCTCTTCGTAGGGGTCAACTAAAATCTTCTCCTCTTGAGCCTCGAGCCTCATGGTTCTCATACGCTCGTCTTCAGTGTCTTCTAGCTCCGCCCTTGTGCTTTTGCCGCGGGTAAGTGTGGTTGAAGCTGCACCGTTAATATTGCCGTTGGTGTGAGTAGCGTTGCGCGGCGCTTCATCTGCTGAACTATCGCTGACCTGACTTTGCCCAGTCTTAATCGCAATGACGGGTTGTGCTGATGGAGGAGATGGACCAGATGGTAGGCGTGGGGTAGAGTCATAGATGTCGTCTGAGCCCTCCTGGTTTGCCTTTTGTACATTGATACTCAAATGAGGAGCAGCAGTTGTGGACGGGATCGGGGCTTGGTTTCTGCCTGCCATGACCAGTGTGGCTGAAGACGCGGCTCGCAAAGTATTGTCCCCAACGCTTTCTGGCTCGGCGGCAACATCTTTTGGAGTTGTTGTGTGTATATTAGAAGATGATAGGCCATTAAGCTGGGCCTTGGCCACATTAGTACCACGCACTTGATCTCCGTCAATATCGGAAACTTTCGAATCCTGGAAACCTCTGCCAATTTTTGGTTGGGTTTGCGAAGATGCCGTATACTGTTCAGCAGGGACGACTGGATTTAATTGCTGTTGCTGCTGCTGCTGTTGTTGTTGAGGAGGAGGAGGGGGGGGAGACTGCTCTGTCTGAGGTACAGTCTGGTAGTCCAATTGGTTCGGGGTATGGGAGCTGAGATGAAGGTTGCCTGGGGAATCAACTTGGGAATCGGGATGATGGTTGACTAGAGTATTCGGGCCCACGTCCTGAGACGAGAGATATGAAACGCTAGGTTCCCTTTGCCGATGTTGGCCATATCCTTGCACACCTCCGTTAGGACTGTTATAACCAAGCTGTGAACTGTGGCTTGTATTCGAGACATTGGACAGGTGAGATGCCGCACTTATGCGCCGGTCCGCCATCAGAGGTACCACGGGCTGAATATGAAGTTGACTTTGGGGTTGAATTTGCACTGTCTGATGTTGATGCTGCTGCTGGCTCTGTATTGACGCATCTGAAGGACGGCTTGGAGCAATTGGAGGCTGGGCCCAGTGTTGCTGCACAAGCGATATCTGATGGTGGGGATACTGAGCTGGTGGCGAAGGATGTCCGATGTTATAGGGGGAAGGGGCCATGCCTCCTTCGCCATGAACGGCGGCGTAACCTCGAGGAATTGGAACTTGATCATACTGGGGCTCCTGATAAGGCTGAGACTGAGGCATGTGAGGGTGTAAACCGGGAGGAGTGGGAACTTGGGTCATCGCAGGATCAGCTTTCATTCGTTGGTACTGTGAGATTTGGTTTCCACCTTGGGAGGCATCTAGGCCTCCATTGGACAAGATGTGCTGAGGAGGTGGCCGTTGTCCAGATGCTGCTGATGGCAACGGTGATTGACGCTGCTGCTGATACATAAGATGGGGAGGCCCTTGCATTGGATGAATGTTGCGCTGGTTCAGAGGACCGGATGGTGGTATCCCTTGCTGCCCGTGTCTAATATGGATTGATGGCGGTTGCTGTCCTTGGCCAGGTTGTGATGATTGTTGCGGCGGCAGTTGCGACTGTCGAGGCTCTGGCTGTTTTGAGGATCTCTTGAATGCGCCAAAGAGAGATTTGGTTGTTGATTCTTTCTGGTAAGGTTGAGATTGAACGGCTTGTGTAGAGGCTCTACTCTTAAACCATTTAGAGACTGAGCCTTGCTGTCCCTGGTCACTCAGGGCTAGGACAGCCGGTTGCTGCCCTTGTCCTGATGCATAAGGGAGTGAATGTTGCTGTCTTGGGTTCGATGGTATCTGAGAGAACTGGCCAGGACCGAGATCTGCAAGAGTATAGGCCTGCTGGCGGAACCCCTGAGGCGCGAAGGAAGACATTTGCCGAGAGGTCTCATCAGGTCGTTTCACACTTCCCTGGACGAATGGGTCTGATGGGCCTTTGAATGTTCCTGATGCAGGTGCTTGCCCGCCTACCACAGTAGGGGTAGTAGTAGTGGTGGTGGTAGTAGGAGGCGGAGGCTGTACCTGGGAGGCATCTGACAGTCTCAGCGACGCTGATGTAGGCGAGTGCTGTGATATATCTGACCGATTGGCCGCACTGCCGGGTGATTGAGGTCTCGCACCGGCTGGGGCCTGCAAAGACACAGGTCGGTCAGGGAACCGGCTGACAGAATCCCCTGGGTTTCTAGGAGTATGAGCGGCGTTGCCGTGTGCTTGTAATAGAGGGGGCGGTCGAGAATCAGTAGATTGCAATTGCCCGCCTTCGAGCTTAGAAGGTGATTGTTGTGCGGCACCTATCCCCTGTATAGGGTTCATTTGAGTTTGAATCTGACCACCTGACTGCACATCATGTGATGGTTCATCGCGGACTTGCGACAGTGAAGGAGAGGTTTGTCGCCTGTCACTCCGCTCAGATAATGCCGGTGAAGGTTCGCCCTGAGTGATTTGAGATGTTGGGATGTGGCGACGCTCCCCTGGGGGCGCTGCCCTGTTTGGGGTATGTTCAGGTTTAATTTGTGGGTAATCGATACCTTTGGCTGTCTTGTCTGGCGCATCTTGATCTTGATGTATGCCACTCTCAACATCGGAAGTTGGTCGTGCTCCCAACCTGGCTGGGCCGTAGCCCTGTTTAGTATCTGGAATCAAGGTCGTGGGTTGCGAAAGATGAGAGGCTGGCGAGCGAGCTCCATCCAACGATTGTGATGGGTCTTGCTGAGTCGCAACAGGCTGTGATTGAGCTCCATTGCCTGGGGCTAAATGCCCAGCTGACAATTGAGGATAGAATGGATGTTGTGCCGGGCCGTTTATTGGCAGCTGCCCAATTTGACGGTTTGGCCCGAGGCTGGAAGGTTGAATTTGATGTCCGGACTGTTGCATTTTGACTTGCGCGAGGGCTTGACTATTCTGATATGGCCCATGTTGGACAGGTTGCTGGACCTCTTGATTTCTGGAGGATCGGTGACCAAACAAACCAGACAGAAAGCCACCTGCTGAGCTTCTCCTTCCGCGGTCCTCCTCACCAACAGTCTGTAATTGCTTACCGGTCTGGTGTAGACTATATGGCCCGGAACCTGTGGTGTTGCTACGTTCTCTTCCTTGAGCTATCGGCGAACTAGGTACGCCTACTTGATTCCCGATAGCTCCAGTATTGTGACTCTGAAAAGATGATGCTACTGAATGAGATGTACCAGGTTTTGACGGCAACTGTAGATCTTGCTGGCTCGAAGTGCGGTTGAAAACTTTACCAGCAAAGCCAGAGAATCGTTTCTTTGGAGGGCCTCTGGCACCAGAGGCATGCTCGTTCTCAGCAGTTGAAGTGGATGAGCGAGACAGAGATGGATGGTTGATAGAGGTGTCGTTCGCAGCTGGGCCGAGAAACGATCGTTTTCTGTCTGCAAACGCGGCCGACTGTTGGCTTTGATCAAAGATGGGTTTGGGACTGGCTTTGGGCGAGGGTACAGTTCCATCACCATCCTGAACTAATGGCTTTTCAGCATCTGAGGGCCTGGATCCCCTTAAAGTAAGGAAGAAACTAGACCGCCGCTTTTGTCTATCCTGAATCTCTTGCGTGGCAATGCTTGACACAGAATTCCTATCTCTCTCATCAGAGCCGACGGGATGGCCAGGCATTCCCGCCTCGTCTTTGAAGTTTTGTCTTTCTCTTGAAGATGCCCGCGACAAGCGGTCACCAATCTCTTTGAAGAAACATGAACCGTATTTGCTTCTACCCCGATCATCATCTCCCGACGGCTCCACGCTGCTTACTTCGGAGTCGCCTGTTTGGGTCCTCTTTAAAGAGGTATTGTCTCGTGGATGATGTTGCTGACCAAGATCGTAAGAGCTCCACGGTCCAGTTGGAGAAGTAGGGTTCGGGTAGCCTTGCGGTGGTGAGGTGAACAAGCCGGGATATCGCTGTGCTGATGATGGAGGCACCTCCGAGAACTTATGTCGGGGCGGGAGCTGCGTCTCTTGACGTGATACTGTTGGCGGGGGCACTCCAGTCTCTTTATCAAAGCCAAAGAACGGCTGGTGCGGAGACACTGAACCACCAGACTGGCGATTGCGGCTTGCTGGTAGAAGTGGCTCTGAGAGGTGAGATTCCTCAAGCTTCCAGGGCCCTTGCGGTGGGAGGTGATGAATTGGATTACCCCCCAAAGTCGGTGACATCATTCCTTGTTGAGATCGCATACCAGGACCTAACAGCTGACCCCCTATGCGGCCCTCATTCTGCGCTGCGAGCTGTGTATTAATGGGATCTGGGGTGGGGCCACCAGGCCTGAAAGATGATCGAGGATCTAATGGTCTTTTCTCGTCATCAACCCTCCAGTCAACACCGGTGCTTTCTGTCGCTAAGGTTGCAGCCTGAGTAGATGTGGCTGAAATGATTTGATGAGATATAGTGCTGTCCTTTCGGGAAGCAGACAGTCCTGTCTCGATTTGCGCAGGCTGCGCAGTTTGAATAGATAGTTTGGGCTCTCCTTGCTGGATTTGCGACGTGCTGCTGGGACCGGGCCCTTGTTGCCCTGCTGACGTTCTAACTGGAGACGATACAAGAACTTGTCCTTCAGCGTCGTCTTCCTCGTCCAGAGAGAATCGCTTTTTGGCTCTCCTAGTGAGATTAACTCCGAAGGTAGAACTCCGTCTGATGGGGGGAAGACCGATGAAAGAAGACTGGCGTTGAGGTGATTCTGACTGTTGTTGAGATGGCAGTTGCTGATGAGCCTGGTACTGAGTCTGCTGTTGGACATGTCGGTATGCATGTGACGCATCCGTAGTAACATCCTGACTGGCAACAGGTTTGGATTTCTCCTTCAAGAAAATCTCGTTACTGGTTCCAGCGGGCTGGATTGAACGGGCCAGCTGCGGTGACTCTGGTGACACTACATAAACATGTTCCGAAGCAGCTGACTGCGGCGATACCACTACCCAATCATCATACTGGTCCTCAATTTTTGTGTTCTTCGTTGCTGATGTGGTTTGTGCTGGCAAAACAGTTGGAGCAGGAAGAGTAGAATGCGCATGGGTGCTGAGATCCTCGGGCTGCCCCATCTCGAATCCCTCTTTTTCAACCAAGGATGTACCTTTCAAGGGATCGCACGATAACTGGTTCTTGTCCGCGGATGTTGACGCTTGGAGGTCGCCGCCGCCGCCAAAGGTTCCATCATGGGTCTTGTTGTGCTCCTGAGGGCCCGATACGGACTGAGTCTCCGAGACGGGAGACACTGGCTCCGACTCGCTGTTCCGGCGAGCGTCGGCAGGATGCTTAGGGGTCTTAGGCCGAGGTGGGGCCCAGGCCGAAGGCTTATTGTCCTGAGTCAAGGCATCGAATGGGGAGATACGTGACGTCTGGGGCAGTTGAGGTGGTGGAGTCGGAGATGCCGGATGTTCCGGGATTGTTTGTGAACTAAGAGCTGGGCCAGGCATAGATTCTGAGAACGACGCTGAATGTGCATGACTGCCGGCATGGGGTAATGAGCGGGTTCCGAGGCTAATGCCCCATGACGTACGACGCTCTGCTTTGGCCTTGGATTGGGACTGGGCCGGCGGGGGAGACGAATCGCTCTGTGGGAGAACAAGCAATTAGAGATGATCACCACAAAAATGCCACCTAGAGTCTTAAATATCTGAGGCACCACAGGGGTTACATGATCGTGCAAAATGAAGTCGTAGCATTCCTTATTCATACAGTTCCATCATCCTGGCCGAAAAGGGAGGCACATTGCTCATGAGTGATTACCAGGGGAAAACAGAAGAAGAGGACGAGGAAAAAAAAAAAAAAGAGACTGCGAGTGGAGAACGAAATGATCGGTCAACCCCAAAATTAAGAGAGAATGCATGTCCTGTGATGTGACGATCCCAGTTGAGAAGAATGTTAAAGAAATACCTTGTCCCCAGTGCCACGGAGTTTGTTCTTGCCCTTGCTCAATAGACCTTTACCCGCCTTACCCGCCGCAAGCAACAGTCCCTTGCCCTTCGCCCCAACTTGACCGCTCGAATGCTTGAAATCGCTTGAAGGTGAATGGGACCCCATAGGCACACTGCCCACAGGAGGACGACCTGATGCTGATGCCGTGTTGACGTTGGGCGAGCTTGCATTCAGATACTGTTGGTAATAAGGCTGCTGAGAAGCCGGCTGGGATGCAGCTGGTGAAGACTGCGGTTGACCAGCATTCGAAGCATGGGCTGCGAAAGAGGCAGTCGCATTGGCGTGCTCCGGGTGTTGAGACTTTAGAGTGGCTAACCAATTGTTAAGCCCAGAGTCCATCGACGCAAACTGTTCTCTGGTTTCATTGTACTTGTGGATCCTCTCCGATGCGCTTGGAAGCTCCATGATTTCTTTGAAGTTAGTGATCTTAACTGGAGCGGCCGGCTGGTGCTGCTGATGCTGTGATAACTCGGGAGATGCAAGCGGAGGCGTAGGTTCCTCCGAAGATTGGCCCACCGCCGGGTGGACACCCGGCGGTGGGCTGGGAGAGACGGGACTAGGCGAAACCTCAACCATTGACTTTTCTTCCGCTAGTGACACGCGCCGGGGCTGTGCGGTCGGAGCACTGTTTATATCAGTCAAGACTGATACAGCCGATGGGGGTTGAATAATTTCCGAGCCCAACTGATCTCTCGGCACCGAGTTGACCTGCGACGCTTGGTGTGACATCGTGCCTGAATTTGGTGGCACTGCGATATGCGTCTCATCTTTTGCGGAGGATGGCTGCGAATGCCCGGCTTCTTTAAGTTCTTCAAGCGACAAAGCCTGTGACTGTGAATGCTCCTGAGCAGAAGATGGGCTGACAGTAACCCCAGAGCTGGGTTGTGGTTGAGATCCAGGCAGGGGATCTTTTTCAAGGTCGGTGGGTTCTGAGGTTACTTGCTCCAAGCCCGCCTCCCAAGAAAACCGCCGACCATGAATTGGGGGTGTTCCAGCAGCCTCTTTACGGGGACTCAATGGAGGAACCTCGGAAATGTCTTTATTTGAGGCAGAGGTGACTATCTGCTCGGCTTGCTTGGCAGGTAAGTCAGGTACACTGGGCTTATCGTCCCCTGCGGCCCAGTAGTCATCATAGACACCATGTAGGTACGTGCTCTCACGAGGACCACTATCCTCTCCGGCCTGGCCTAGTATCCTGCCGTTCACGTCATTTGTGGGACGAACTGGGCTTAGGCTGCGCATGATCTCTTCTCTCAACTTGTCGCTTTCTTTGACAGGGGATGGAGAGTTAATCGTGCTCATGGTCGATTCGCGATGCAACTTCTCCGGTGCCACAAAATCCATTGAAGAGCTATTCGAAGGCTGAGGATTCAGAGGAGCCAAAGGCTTGATACCGATATTAGCTTTGTCGGCATCCCGATTGGATGCTTCAGCCTGCTGTGAGTCGGCAGGAATAGGAATCGGTATCGATACCGGTTCCTTCGCCGTCAAGACACCACCACTATGTGGTTCTTCGTCTTCATTGTCGGATATGGGAGAAACCTCACCAGAATCCAAGTTTGCGACCTTCTTTAAAACCGTAGCAGGTGGTGTCTGTTCGTCGGTGACTGACCGTGTCTCAGTGACCCAGCCACCAGGAAGGGAAGGTCGTGATGCCTGGGAAGGCAAGCTCGATACTGTCGGCTCCAAGTGCTCATTTGCTGGCGATTCCTCTGGCAGACAAACTAATTTATTTCTGTCTTGTTGGTCAGGTACCTGTGGAGATTCGGCTCGTTGCGGAGTTGAACTGGAAGTCGACAGTGAGGATCCTACTTCGACACCTGCCGCCGCTGTCGTTTCCTTAGACAGTGAGTTCCCAGGTGAAGACGCCAGTCCAGGCGGCGGCTGCAAAGGAGGCATTGGGGGGGCGTCGTCAGCGAACTTGCCAGGGTTGGAGAAAAAATCGTCTCCAAAAAGCGACATGCGAGCGAGATCAGGCAAACGTGGGCTTGAGGAATAACGCCGTTGCTGCTCAGCCTCTTCATTACTTGGGTGTTGCAGTTGAGGTTCAGATGATGGTTCAGGTACACCAAGACTACCTTGTTCAAGGTTTCCAAATGCAGGCGAATGAATGTGGTTTTGAGGGTGTGTGTGTAGGCCGTCGAAGCCGTACTCGCTCCTTCTTTCTGCAACCGGCTTCAAAACGGTTTGCTGTTTGTTTTGGGCGGCATCTCCTCCTTCTGACCTGGCCAAAGTATCGCCCCCAGACTGCTCGCTACTTTCGGCGCCAGAAACGGCTGCTTTCGAAGGCGATGCGGAGCGATCGCTCACGGGGTTTCCGGTACTGTCCAAGCTTGGCCGTTCCAACTCCGTGGGCCGCTGCCCCTCTTCTTTCTCATCATCCAGACGGCGATAAATATCAGAGGGACGCACAAAAGGAAGTGCCTCGGAATTCGAGGGCGTGCCAGACGATGTGATAATGGGAGGAGACGTCGGCCTTTGTTCAACAAGGGGAGGATGAGTGGAGCTTGATCGCGAGTTCGAATGACGATCCGTGTCATGTTGGCTCATGCTACTCTTACGAGGTGGAAAAAGAGGAGCCTGGTGTTGTGCTAACTGCTGCTGTGGTGGCGGCGAGGCTCGCGGACTACCCACAGAAGAGGGAATACTTTGAGAATGCCCGTAGCGGCCTACAAAAGGGCCGGGATTTGGGCCAACACTGGCCGATTGCGGCGATACCAGTTGTTCGTACGAAGGCTTCTCAGCAGAGCTGTCCATTGGGGATGGACCGGAGACTTCGGGAGGTCTGATATCATTCGACACGGTCTGGATGACGGCTGACCCAGGCTGCGGCTTAGTCTGGGTTTGGAGAGGTGGGAGACCAGCCGTGGCCCGGGGACTGGAGGACATTCTTGATTCATTCCCGGTCGGCTGCAGCGGTCGTGTCGTCGACACCGGCTCCTCAGATTGGGGTGCCGACGGCTGATTAGATGGGAGGTTGGCAGTTGTCGCCTGGCTAGGGCTTGGTTGGCGGAAACCCATCTTGGGTTTAAGAGGAGGTACGGGCACCTGTTCATCAGGCTCATCGTCGAAGTCGTTACCCCAGTCATCGCCATCGTAGTTCTGGGTCTTAGCTTCGACCCATTTCTTTGTTTTTGTTCTCTTCACATTAGTCTTATATGCACTCGTCGGAGTCTCGGGGCTTCTGAAATCATGCATGCGCAATCAGCATCAATTACGACAAGTTGGCCAAGCTGGTGGAGCTGAAGGCAGATAGCGGGAAGGAAGTAGCACTCACAGGGACGACTGGCCATGAAGCGGCCTGGAGCCGTAGTTATAGCCGTCCATCGCGTCGTCAAAGAGTCGCGTCAAGCCCGTCTACACTTTCATATCTCCCTTACTGTTACGGTGTGGTGCTATCCCGAGGTTTCGAGCGACTTTGAAGCGGGTATCTTCAGGCGCGCGACCGCGGTCAGTGGCTCGTTCAATGTATTGGGCTGGCTGTAGATGTGGGTGATCCACCCTGGAGATCCGATTGCACAATGCCCGTTCGAGCAAGAGCAAGAATTAATGTACTTGAAAGGGAAGTGATAACAAAGGCAATCAGGATAGGTGCTCCCAGAGGTCTGAGTCCATGCAAGATTGGCCAAGCGCTGAACGGACCAGGGCTTGATGGATGGTGTAGTTCGCCAGTCTGTCCGTCCACAACTTTTGCTGGAGATGGAGACCCAAGACGGGATGATAATTTGGGGGCTTGGGGAGTGGCTTGGAGTGGTCCTTAGCTCACCTCACCTTACTAACAGCACCATTCCTCGTACGGAGTAGAGAAGCGCAGATTGCGGACACAGACGAATGGCTCTCAGCTGAGCTAGGCTGCACACTTTCACCACCCCTGCCAGGATGTCCCTGCGCCTAAACAGATGCTATGTTACTCTGCAGCGAGTCTGTGGTGGACAAGTACTTGGATCATTGTAGGATGGAGCCATCGGCCGTGCTGTAGAGCGGGGTCTGGTATGGGCTCCTATCCAATAAGAGACTGAAAATGCTCAGTTAGGTTGACAATGCGTAGCGTAGAACAACAGGGGTAATAGGGCGTTGTGGCATGCATGCCATTGAACTGGGTAACTGTGTTGAGATCTGTGAAGACTTAGGGGTGGGACATGCATCTACTAGTCTTGAAGCGATAGCACTGAAGGGCAGCACAATCTTCAACTTGTGTTCTGGGAGATCGCGTTGAAATGGCACTCGCAATCAAACGATCGCCGTCATATGTTGGGGCCAAGTCTCTCTCGGTACGCTTCATACCACTGCCCACCTACATGAAATTGCCTTGCGATTTCAGGACCAGGAGCGTATGGGAAGTGGTTTGGTTGCCTCTGGTACAACAATTATGGGATTGGCTGTTAGACTTCAATGTTAGTACCGTGTTGGCTCCATTCCATGCGCAACCCTGCTTGCTGTTCGGGACGATTGAAATTCATGTATGTCACAATGCTCCCACCCTCGTTACGTTTCTTATCTCCTACGTTGTCACCTCAGTTGTGCTACAGGGAACTCTCACTGAGCACATCCGCAGCATGGTTCATCTCAAGCTGATAGGCACTCACCTATGCTCCTACGTTTGAGATCGAGGCTGCCATCTTCATATGTGGCGGTGCAATATGAAATGCGCCACATGCGCGCCACATTAGCATGTTTGCTGTCGCGCTCTGGCCAGACGGCCTAGTGTATATGCTCTTCCGAAACAAAAAACCACGTTGACGGTTGGATCGGACACCCTGGCCCCGTCATTCCGACCGGACGTTTGGAGACGGCATCAACGGCTTGCGTGTAATCCTCCCAACTACGTCGATATATCCACTTAGTCTAGGTCACGATAACAAACGCATCGCATCGCCTTGTACAACCACAGCAACTACTTTCCGCTGCCGTAGCCTCCCCTTGCCGTGCCCGGCGCGTTGTCGCATTGGGCCTGCCAATCTTCCACCCCTGACTACCTGTTCGCCCCATTTCCCAGTTTTTTGGTATCGCGACGACCGAACCTCAGTCTGCACAAAGGCGTCGACGAAGTCATACGTTCCAGTCGCCACCACCCGAATTCTTCGATTCAACCGACTATTTAGTGTATTGAAGACATCATGGCCGTTGCGTCGATACAGGATCGAACTGCCGAGTTCAAGTCGGTTCTCGCGCAAGCACAACGTCGGCAGGCTTCGAGTAAAGTCGGGGCTCAACGTCGATCTCTATTGAGTGATTCTCAAAAAGCTGCAGCCGATGGCGACTCGAGGCCTCGACGATCTGAATTCGCACGTCAGGCGGCACAGATTGGAAGGGGAATATCCGCCACGATGGGCAAGCTGGAGAAGTTGGCAACCTGTACGAATTTACTTGCTACCATCTCTACTAGGCATGCGCATCTTGACACTAACATTCCACTCTACAGTGGCGCGGCGCAGAACGCTGTTTGATGACCGGCCTGTCGAGATCAACGAGCTCACCTACATTATCAAGCAAGATCTGAGCTCCCTCAACCAGCAGATCGGTAACCTACAAGTTTTGACCCGTCAACAACATCCTAAGGCCGACCAAGAAGGCGAACACAACAAGAATGTTGTCTTTATGCTTCAGGGCAAGCTAACAGACGTGTCCGCCAACTTCAAGGATGTACTAGAAGAAAGGACGAAAAACATACAGGCCTCTAGGTCAAGAACAGACAACGTGCGGACATGGACTCAACAACCATGAGCAGATGTGCTAATGTAATTGCAGTTCATTTCCAGTGTCTCCCAGCATGCGCAGCCGCCTTTGCAGCAGTCGGCGTCGCCCCTTTATGGCACGCCGCAACGAGGAACTCCATCGCCAGGGGCCGATCTTCTGTCCTTGAACCCTCCTGGTGACCAGCAACTCCTTCTGATGGAGGAGGCACAGCCGCAAAATACGTATATTCAGGAAAGAGGCGCGGCAATAGAAAGCATTGAGTCAACGATTGCCGAACTCGGATCTGTAAGTTCCTGCCTGTTTACCGCTTTCTGCTCGACCGGTGTAGGCTCACAGAACGACCTAGATCTTTGGACAGCTGGCAACCATGGTATCGGAGCAAAGCGAAATGATTCAGCGCATTGATGCAAACACAGAAGACGTCGTTGACAACGTTCAAGGCGCGCAACGAGGTAAGGAACGGGACTAATTTCCATGAATGTTATTATACCTGATGACCGTTTTTAACCCGGAGTACAGAATTGCTCAAGTATTGGGGCCGTGTCTCCAGTAACAGGTGGCTGATTGCCGTATGTTGTCCCCAAGAAGCCATTCTGGTGGTAAAGTTGCTAACTCAAAGACTAGAAAATGTTTGGAGTACTCATGATCTTCTTTCTGTACGTTATCGGGGTCGCTGCAACGTCGGGATGTTTACTGATCAACAGGGCAGACTTTGGGTCCTTATTGCTGGCTGAGAAAGGAACGCCGGTGACGGTTCGGGGAGTTAATAAGATGAGAATGGGTGTTGGCACCTGTAATACCAGAGCGGATCGGGATACCACCAGCTGTACGATGATATTGGGACGATGGTGTGGCGCGGCGATAGAGCTTCTTCCTTGCATACCATTAGATCTATTAATCACGAAAGAGGTTAACTTCGGCGAAGAGTAGCGCGTGCATGCTTGGCCTGGCCTTGGGCTCCAAACTGTTGGTGGTGTACCTGTGTCAAGGCCGCCTGTGGAGGGCAGGTAGAAAGGTGGATTTTCTCTGTGCTGGGAGGAGGTACCATGTACATGTCAGTTTTTCTCACCTGCAGTTACGCTTAATCCACTCAGCTTGGCGCTGAGGAAACAGCCACTGTTGATCCCAAGCCGTTGCTGGAGCTCGGGCTTGATTCCGGAATCTTTTCCCGTACTTAATCGCCTAGCCAAACAGGGCTTGAGAAAAACGGCAACTGCCAACGAGGCCCGCCACGAATCGGCCGTCTCGAAACTTCAGCTTTCCCACCTGCCACCGTTCCCGTCTGCGCCCTTATTGTAAAGCAAAACCCAGCTAAATAGCGGGTCCCTATTTCCATGACTCGGCCCAACAATGCCCGAAACCTGTTCCGATAACCAAGGAATTCTCCATGAATGGAACTCTCATGACCCACCAAGGGCGAGGGGAGAGGGGAGGGTCCATACGCCAGACTGGTCAAACTGGGGAAACCCACACGAAAGACAGTTGCTGGAGTAGCTAAATCCGGTGGCGGTATCATCCTAGCCCGAGAGTGACACACAAATCGCGGGCTGTTACCTGAGAGGATGTAGAAGAGGAGGAGGGGCGGGAGGAGAGAGGGCGATTCACGCGAGAGTCCCGAAGATTGTCGAGCATTTACCCGGCTGTGGCCAGGACCGCAATTCATGACAACCCTGATAGCATTTCACTCTCATTTTTCGGGTGCTGTTGACATATATACCGAGAGCACACACCCATTCACGACGTTTTACGAGTGACGTCTCATTTCACCCCTAACTTTAACCCGAGTGTTTTCTCATATTTTATGCGCAGTGCTTTGCTCTCTTGGAATAGAACATTCACTCTTAAATTACCCCGCCCCCGCCTTTCCATCCAGGAACGTCCGCGACATCTTCGATACCCAAACCGCATTTTCTTCGTTTCTACTAGACTCTCAATCATGCCTTCGCAGACTTTCAAGTTGAACTCGGGATACGACATCCCCGCCGTTGCACTCGGTAAGAAGAGCATTTTTGGGCTGTTTTCCTCTTTGGCCGCACAACTAACCACCATCCCAAGGCACCTGGCAGTCTGCCCCCGGCCAAGTCCAGGAAGCCGTCTCCTATGCCCTGAAGATCGGCTACAAGGCTATTGATGGCGCCTACTGTTACGCCAACGAGGACGAAGTTGGCCAGGGTCTTAAGGAGGCCTTTGCCAATGGCGTTAAGCGCGAAGACATTTTCGTTGTCACCAAGCTTTGGGCTACCTACACAACCAGCGATGAGAGAGTAAAGCTGGGTCTTGAAAAGAGCTTGAAGAGCCTGGGCCTTGACTATGTTGACCTATTCCTTGTCGTATGCTCCGCCCTTTTGATGACAATGTGAGATTTTCGATGCTAATGAGGAGAATAGCACTGGCCTGTTGCCATGAACCCCGAGGGTACGTTGGTTCACTCAAAAAATCCATCTAGCAAGCCCCATACACCTGTGCAATTGGGCCAGAACTCGTGATGGATTGACTGACCGAACAATCTACAGGCAACCACGACAGATTCCCTACTAAGCCCGACGGCAGCCGTGACATCCTCCACAGCCACTCCCATGTTGATACCTGGAAGTCTATGGAGAAGCTCCTAGACACTGGCAAGGTCCGGTCCATTGGTGTTTGCAACGTGAGTTCGCCTTTCAGTCTCCGCATCATAGAAATCAGACAAGCCTGTCGAGCATACACACGAATTACTAACAACCTGATGCAGTACAGCAAGAGATATCTCGAGGAGCTCCTCCCCCAGGCCAAGGTCGTTCCCGCCGTCAACCAGATCGAGAACCACCCCAGTCTGCCTCAGCAGGAGATTGTCGACTTCTGCAAGGAGAAGGGCATTCACATCATGGCCTACAGCCCACTCGGCTCTACTGGTGGCCCCCTCCTGAGCGCCGCCCCCGTTGTCAAGATTGCCGAGAAGCGGGGTGTCACGGCCTCCACCGTGCTCCTCAGCTACCACGGTGCGTCCACGCTCTTTATGTCACATTACTTATTCCCTCAGCCTGTTTGGTCACTAACGTATTGTGCTACTCTTCTAGTCGCTCGTGGCAGCACCGTCATTGCCAAGTCCGTTACCGCCGAGCGCATCAAGGCCAACCTCGACATTGTCGACTTGGATGATGAGGACCTTAAGGAGCTCCGCGCCTACTCAGACGACCTGACGGCTAAGAAGGAGCTGAAGCGTTACGTCTACCCTCCGTTCGGCATTGACTTCGGGTTCCCCGACAAGTCTTAACTCATGAATGAATACTAGATATAGAGGAAAGAAATAAAATAAATATGTTGTGAACACCAGATGTATGCGTTTCAGGTGATTGAATTGCTGAAATCTTGGAGTTTTCAGATCTTGTCCTTTTTTTCAGTTTGGACCATGTCTAATTGTTTAATGCTGGCATTCAAAACGGGCGGCATATCCTACGTCCACATGTAAACTGGGAGGAGCAAAAGGCGGAGTTGACACATGTATGATCTCCTTAGCAGAAGAGTAGGACGTGACGAGTAGACTTCAAAAGATTGCATTATTTTCTTGTTCTAAGTGGAGGTATCTACAAGAACTTTCAAAACCAGGTTCCCGCTCTCGTCCTTCACCTTAGCCGCCATTTCAAACGCATCCTTGATCGTACCCAGTCCTTTGTAACGGTGCGTGAAAAGCTTCTCCAGCGCCGGGAGCCCCTTGGGCTTCGTCGCAATAAGGTTAATCGCTTTGGGATACGTGTTGGCGTAGCGGAAGACACCGACAAAATCGACTTCGCGCAAAGCCGCTGCAGAGATGGGAAGAGTCTGGATCGGAGTACCCATGCCAATGATGAGGATCTTTCCGCCAGGCCGAGTGGCCTAAAATTCCCAGTTAGCACCAGATGAGAGGATTTAGAAAGTCTGTACTTACGTATATGGAAGTTTGCATGCATGTCTCAACACCTGTGCACTCGTAGGTCGCGTTCACTTCACCAACCTCCTCCCCATCAACCTTGGCGAGCTTGACCTGCTCTGCTACATCTTTGGCATAGGCTAGCTTGTCCTCAATCGTTTGGGGGCGCAGCGCGGGGACCACGACACCAGCATCAGCGAAGCCGTTATCAAGGGCAAACTTAACACGGTCCTCCTGAATGTCGGCAATGACAACTTTTTGTTGATCAGCTTTGCTGACAGCAGCACACAGCAGACCAACGGCGCCGGCGCCGAAAACAAGTACGGTTGAGCCGCTGGGGACGTTTCCACGGTCCCTGGCGTGCATAGCAACGGAAAGAGGTTCGGCAAGGGCACCAAACTCTAGGGAGACATCTTGCGGCAGCCTGCACAGCACTGGTGTTAGCCGGTACACAAAGTGAGAGGTTCTGGCGTCTTACTTGTGGCACCACTTCGCCGGGTGATTGACCAGTTCTTGGAGAGTTCCCTGAGCATGAGGGAAAGCTTTTGCGGAGCTTCTGAACTTCATGCCTTTACAGATGTTATACCGGCCGGCGGCGCAGAGCTCGCAGGCCTCACAGGGCTGCCCTACCTCGAGGGCAACGTGGTCTCCCACTGCAAGGTTTGTGACGTCGGACGAGATAGCAGTAACAATTCCACTGGATTCGTGACCCAAAGTAAGCGGTTCCCTCACAAGAATGTCTCCATTGCGGAAATGGTTGTAGTAGTGCAGGTCGGAACCGCACAGTCCCGTGGCTTTGACGGCAACCTGGACTTCACCAGGAGCAAGAGCAGGTAAAGACCTCTCTTCCTACGCCAATTAGATTTACATCATAACCCAAAGCCGAGAATCGGAGACTAACAATCTTGAGGTCCCTCGCGCCATGTAGGACGGAGGTTTGAACTTGAACGCTTGACATTGCGAGTGAACTTGTATGTGACGACGACGGTATCGGTATAATGACTGGATACAGACAGTGGAGGTGATTCTACACAAGAAAAAGGATCCCAATAATGTCGCGATTATATGGAGGCGGTTTTGATGTCTTCCCAAAGAGTGAGAAGTGAGTGGGTAGTGGGGAAGAGAGGACAAATATCGAGATTTCTTGGTTGGAAAGCCGAGGTGATGTAGGAAATTTGGGAGACAGTTACAGGTCCGATGTCGACGGGTCGGATAACACGATGGGCCAGGACCGACACGGCACTAAGGGGGATTGGATGTCAACACGATGGGCGGAGTGTTACGCGGAAATGCGGGTTAGTGTGGAAGGAATGGGGATTCTATTCGATGCTTGGTGGGGGACGAAGCCAAGGGTAACGGGATTCTCACGCCGAATTGTTAGGAAAGTTGAACAGAAATGCCCCGGCCTCGCTAGGTTGGAAATGCCTGGACGCTGGAACTATTTACGAGCTTTCAAAGCAAGAGAGAGTACAGAATCGGTCCTAGGTACCTAGTACAAAGCCATGGCTACGTATGAGCGCATACATGGATGTCCGTATGAAGTTGTCAACATGTGGAACTTGAATGACCAATTGAACATTTTGATCAGCAACTCGGGGTTCTGTCCGGAAGCTAGGCGGAAGCTAGGCGAGGTTTTGGCTACGAGGAACATCGTAGGCGGTGATGGATGGAGGGGTAAAAGATACATCCGTTAGGCTGTCTCATGCATTTGCTTCAAAGACGGGAAAGGAGGGGGAGGGGTAAGTAGCGTGGAGGTAGTTGCCTTCGATGGGAGTCTCGTGGGTTCTGACCCCCATCCGTTCCAGGCAATGACCCCCGAAGCTTCAGGCGGCGTCGCTCTACCTGGAGAAAATGGCCGCTCAGACCAAAGAGGGCAATTTTGTCCTGTAATAGGACGGCCGTGGGTGAAATTGCTTGGCGAGCCATGCCCTGGGTTAGCAAAAGGGGGAAGAACACCGTAAATGATTGTGAAAAACCAATCAATGTTGATGGCTTTATGACTCTGAAAAATTCTTTGCCTAGATTGGTCAGATAATGTTGAGATTTGTATGGGAGATAATACGGATCATGGCCAAAATTTCATACTGAACCCTCTGTGCCTTTCTTCTCCTAATTCGGCCCCCCCCATCTTCCCTTTTCCAAGCTCCGATATGCGGGGGCAGCGCGTCAGACAACCTCACTACCCATTGCTTAGGTGGGGGGCGCGTGGGCCAGGTCAATGAGGATCTAGTATAGCAGAACAGAAGGATAAAATCCCACCGGAGCGAGCCGAGTCATCAGGTCATGGGTTTGAGGAGGTTGTCTGTTCTAATTGCCTGGCCTTACTCCAAATCGCGCTCGTAACACATAGTAACCAACTCCAAAACAAGAGGGAAGAGGCACCTCGAAGACCGCTCACGTAGCTGGACATGGGGAAATCGACGTCAGAAAGGGGTTGGAGATGAGCGAATCCCTGCAGCTGAGGGGTAGCGGCAGGTACAGTGTACACACCTCACGAAGCAAGGAGCCAGCCCAACCTTCACAAACAAGCCCTGCCCCGCACGCCTTCCGTTTGAATCGTGAGACTACCCCGCCGCCATCGCCGCGAATTGCCCCGCGGGTTATGGTCGCCGCCTATAGCCGATTCTGCTTGTGTCTACTAATCCGTCACTCCCAACGTAAACCTGGATTGAATGTCGTGCGAATCCGTACGGACAGGGAAAAACGACTTGTTCTAACCGGAGATGGCTCGGTAAGGCAAGAATAGCCCAGCGCAGCCAGAACAGCTTACTTCAATCGAAGGTTGGGAAAGATTGGGTTTCTAGCTTGGAGCGCAGTGTCCATGCAGACTTTTTAACTCGGACAGTTTTCACAGGCTCACACGCAACCTGTCAAAAGTGTTGCCCGACTCGGATCCTATACGGAGCTTGTCCAATAAAGTCTCTTCTGTCTCGTGATTTTCCCACCAAGGTCCCGCGCAGAACGTCCCTCCACTCAAATACCGGCTCGTCGCAAACGTACTACCACATTGTGTGACTTGTTTTACTGTCTCCCTACCTTTCTGTCTCTCTTTCTACTCCTCTCAAATATCCCCAGGATCTTCACCATGGCCTCACCATTCTTCTCCCTCGAGGGTCAGACCGCTCTTGTAACAGGTGGTACGCGCGGAATCGGCGCCGCTGTAGCCATTGGACTCGCCGAGGCCGGAGCTGACGTCTTGCTGGTCCAGCGCGACGAGTCCAACACATCTACTAGGGAAGCTATTCTGAAGCTGGGTCGCAAGTCCCAGATCTACACAGCCGACCTAGGCTCCCAAGAGAGCGTCGCTGCCCTGGTACCCAAGGTGCTCAAAGATGGCCACCAGATCCGCATTCTCGTCAATTGCGCCGGTATCCAGAAGCGCCACCCATGCGAGAAGTTCCCCGATGACGATTTCAACGCTGTTAGTGAAATCTTTTGTGGTGCCCAGCCTATTGAGTATCTTCAAACTGACCGAACTCGGGGATACAGGTCATCCAAGTTAACCTCAACTCTGTCTTCACCCTGACACGTGATGTTGGCGCCCATATGCTTACTCTCGAGCCTTCGCCGATCACTGGCCGTAAGGGCAGTGTCATTAATTACGCCTCTCTGCTGTCCTTCCAAGGTGGCTTTACTGTTCCGGCCTATGCTGCCTCCAAGGGCGCTGTTGCTCAACTGACCAAGAGCTTTGCCAACGAGTGGACATCTAAGGGCATTACCGTCAACGCCATCGCTCCTGGCTATATCGAGACCGAGATGAACACAGCCCTACTGAATGATAAGGAGAGACTCGCTAGCATTAGTGCCAGAATTCCTGCAGGTCGCTGGGGCACTCCCGATGACTTCAAGGGTACCTCGGTGTATCTGGCTAGTAAGTCAAGTGGCTATGTTAGTGGTCACGTCTTGGTCGTTGACGGTGGCTGGATGGGTCGGTAGAAGGTTCGGTGTTGTTCGAGAAGAAACCCCCCCAGAAAGCAGAGAAAAAAGAGTCAAAAACACACAAACACCCAGACGTGTATACACTTATACAATTATTGCATCGATGCTGTTGGCAACTGTCAAGTGTATGACCGTTTTCTCTGGCTTGATCTAGATTCATGATTATTACTACTATCGCTTAGATCCGATTATCATCGACAGCTCAAATCTTGCTTGTCATGACACTTTCCATCCAAGGATACACTGACGCATTAGCCATAGGGTATCCCATGTGCAATGCCCCCGAAAAGAATCTTGCCTCCTTGGGGGTGCCATACTCGAACAGCATCATCGAGTCTTCGATGGGCATCAAGCCGTCCAGAGTACCCTGAGGTGGTTAGTTGGAGTCGTTTTCTCGCCGGGAATTTCGGTCTTTTCACGTACATTGATCAACAGTAATCGAGTAGACGGCTTTTCGATGATACCAGTCTCAAGAAGGGAGAACTTCTTTTGCACCCCCGCCTTGTACTCGGCAACCGACTTGTAGCCATGCTTCATAGCCATCGCGGGAGTCAGACTTTTCGGTTGTCAGCGAATGTGCATCATGACGGATAAGGTTAGACTTTGCTCACAGGAACGGGTACTCATGTCCGTCGGCCTTCTCTAGCCACTCAGAGTCAAAGAAGTAATGGCAGCCGGCTCCTTGTGCAATCGAGCCGATTAGTCGGTCTTTGTGAGTGTGCGCTATGCGGATAGCGTAGTAACCACCAGAGCTGAGGCCCCAAACAATGACCCTTTCCATGTTGAACCGGCCGTCAGCAGCCATCCAGTCGAGAACGCTGCTCCACAGGCGGTCGGGGCTATCCGGATCGGCCGAGTCAGCGGGACAGTCTGCAGTTCCGGGAATTTCTACAATGACGCTTCCCCATCCGCGAGCTAGGAACTCATTGGAGCGAACCGTATTATCGGGGCGATATCCATCAAGGCCTGTCATCAATATGACAACCGGGCTAGGATTGCTCTTGGATGAGCCATGAGGAACTCTCACGTAGGCCGGAATAGTCTTACGGTCTTCGCCCTTGGCGTGGACATGAGGGATAGGCACGTCATTGATAGGACAGTCCCACGACTGGGCCGCCTTTATGTAAACCTCCTTCTGCAATTCCCATGCTTTCCACTTCACGGGGCAGCTGACCTCGGGATACGCTGTGATGTACGGAAATCGGGCAATGCGGTAAACAGTGCACGCCCGGAGGTACAAGTCACTGGCCTCGTCCTTCTTGCCCGCGGCGGCCGCCTTGTCGCCATAGGCAGTCAATGCCTCGGCAATGGGAAAGAAAGCCTCGGTGTATGCAGTCGAGGTTCCGTCATTGATGTTGTTCTAGATGCGCGTCAGACACTGCAGGACCATGGAATGAGTTGGGCATACCTTGATGAGGTGGTCAAAAATTGGCTCAAAGTCCTCGTACTGGCCATCATGAAAAGGATAAACGCTCTTGGTGCACTGTAGTCCATTTAGTCCATGTGGAGGGGTTTAGTCAAGGGATTTACTGGGCGTACGGGAAACTTCCACTTGGTCTCCCACAGAGCCTTGATGCCTTGGTGGTGCGGCATTGTTCTCTCGAAAGCCTCGGCACCCATCACCCATTGCCTCTTACCATCATGCTCGGGGATCTTATGTGGCGACATGATGGGAACTTAAGAGATGACACGAACGGTTTTCTGCTTTGTGAATAAGGGTGGACGGCCTCTGGTGACGAAGATTGGTTTCACTTTGTTGCTCTGGCGACGTACTACCTCACGAGTGGGCGATCTGTTGATGATTCTACAAGATGTAAGCGAACATACGCATCCAGGTTGTTTCGATCCTCATCTTCGCCCGTGGGAGAAGAGCTCTTGTTGGAGAGACTTACTCTGACTGGAGTGAAGCAATTCGCACGCGAGCGATAGCACTATGAAGGTCTTCAATCATGGCGGAAAACAAATGAAACAAAACTGGCGCAAGGAGCTAATTTATATAGACAGCGTCGATCTGCAGTCGCGTTTTCGGGCCCAATGAACGCGCGCTCGGAGGTTAAGCGGCGGGTTTACAGGCTTGATATAGTTCGGTGGTGGCTTCTCGGACTCTAGTGGTTGGGGATTTCCGTTGTCCGACTGTGAGACGAAAAAGGGGGACGTGGAGGTCGGCGCGCGTCTTATACGAAGTGACGGACAGCGCCTTGATCAGGATCAGTCCCGTCAGCCAGTTGCGACGAGCGGCGCTCTGGCCATGCATGAGACGATCCGTGAGGCGCTTTCAATCCTGACTCTGACAAGTCTCCTACGCCATTGGAATATGGTACGAAGGGTTTCTTAAGGTACAGGATGGGGAAGGGGAGCTCCGGAGCGGAGCGGGAGATCTGCATGGGCAGCGGAGAAAGACCGGATTCATATAAAATGTTTTCTTGAAAGGATTGAGGCTTGGTCATGTGTTTTTTTTCCCCCTTCCCCGACGGGTTTCTGGGCTTTACATATTTTGACTGTAGCCCCGGGTTCAGGTGTGTGGATAAACAAGGCCTGTAGTTGAGACGAGAATAACCTACTAGAGTAGATCATAGTGCTTGATGGGGAAGTCGAGTAAGTGCGCCTGTGAACGAATTGGTCCGATTCATGGCATGTGAAACGCGGGGCAAAGGGCTCCTCTACAATCCGCGCTTCAATGGTGGAAACCCGGACGGGCTGTCACAGGCACAATGACTAGCCCCTTGTATGTTCTTCGGGGCACACTCAGGCAATACCTTGGCAACGCCTTGAAAGGGTGCAAAACTGTGTAAAACTGTCATGCGATATCATCCACTTAGCGTCAAGCTGGAATTGGTGGTAAGCTAACCGCAGCCAAAATGAGACGAAGTAAGACGCCCGAGCCAGCTCGTTGTCATAGTTGACCAGTTGGTCTCGCGTTTTCGAATGGAATACAAAGCGAAACATAGGAATGGCAAGAATCATTAAAATGTTAGAACAGAAGGAATGAGAATAATGGCGAAAAGAGGCATATCGAAAATTGCAAGGATGGCAAGATAGACGCCGAATAATGCCCCAGGGGAAGAGGGGAAGAGGCTGGCGATCAAGATGCCCTTAGAAGATTGATTGACAAAGCGTCAGTGGCAGCACCTGAACGTAAAGCCAGAACGCAGCGATTAAAACACGGCAGCAATACCGAACGGAAGTACGATCGAGCGGCTGCGTAGTAAATTCGGCTGACACAGACCGTGTACACTGGCACCCTATTTCGGCGATGGATCAAGCAGTTCCCAGCCACTGCTGATGCAAGAAAAAGATAAGCAGATAATGCGAGCGGCAAGGTAGGGTTGATGCGGCTCTATTATTCATCGGTTCTCATTTCTTAGTCTCGCCAACATCCGGCTCGGTGCTTGTCGACTCTTGAATTTCAAAACTTCAAAGCTTCAGTTCTGCCGATACCCAACATCAGCTGTCCATGATTTAATCCAGGCTGGCCAAGTAATGGACTTGAGCCTGACAGCGTCCGCGAGTCGAGTCGAACTGGTGCAACGCAACGTATTACGGCATAACGCGTAAACGGCATTCAAAAACTGGAAAAACCAGACTACTGGGTCTTACTCTTATCTCCCTCATAGTAGTGCGCCATCTCCAGGCCGGCTCTCCTGAAGCCGCACTTGACATAGAAGCCCTCATTGGCCTCGCTACAGTCAAGGATGCTCTTATAACATCCCACCTTCTCGGCAATAAAGTCGAGAGCCTGGATGATTCGCAGACCCAGCTTCTTACCCTGTTGGTCCTTCGCAACAGCAATGTCCTCAATGTGACCGACCAGACCAAGGCTGTGGATACTGCATTAAGGGGAAATGACCAGTCAGCATGACTCTCTGGCGGCTTATTCAAGGCTGCGGCTGAAGATGGTAATCATAACCTACAATTTGCGCTCAACAATCAAGGCACCGGTTCCGACGACGGTTTTCCTGCTCGTATCCTCAATGACAAGGATGTAGTATCCATCATTGTTAGACAGCCAATTATAGCGCTCGGCAAATTGCGGTTCGCTGATCTCGCCGACGGTAGTAAGGACACGTAGGCAGTCGAGGAAGCCAGCCTTGTAGTCAGACAGCCGAAGAGCACGAACTACGTAGCCTTCGGGGAGTGAGGAGGCGACAGCGGGAGAGATGAGGTTGTCGGAGAAAAGACCCGTTTCCGCCATTTCGATTGCGAAGGGAGATTCGGCGTGAATGGCGAGGAGAATGTTGCTTTTTGGAGAGGAAGACGGGCCAGATCAAAATCGAGGTTTACGCGATGCAAGTCGAGCGCTGGCTAGAATATTACTGGGTCAATTGATGAGGTTAATGCTTGTCGTTGGGCGTAGGAAGGTTGACGCAGAGAACGCGTCGTTAGGTCGGATTGCAAGAAGTTCGAAGCGGTAAAGGGAGGTGAAAGCCAGCAGAAGAGAAGGAGATGGTGACTCAGGGAGAGAAAATGAGCAGAGCGGAGGGGGTGATGTTGTGGTGGTTGTTGACGCGATGTTTGCAGACTCGTTCCCTTTCCGTCAGACTGGGCGACGTCCACTATTCCTATCTCACCACACGTTCCGCCGTGCAGCAATGGCCCCTTTAACCACCGTGGTGGGGGTTTGCATTGCAGATCTACCATGGAAGCGAGACAGCCCATCAGCGACAAGAACGCTGGGCCCTTGTGCCTGAATTGGTGCTTCACTGCCCCCCTGGTCCCCCATGTCTACTCCGCTCTCATAAGCCCTTATCTATCGTCATCACGTATCCGTTAAGTCGTCGGCGGAGGAGCTATTCACACCCAAGACATCGTATTCAAGACTTGTGGACAAGTTGGTGAATCGAGCCCGTGTTTCGATTGCGCCCCCCACTCTTCAATTCGCCCTGCCTCTTATGGAGCCGTCGAAGAAGATAAATGTTCCGCTTCAGTCACGATCCCTATCGCCGCCGTAGGACTGACTGCCTGCAAATGCAAGGTGCCACTTCAAGATAGAATTGGGGCTGGAGCTGGAGCTGGAGCTGGAGCTCTCTGTGGTCATTCAGTTCAGCCTCAGCATGTTGAGGATACGGGGGTTCTCATTGGCTGCAAGGAACCAGCTGCCCCCTAAACTCTAGCTAGAGGTGAGAGCCCCCCTCAGTCTTTCTCTCCACACGGGATGATCTTAGGCGGCTTGGTCTGCGCTTTCTATTCATAGCACACATCCCTTACTGGATCTCAGCCATCCGAGTCCAATCAGGGCAATGAAGACCCGCCTCCTACCAGGAGAAGGAGTTCCATGGGTTAATCGTAGGGTGGAAATAAGTAAGAGTGAGAAACGTTAAAATACTTGGAAGATGCAATGCAAAAACTGCATACTTTGTCCTTGACTGCTTATCATCTTTGAGGAAGTCATCCACAACGGCAACAGATGCGGAAAGCCTACTGGAAAACACTGTGAGACATTGTAAAATAGGACCAGGTAAGGCAAGGCAGCCAAGCGTCGCCCATCCTGCCCTCCTCTCTTCGCCTAGTAAAGATTTGTGGCATGGGTTGGAAACGACAGGAAGATGTACTAATAAAAGGGGAAACCTAAATTCGTCTGTGCCGGCAATAGAGAAGTAAGCAAGCTACTTCAGATTGGTGCAGTTGCGGCATTTTACTTGTACGGAATACCACAGCTTCGGGTTTGTAAGGGTAGTGTGCTTCAGTAGCGAGCGCCCGTTGTTTGTCCTGTGTTCACTTCAAGGACCTGTATGATAGAGCCATGCGCCCCAAGAATGTGGCGGTATGCTGCAACATCAAATGACCGCAAATGACGACTTGCACTGGCTAGGCTTTTCTTGCAAGCATGGAGCGCCACACACCCTCCTGTTCGAATGAAAGCTGGTCTCACTAAAAAGATAAGGCGCTGCCTGGCTCTCCGGCGTGCCTTTGAAGAAGGTACCAACAAGACACAGGTTTCAGCTGAGGCTTCCAAGTTACTTTCCACCATTGTCGCACCTTACTTCCATGTCAGTGGATGGGCTCCCTGTTGGAAACGGGAGAAAACGCGGGGCTGGCCAAAAAAAAAAAAAAAAAAAAAAAGGGTTCCTCGATATAACATAAAGGGTACTTGCATCGAACCAAACACGCCGAATCGTTAAGAGCAATAACGTAAGTAGAATAATAGTGTACCAATCAACCAACACTTTGGGTTTCCAACGGCCATCGCCTCACAACAACATACACTCGTGGCCTAATGGCAAGTTAAGCGTGGGTTTGGCCTTCCCTCTAAATCGAGGCTTAGGCCTGCGCTAAAGCCGGTTTGAAGCAAAAAACCGGCTCTAGTGGAAGGTGCTCAAGTTGGGCATGTTGAAAAAAGAAAAAGAAAAAAGTCCCATAATCAACTAATTCCAAAGTCTATCCCTTCCGTCCCAAGATGTGCCCTAGGAGTGTCATGCGGGATATGCTGTAGTCTAGTACATATACTGAAGATAGCTGTAGGGTATGCCGCAACCATGGAATACCCCAGGTACATGATAGAAGGACTAATGTATACCGGCTCTCTTACCAGTCCAGAGCCATGTCATCCCTCCGCACACAAGCCCCAATGCCGCCGTCCCCAGCGCCGTCCCCAGTTGCATTCGCCGCCGTCGCGCATGAACATCACCCACACAATGCAATCACATGCTGCATCCTCCAAACGTCACACCTACTCCTATTGGAGCCCTGGCGCGGCAGCGGCTCAACACCTCAACCCAGCGATCGGGAGATGGTCAACACAATTTACTGGGTAGTAATTTTTGTCTGTTCCTTGCCCCCCGTCCCCGTACAAACACACCACACCACCTCCATCGAAACATTTCGGGGCAAAGAGCACGTTGCCTTCTTATTCTTCAGACCTTTACTTACTTGTTGGCTATCTGACCATACTTGTGTCCCGAGGTCGTGTATACGACTCCTTGTTGTATTGTGTTTTTCCCCCCCTTTTAGAATCCCCCTACCTTACCTATTTAGGCCTGCTCTTCTGCCTTTCTCTTCTTGGCCCATTTCTCTTTTTTCGATCTGGCTGAGGAGTGTGTAAATGTTGCCACTGGCGTCCGGCCTGCCTCTTCCCCTTTCCCGGGTTACTTCACTTCACTTCGACTCGTCGTACCTCTTCGTTATTTTCCCCCTGTCATCTGGCTAACGCCTCTCCTTAGCCTGGGGCCCTCCTGTCTTTTGTTTGGTATCCCCCCTCCTCTGAAGCCTTTGCTCCTTTTCTTTCTACCTCGTTCTCCAACTACATATTACTTCGGAGTTGCAGCAGGGCTCTAAGTGTCATATGTTTGTAACACCTCTGTCGTTATAGACACTTTAACATCCTGAACCCTGTGGCCCGGTATTGTTTCTCTTTCCTCGATGCCCTGTGCCTTCGCATGCGAGCTCCCACCTCCGCACCCGCATTCGCACTGGCGACGCCAGCAGCACTGATGTCAGAAACCATGGATTCGGACGACGAGTTGGATGAGTCTTCCCATTATTTGGTTCACGTCCCTCTCGAACCCCAGCAGGGCCGGACTGTGCTTCCAGCCCCTTTTGCAAAGGCTGTCAGTCTTGCCACCCGCTCGACATGTCTCGCAATCCGCGTCGGCACTCTCATCAGCTCCTATGGTTTTGATGCCGCCAAGTTCACCACCCTTTCTAGCTTGGAGCTGGGCCGCGGTATACTTGAGGGCGTCCTTAGCAGGGCTGGAAAGGACATGCTCACCCGATCCAACAGCGAGCTGTCTAGAGCAGACGCCGAGACTGTTCTAGAGAGAAGTTTAGAACATCTTCACCACGCCATGTCCCAGATTGTTTTCTGGACCACGACCGGGTTCCAGATGACAGGTACTACCTTCTCAGTTGTGTCTGAGGTTTCACAGCTCCTATTGTCATCGCTTGACCAATTTTTCGGTTCTACCGACTCGTCGCGCGCAATTGCGAGTATCATCACTTTAATTCGTCGTGAGTTTCAGAACCCGGCAACTGGGGTTGAGGGCGAAAGAGTTGGTGTTGTTGATCTTGTGATGGGCTTATGCGCCTTGGCATACCTGCAGCGAAAATGCCGTCGCTTTCTTGAGGAGGAAAACAGGCGTCTGGGTTTCGAGGAAATTGTTTGGGATGTCGTCGTACTTAACGACGGTGAACGGGTGGATGTTCACGAAAACAGCCTATACGGAGTACACAAAGGTCGCTACAAGAGCAAAGGCCCAGGTATACTGGTGTCCATGCCTGGTGATCAGACGAGCCCAAATGTGCTGGCCGCTCTCGAGCACCATGGAGACCAGAATACGAGCGAAGACGAGGAAGATGAAAACCTACCGGAAATTCGACTCAAGCACCAAATTATGCAATCACTACCGTCCGACACGAGTGTATCAATCTCCACGACCACGCTGACCAGGAAGATGATCACCGTCGACTTTACCGGCCCCGAGCCACCCGTTGTAACACCTCCCCCAGGCGTCGAAGTCGTCGAACGCGAGGTCCTGCCATCAACTGAGCAACAGGCGGAGCAGCTGACATGCCAGACATCGACTCCTAATGATGTCCCGACATACCGTGTTGTTTATAGAGTGGACAAGAGCAAGCAACGGAGCACAACGTACCGAGGGTTTGAGGAGCCAATGCAGGGATTTGGAGAAACGGAGGTCGTGGACTATGCCGAAGAGTCGGACGATTGTGACCGGGAGTATGAGTTTGAGGACCCTCCGCCTGCACCTCCCAAACCTGTGCTGTCACGAAGTCCTCCCACCATATCGACGCCAGGGACGACGCCCACCTCAACTCCTCGCCGCACCAAAACCGGCTCTGGTCTCCCTTCGACTACGTCTAGTAGTCGTGCTTCTCAAATTCCAGCGCCGAAACAAAACCCCGAGAACGCTCCTAATCAGAAGCGACAGCGTGCCCCTCTAGCGCCCCTGCCAGTAAAGCCTCGGCAGGAAGCTGCTGCCACGTCTTACTCCGAGAACAAATCGTCCTCAAAGAGAGTGAAAAATGAGCCTGTGTCTGCTGGCAAATCAGCTGATAAGCCTGCAGAGAAGAAGGGTGGTATTAGGCAAGCGCTGAAGAGGGGCACCAACTCTAACATTTCCAACTTGTTTAGCCGGGATGCAACAGGCTCTGGAAACCAACATATCACTGGAAAGGTGAAATCAACAGTGAAATCCGGTCCATCTGCAAGGGCAACGCGTGCGGTAGCCCAGCCTAGCCGCACGTCCCAGAGCAGGGCTATGGGACCGACTGTTGCATCCAACTCTCGAGGCCGTAATTATGACGTCCCTTCTCCTGTCCCTCGCAGCTCCTCACGGGCTAGTTACATATCTGTCCACGAGCGTCGGCGAGATTCAATGGTATCACAGACGGATACATATTCTTTTCACGCAATTGAAGGATACAGGCCACATTCCCCAGGTTACGGCCGTCGAGATGGCCAGGGTCAAAGTGGTATACCTAAGTCAAGATCGGAGAAAGACATGAGCGAACAGAAACCGTCATCGCCCATGAAGGCTCGCAAGGCACGTTCGCATGTGAACACACCGAGCCTCTATAGCATTGCTACGACGGGCTCCCAAACTTCTTTGGTTCTTTCCTCCTATTACCAGAAGAGTGCTTACACCGATTCGGAAGCTATTGACACTTTGAGAAGGGCCGGAACTGTTGACGGTGTCTTTCCAGCATTTCATCTACTTCGGAATGTAACGCGGTATATGCGTTTCTCTTCGGCATCATACGGGTCGAATTTTCTCAAGTTCATGGGCATTTCTAAAGAGATGCCTATCTTACGCGCTCTGGATGACACCCACCATGAAATTCGATCATTCGCTCATCACACGGAGTCCGAGGCTACAAGCATTCTTCTTGCTTCTTTTGTCGATCATCAGGGTGGTTCTGACACCACTGGCTCTACTGGAACTGGAGTTCCTTTAGTTCACTACATTTCTCTGGATCATGAATCTAAAGCAGTTGTTCTCGCGTGTCGTGGAACACTTGGCTTTGAGGACGTCCTAGCTGACATGGCCTGCGACTATGACAATCTATACTGGAGGGGTAAATCATACAAGGTCCATAAGGGCATTCATGCGTCTGCACGGCGCTTGCTATACGGAGGCGATGGCCGCGTCTTGTATACGCTTAAGGAGGCTTTGGACGAGTTCAGTGACTACGGGCTGGTACTGTGTGGTCATTCACTGGGAGGTGGAGTTACCGCATTACTGGGCACAATGCTTGCAGAGCCCTCTTCCACAGGAACAGGTTTTGTTACTTCGTCTGAACCACATCGTCGTCTCCTAGGTGACGGCCGCTTCCTAGAGACCGATACAACGCATGTTTGCTTGCCTTCGGGCCGACCCATACATGTATATGCCTACGGGCCACCAGGGACCATGTCACCATCTCTACGGAAGGCGACGCGAGGTCTCGTCACTAGCGTTGTTCACGGTAGCGACTTGGTCCCGTTTCTGTCTTTGGGCGTTCTGCATGACTTTCAAGCTGTCGCTCTCGCTTTTAAAAGCGACAATCATGAAGATAGAGGCGAGGTGAGACAAAGAATATGGCAAGCTTTCCAATCTGGCCTGGTAGATAAGTGGTACACGAATGGTAGCCGCTCGGGCTCCTCTGATGAGGATAAGTGGAGTATATCGGCGCTGACGAGTTTGCGCTCCAACATGATGAGCCTAAAACTCCTTCCGCCGGGCGAGGTCTTCATCGTTGAGTGCACCAGAGTTCTCAGACGCGATGCATTTCTTCTATCTGACGAGGAAGGCATTGGCCGGCCGGCCCAACGTATCGTCCTTAAATATGTAAGGGACGTTGAGTCTAGGTTCAGAGAGGTCCGATTCGGCACAAGCATGCTTATTGACCATAGTCCCGCAAAGTACGAGGAGGCTTTGAACAAACTGCGCTTTGGAGTCGTTGAAACATGTTGAAAGTAAAAAAGCTAGTACAAGGGCTGCGCGCAACTAGTCAAGTCCCTTTTGGTTTTCTTCTTTCAAATCTCCTAGATAGTCTTTTTTTCTTTCCTTGCGAGGTAGATTACCCGTTCATCTACTCTATATACCCCGTAGTATGACACACCTTTTCAGATACCTGGATGATTCAAAGCGTGGAGAGTTACCCCGTTAACCTAATGCGAGCCCAACGGCGTCTTTGGCCCTAGCTGTCATTACAGTTGTAGAATACCTGGTACAACTCCTACGGATACAAGAAGCAACAATCCAAACCATGCATATGTCATGTTTCAGGGTCTACTGTGGTTTTTCAGTCGTTATCTTGCCGTCCTTGTCGTAAAAGATCTCCTTGACTTTGACGGATCTGAGGTGGTCTACACCATTACTCAGCTCGCAGTCGTGGTGGAACAACCACCACTGACCCTTAAACTCGACTATGGAATGATGCGTGGTCCACCCTAGCACGGGCTCTAAAATGCGTCCACCATATGTGAAAGGACCCAAGGGGTTTTCGCTCGTTGCATAGCAGAGGTAGTGGGTGTCCCCAGTAGAATAAGAAAAGTAGTAGAGGTTGTCCTTCTTGTGCACCCAGGCCGCTTCAAAGAAGCGGCGGTCGTGATCGTCGGCTGGAATGGGTTTCTTGGTCTCCGGATCAAGGATCAGAATCTCCTGGACCTCGCCATCAAACTGATGCATGTCGTCGGTGAGCTTAGCGACACGGGGACCCAACGCATAAGCTCCCTCACCGCTGGGCTCCTTAGGACCTAACCACTCGGGGTCAAATACATCGTTTCCCTGTTGATAACACTGCAACTGACCACCCCAAAGGCCTCCAAAGTAGAGGTATCCTTGGCCGTCGTCGTCTACAAAGCTGGCCGGATCGATACTGTAGCTGCCCCGAATTGGTTCAGGGTCTGGAGTAAAGGGGCCCTCAGGCTTGTCCGAGACGGCGACACCAATTCGGAAGATGTCTTGCTTGTCACGAGCTGGGAAGTAGAGATAGTATTTGCCGTTCTTAAAGGCAGCATCGGGAGCCCAAAGCTGCTTCGAAACCCACGGAACATCCTCTGTCTTCAGGACGACGCCATGGTCGACGATAGGCTCCAAAGGATCCAGCGATGAGGTGCTGAAGACGTGGTAGTCTGCCATGTCATACTGATCGCCATTGTCGTTGAACTTGATGTCGGTCTCTCGGTCATGCGAGGGGTAGATATAAATCTTGCCATTGAAGACATGGGCTGAGGGGTCAGCAGTATAGAGGTGGTTGATGAGGGGCGCCATGGTGAAAGTGAGGAGAAGAGGAGCAAGAGGGGAGCGGTGCGGGGGTGGAGTGTGGGGGCTTTGGATCTTGCTTTTGGAGTAGGGTGAGATGGAGAATAGAGAGTATGCGTTTCTCACAAGTTCGTGGGCACACAAGAGAACCCTAGATTGCCTGTGTGAATAGTTTGAGACCGAAGGCAGAAACAGCTGTTAAATATACATGCCACCTACCCCTCTCCCCACCTAAATGCGATGGCGGATGCGGATGATATGGTGAGTGAATGTTGGCCCGGCAAGGTGGAACACGGGACGACTAGCCAGCGCTCGTTGAATTTATCCAGCGCATTTTCCCGGTTTACCCCATCCCTGTCCTAGTCCAAGACACACTCCAACTTTACCGGGCCACCCCAAACGACATGACAGCAAATGGACATAACCAAGACGCTGTTAGTTGGTATTGCGCTTTAAACTAGCTGGATTGGCTTGACATGACTGCGGTTTTGCAGAGTGGGAAATGTAGAATGTATATGCCAGTATTGCGTCAGAAAGACGACGGGCCGGCGGGGAAGTGCCCGTAATATATCAATCAAACCAATACTCATTCTTGGCTGTACTACCTCGGGGATTCTTAATAGCTAACGGGTCTTCATGCCGGGGGAGTTTAGCCGAAATGTTGGAATACACGTTTTTGTAACGTCCTCCCATCGTCGATAATTTGGTGCAGGAGGTCTTTATAATGATAGCAGCTTTCGGCTGAGTGGCTGTAACAGGTGGTTATGGCACTTTAGAAATCCTGGATGCCAGTTTCACCTTGCTTTTGCTTTCCTGAACTGGCAACGTCACTAGCCCAGCTGGGATCTTCTGCATCAAACCATGCTTCCTCGGCATCGCGTCTTTCCATGGCGTCATATTCGTCATTGCTATCGACCTGATTGTAGTCAAAGTCACTGTCCTTGCCATGAACAAAGCGTTCTGTTAAGAACTCGATCCATCTCTCCAGTCCCTCTTCTTTGGTCTTGGCAGTAGACAAATCAGATTCCGTGGTAAAATCTTTAGCGAGTTCGGTCGGCCCAGGAGCCTCGCCATCGGTCGATGAATTGACCAAATCTGCTAGGCGAGCTTCCCCTCTCATTAGAGATTCTTCCAAGACACGAGAGTAAGCTTTAGTCCGGCTCGCAGCTTCTCGCTCAGCCAGTGTCTGGAATTTTCGCACCAAAGCGTCGTAACGCAAAGGATCTGAATAATGGTCAGCGCATTTGCACGGCACGGACAGAACAGAGTGTGAAAGATTCAACAATTTGAATAATTTGAATGTAAGGGAAGGAGGTGGACAAACCAGCAAGCTCATGATCGGGATTTTCGAAGTAGTTGGGGTTCCTGTTGAGAAACTCACGGCGACGGTTGTGGGATCGAATGTCTTTGGTTTTTGTTGGTGACTTCAGCGGCCGTGGAACCGGTTTTTGGTACTGAGGGCTTGACAGTTCTGAGAAAGCAGGCATACTGGATAAAGCGTTCTGGGTCATAATAGCGACAGCAGTTGTAGAAAAGCGTAGGGGAAAGGGTGACTTGCGAATCGCAGTTGAAGCGATGCGTAAAAGTGGACGATGCCATTGTTCACGTTCCTAGTGTCTTTTTCAAATGTGGGCCAAGCCACCTTGACCCCCTACTTGGGTATGCAACCATGTACAGGGCACAGTCTTTCAAGGGAGGCTCAGCGAGAACCGGACAACTAACAGCCGAGTGCATCTGCTAATGGCACATGGTCCTTACTCAGGAGTATAGATGACGAGTGGACAAATACAGACACTATGGATAAGAGGAAGGAAAGAAAGACGTAAAGAGAGAGTGAAAAAGAAGGAAGAAAAGAATGAAGGGACAGAGGGAAGCGACATGACATCTAGTGGTGCTTTGCCTGCGGCGTCCTATCCTTAGGTTCCCAACGGGAAAGAAATGCCACTGTAGCTCACAAAGATGCTGCAGCTAAACAAACAGAACATCCCGCTGTATTCATGTCTTCCAAGGCCAATCTAGTATCAGCACCCCCCTCTTGAGGAGCAAGCACCGAAACTCAAGCTGTTGTCATTCAAGCTATTAAGTTTTGTGTGACTTGGTCTTGCGGGGAGACTGCTGATGGGAAATAGGAAGAGGAGGTGACTAGGCGGCTAAGCACGCAGTCAAATACATGGGGCAGAAAGAAGAAGAAAAGCGGGATTTATGCCCGATATTGACATCAGCTCTCTTCCATGCACGGTAATTACTTGCTTGGCCGGGAAGGGAGGGGGTTAAGGGGCTAACGCTGCCCCCGATTCCCTGTCCAGGGCGCCAACAAAGCAGTTTGCGACCCAGGCAATTAGCAGTAATAGCACCACCCAACGCATCGTCTCAGCCATTCCGCCATTCCACTCCTTTCATGGCTATGACTAACCTACAGGTGCACCTCAACCTACCCACGTACTGGAAGCACCCTCTCATAAGGTCCCTTGGGTTAGGCATGAGCGTAAGTGGTAGCATGAGCTGAATGAACACAACCACATGGGCATATGTCCGCTGAGGCACCTCACCATGCCTTATAATGCCTCTGATTCACAGGACTTAATCAGGGTATACATAAATAAGGTAATTGCATTTTATCCCTTTCCGTGGTGTATAATCCTTTCCGCTGTCCCCGGACTAAGGCGGACATTTATTTCTCTAACCCGTCGTTCTATCACTTTTTTCTTCCACCTCTTCCTATCCCTTGCTTCTTATCGGTTTTTGTTCTTTGCCTGTCTCATTTCTTGCCTCGCCTTTCCATACCGCTGGTTTTTCTCTTTGCCAAAGTCAACGCCAAAGATGTTCATTTGTATCCATCCCGACTAGTATTCCTTTGCGTGCCTTATCGTAAGGTAGTTTGCCTGATTGCTATTTTCAAGAGAGTGCCTATCCCAGCCCACCTTGGGATAACAATCACCTTGCGTTCCCATCAAAGGTTGATAACCAATCCACCTGGCCGATCCAAATAAATCACCCACTCCCGTCACCCAACGCGACACGAGACGACACGACACGCAAGATACCACGCGAATCACCTACCTACCTACCTAACCTCCTCCTTGCCTCCTCCACATCCCTCCCCTGACAGCCGCGCGCCTTCCCCCGCGTCGAATGTAAGCTCCTATGGGTGCAGCTGGCGACATTAGAGCTCGTCTGCGGGCAAAATTTTCCAGAAGAAACTCGGCTGCCCCATCTCTGGCATCGACCAACGGCGATGCCCACAGCTCGCAGCCCGACGCTACCAGTCTCACGCGGCAATCCTCGGCAGCTGCAACGGCCTCCAGCTCCCAAAACCACAACCTGCACCAGCCCCATCACCAGCCTCAGCCCCAGTCACAGCCGCAAACCCCATGCCCCAGCAGCCCTGAACCAGGCGTTGACCACCTATCGCAGCAGAGATTGCAGGCAATTACGGTTACCCGTGCCGATGTACCCCATGACCAGGACAATCATGAGGAACTACCACCGTCACCATCGCCGCATCGGCAATCAGAACAGCAGCAGCAGCAGCCATGCTATGGCGACCAAAGCAGCCCCAGCAATGACAGCCGCGCACCTTGCAGCAACACTTTTTTTGTAACGGACGATTCCACCGGAACTACTCATGGACATCGACCTGGAAACCCTAGAGTTGACCCAGACATGGAAACGGACGCCCACAAGCCACACCCCAACGCTGACTCGGCGTCTTCAGTGCCGCCTGCCACGCCTGACCAACGCTTGGCTAGCGAGCTTGAAGCGTCGGGAAACGATCTGCATTCTTCTACAACTACCACGACCGCTGCCAATAGCAACCTCCCAAGTATCAACGAAGACCAAACTTTGCCCGCTGGAGCGTTATCGCAGCTTTCCGCTCCCACCAGGAAGGAGCAAGACTTGCAGTCGTCGCAATTAGTACCGCAACAGCTGCCACCGAAATTTGGCGCGACCCCTACTGTCGTCCTCGAGGCCGATCTTGCTCATCGCCGCGACCTCGAGCATCTTGATCCCCTTAATCATGCTATCGGTACCCCGACGCCTCTTGCATCCAACTTGATACCGATTTCTCCTTTGTCGCCTCGTCCAGACGGCCCTCCCCGTCGACAGAGCCTCCTCCCAAACCGCCAAACAACCCTAATTCGCACCTTGCTCGACGCAGCGCAAGCGAACCACGAAGTCGACTCTTCCATCGCCGAGTCGCTGCTTCCCATCAACGGAAACATGGTCACTCGAAAAGTTTGGGTTAGGCGCCCCGGTGCCTCTCCTACGCTTATTACCATCAATGAGGATGATCTGGTCGATGACGTGCGCGACTTCATTCTGCGAAAATACGCCAACTCGCTTGGTCGGCATTTTGACTCCCCCGACCTCACCTTACGCATCTGCCCACGGGAGCAGAGGCAGGATCGTCTTCTTGGTCCAGAGGAGCCGATGGGTCGTACTCTTGATGCATACTTTCCCGGTGGTCAGACCGTTGACGAGGCACTGGTCATCGACATACCCAGTCGACGTACCCCAAGACCATCCCCTCGCGCCCCGCCACATGCAACCACTGTCTATTATACTGAAGACGGCAGACCATCCGAGGCTGGCGAGGGCTATTTCCCTCCTGTCGGAGCTCTCCCGTCGCCCAATCTACCCGTTCCTGTTATTCCTCCTGTCAACACCGTTCCTGTACATCCCGTCCATACTGCGCATGCACACATGCCCCATGCGCACTCGATAGCTGTACTTGGCACCGGCCAAATACCCCCTATACCCTCCCCAGGAGGCACGCGGTCCCGTGCATACAGAGAACGACCGGAACGGCCGCGCTTAGGAAGAACTCATACGTCGTCACCCACAATACTGAACACTGCCAATGCCCAGTCGATGGCGGCTGCTGCTGCTACCACCAGCCACCCCTCTCACTCATTTCATCCCAGGCTCCCGCCCTCAAGGACACACTCAAATACATCAGAGCCGTCGGTTATTCCACCGGCAGCTCCACCGCTGCCGACACCTCCAGCTCCAGAAGTCCAACAGGTGCAGAGAGTGGCAACTCCTCCACCAAGGGTAGCGTCCCCACGTCCGGCAAGCTCTCGGCCCAAAAAGACCAAGAAAAACATGGACCATCCAACACTGCCAGCCGGTATACTGAATGGCGGAGTGCCTCCCATTAACGTTTTGATCGTAGAAGACAACCCAATCAACCTCAAGCTGCTGGAAGCGTTTGTCAAGCGCCTGAAAGTGAGATGGAAGACAGCTATCAATGGCCGCGATGCTGTTTCCATGTGGAGAACGGGTGGGTTTCATCTCGTCCTGATGGATATTCAACTTCCTGTCATGAATGGGTTAGATGCTACCAGAGAAATTCGGAGGCTGGAGCGTGTCAACTCAATAGGTGTTTTCTCCTCGTCAGCATCCAGTGTACCGGAGTTGACGAGCGGTGAACTGGAAGAGAAAGATCGGTTGCACAACATGGAGTTATTCAAAAGTCCTGTCATCATAGTTGCTTTGACTGCCAGCTCCCTTCAGAGTGACAGACATGAAGCACTGGCTGCTGGCTGCAATGATTTTCTCACCAAGGTACTTACTCATCACAAAATCCCAAAGCGCTAAGAAGCTCATCACTAACAATATCTTACAGCCAGTCAACTTCGTTTGGCTGGAAAGGAAAGTCATGGAGTGGGGTTGCATGCAAGCCTTGATCGACTTTGACGGCTGGAGGAGGTGGAAGGACTTCTCTCAACAAAACGACGAGACCGACGCAGCTAAGAAATCTGCTACCCTGAAAACGAAAGCGAAGAAGAACCGTCTTTCGATGACTTCTGTTCCAGCATGATGCGGGTTTCCTGCCATTGACTGACTGAACAGCCGATACATCTAGCATGAAGCTCCACCTTTGAAGCTTGGCTGAAGATTCTGCGTTATCGCAATGTGCTTCAGAAAGAATGCCTCATCCGGGCTTCGCCTCGGGACTTCAAACACCAGCAGCAGTGCTTCCTGCGTCTTCCTCCAGAGCATACTGAGCCTGAAGAGTACACTATAATGAGATGTAGGACACGTTGTGTGTTATGTGTAGGCCGCCCCCATCTTTACATTGAAGCTGCAAGGACCCAAAAGAACTCACTCCCATCGGCATGTCTGTTGAAGGAGTTCAATGGGTAGGGGCAAGTATGGGAATAATGGATGCCCCTCACTGGGAAAAGAATATACGAAAACAAGGCGCAGATTGATACCATGTAAAGCGTGCACACAAAGAGTAATAATAATCAACATAAATGCAAATGAACACAACCATGTAAGTTTCACTCATGTACCACACAAAGAGACTCAAGTCCCACCATGCAGTTAATAAGACAGATCTTGGCGCAGTGAATTTAGTATGATGCCAAAAACACGCCCATGTTTGTTCAACTCGAAGAAGAAACACACTGAGACTATTCGCATGGTCTGCTGACTAAGAGACAACCACCAGAGAAACAACAAACACAATGCCTCAGGCATATATAACATGATGCTGACAAAGAAAGTGTCTGCTGGCCCGTGCTTTAGCTCCAAAGAAAACGAAGGAAAAAATTTGGACACGCGACGATTTTTTTTCTCTTCCACCACAACCCCATCTCCTCATTCTTCCCAATTCACCAATGGTCGCTTTGCCGTAATTTGGTGCATCTAGGCGCGCATCTGCGGCTATACCATTTTCATCACCATGCCGCCACGAGCAGGCTCGTCATCGCCCTTGACTTTCGTGGCCAAGTGCTGCTGTGCTAACGCCAGCAATGTACTGGTGGCTCGGCCAGCCGCTCAAGTGGTAGCCTGTCAATTCTCCACAACGTCGCGTCAATCAAGGAGGACAAGGGCGCAACATGACTTCTACCGCTGGTTGAAAGGTCGAGGTCTCCCGTTCCGGGATGCCCCTAAAGATGGTCCCCGATACGTGAGTCAGCAATCGGATCAGCCTTTCCCGCTGAATCCCCATTTCAGAAGTCAACCTGTGTTGAGTGAAGACATGAGGGAGGAGGTTTACAGGCGGATCAAGACCCAGAACCAATCGCTGAAGTCTGTCTCATCCGACCTTGGGGTTGATGTTCGACGAGTTGCTGCCGTGGTACGCATGAAAGAAATAGAGAAGCAGTGGGTTATTGAGGTAAGCTTTTATAATTTCGTGTTCTGCACCGCCTTTTACTTTCCTAGCTTTATGATGATCAACTTTCCAAAATTCGATTAGTCTTGAAGACGCACTACATGGTTACACCTTTGGCACTGCGAGCCTCTCTGATTTGCTACCACTTTTATTTGCAATGTTCTTGGCATCATATTTGCTGTCCTTTCTGCTTACATTGTGAATCGACAGCGCAAACCTTTGGCGAAGCCCTACGCTAGAGCGATTCTCGGCATGCTCCCTCAAACCCCACTGAATCTCGAGAGACCCGAGAATCAGGTTCCTCATGAGCCGATCAACGAGATTCACGTACACAAGCTCACGATGCAACAACTCTTTGTGCCTGTGTCTGAGTCTCGTCAATTCAACAGAGAAGATGCCGCCAAGGCCTTCCACAGGAACATGCTTTCTACAGACGAACGTTCCCCTCTGAAGGAGCTCGTAACGTTGAGAAAAGATATTGCCAGTGGCATCCCACGGAATAAGGCTGCTGAAAAATTCAGAGCAACCACGAGGGCTGAGGAAGACAGGCTAATCGAGAAAGAACGCCGACGTTTGGAAAAGGCGGAGGAGGATACCAAGCGTGTGGACACTGGACGCTTCGAGTTCAGATTTAAGGAAATGAACGTTGAGGACGTCGGCAAGGACGGCCGCGGTAAGAAGGCTGTTGGGTGGAGATACGGCGTACCATTCTACGACCGGAGGAAGGGCGAATTTAAGCTACCAACATCAGTTCCTTGAACTAGCTTGGTGTTCGCCTTGTCCAATTGCATTTTTGGCGCCAAGTGGCAGCCTAGGTGGAATCACTGTATACCCAGAAAGCGAAGGTATTCCTACGGACAAGGGTCAGCCCTTAACCAAAGTCCGGATGTTGGCGATTGTTTCACGATAAGCGACTGTAACTACTTATTGTATATGTACATGTACCTGTATAACGACGAATTCAGCGAAAGGGCAGCCCAAGAGGAGCTCCCGCCCCAAAATTCACTTCATCAAAGCAAGTTCTTGGTATGCGAGACCCAGTCTACTGCCCGATGTCCATCCGCAACGTCTACTATGAGGTTCTTGCGGATCTGCTCTACAGCCTCTGGCGATAAGCGACACCTATGTCTCACGTATGCCTCGACCGATCCGTACTCACGACGGATCACGGCGAGGGTAGATAGCATATTTTCCTTCCTATTACGACCGGGGCGTATCAGTGAGTTATGTCACGGGCTTGATTAGCAATACATTGAAGAACACATACTGGGATCCGATCATGCGACGAGCACCCTCGGGGTTTCCTTTGAGAGCCTCGGTGCCCAAAAGATGCTTGACAATCTCTTCCTTACGATCTTGGAGGCCAATGTCGGTCAAGCTGTACTCGTGAGCGACAACCTCGTCCGAGACACCACATAGGCTGAGGATAAGTGCGCAAATGACGCCGGTCCTGTCTTTGCCAGCAGTGCAGTGCACGAGAAACGGAGATGGGGGTTCCGGAGTAGCCAAGTGGACAAGAATGGTGCGAAAGGGGTCTTGAGGATGGTCAGGTTCCGAGGCGGTACGAAGGATGTCGGCGTAAGCTTTAGTAAATCCCTAGGGGCGAGTGTTCATGTCAATGGTACAGACAACAATGGCATGGAGAGCAGAGTGGTGGACTTCAGAGGGCCTTGGAGCTGGCGCAAAGCCGTCTCACTCACCTCAGTACCATTGCTGGAGTAATTGCGATAGCGCAAGGCGATGGCCTCGGGGCCATAGTCCTGATCCCGGAAAACTGGTACGAAGACACGCGTGGCACCGGGCCATTCACGGACATCACAGTTTGTGCCGGCCTGGGCGAGGCGCTTGAGTTCGATGGTGGAGCGCAAATCATAAACATGGGTGATACCGAGATCCTGGAGAAGGGAGATGCCCTGGTCGGTCAGACGTGAGGGCTCTGCAGAGCGAAAGATGACACCCGGTTTGAGGATACGGCCAGGCTGGGAGTCGATCGGGTAACCGCCGGCATCTCGAAAGTTTGGAAGCCCTGGGACATCAATAAAGGGTGGCTTAGGCAGTTCAACTGCTGTCTCTCTCTTTGTGGCCAAACTTGTTGTAGCGGACATTTCGTGCTTTCCCAGTTGCCGATGTCTCGTTCTTGAGACTCAGTGATGTATGACAGGAATATCACAATGAAATGATGTTGAGGGAGCCCAATCGAGCTGAGCCTCTTGAAGCCACGAATGGGTTGGCTGGCGTAAGAGGAGTCCCTGCGGGGTGCAAACTTGTTGCATCCGAGGCATATTTTTTTTTTTGTAAGCAGTACCTTAGGCATTGTGCGAAAAGACTAGCGCTAAAAGCCTTCTGACAAACTGCCAACCCAGGCACAAGCCAGGGTTCATCCAGTTTGTCGGGTCCAACAAGGCGTGACGATGGTTTGAGATATCAGTGAGTTAACAGATCTTACCATGGCGGTTACTACAGGGCCAGTCTAGTTTCCACAAAGATGATAGGCGCGGAAGGTGACTTGGAATGCAAGCGGCGCTAGGTTCTGAGATCATGTCTATTACTTTTGTCAATTATTTTGTGACGTCATGAGACGAGGGTCACAAGGGGAGTCGTACTTGCAAAGTAAATCGGGTTAAGAACCTCGTCCAATGGCTCGCTGCTAGTGCTGGTGACGCGCATCAAGTGACTTTACTTAATATCGTGACTGGATACAGAACCAGTAGCTCGGGTATAGAGACCTGCTTTCAGAGATTGGCCTGCAGAAATGAGGTTTTACCTGGGCTGGTCTCAATAAAGTATCATCTCCGCTAGCGGTCTTCTCTATATATGTCCAGCTTTTCACTTGATCGAGACAATGTACCAATAGGGTATGTATGGATATAAGGGGAAGAAACCACATGCTCATATTCTACTTGTTCTGCCCATGGGGCCACCATCAGGTAGTTGGAAGCGACTTAGTGGAAAGATCTCACAAAGCGCTATCTTGCCTCGTCTTGGGTGCCTCACTTCCCCTGGCGCACAAACCTCGGCTAAACTCTTCTTCAGAGCCAGCCATTGATCGCTGCAGCAGGTACCCATCCAACCAACAAGAAGCAAACAAGCTTAAGCTTTGGCCAGGAATGACACGGACGTGAGAGCCTGCCTGTTAAATTGTGGTGTGTTCTTTGTCAATATGTAATTGGCTGACTAGGCAGTACTAGAAGGGCGGTTACGTCATAGGGGACCATTCCAAAGGGGCTATTTCGAATTTCTTGAGCTCGCCGACCTACCTAGCCAAGGGCATCAGGCGAGGTCAGGACAGGGACGGCACTAATGACCGATCGGCTGAGCCTTGTCTTTGTTAGCGCCCAGCGGTATGATACAATCAACCACATGAGGCAAGCCAAAGTCGGAAGTCGTCACCTTTGCGACTGCCCAGTTCTTCACGTCCTTTTCAATCTAAAAACCCCCTACAAACCCAGTAACCCATTTTCTAATCTCTGTAGCTCTCAGTGCTATTCATCGTGAGCATCATCATTTGCGAACAGGCTTTCACCTGCTACTTCCTCCGCCGTCATTCCCACATTGACTTGCTCCGATCTTTGGATTAACTTCCGACAACAACTGCGAAGAAAGCTGGGACGCCCACAACCAGCTGGTCAGAATGGACCTCTTTGGCATGGCCGCGAGTTACATTGCGTTCACTGTTCTACATTTTTTCCAGTTTGTCCTGGCCGTCACTGTTTGCGGTCTGTATGCTGTCGACCTGCAGCACGCTAAGAACGAGGGAAAATATGTCGACTCCAAGTGGGCAAGTTTTCTCCATTTGTTGGTAGAGCGATGACATTTTGACAGAAGATAGGTCTTTGCCGAAATTGTTGGGGCTCTCTCCGCCGTAACAGCTCTCCTCTATTTTGTCCCTTTCATTCTGCGCTTTGCCGCTGTCTTCGTCTGGGATTTCATTCTTTTTATCCTCTGGATTGCCCTCTTTGGACTCTTTGGCAATGTGCGTAGTCTATGCCACTGTTTATACTGCTTCCTCTTCCATTGCAACTTCAACCCACCTGCCTATCTGCCTTCATATTCAATATACTGACCTTCAGATAGATGTATATTAAAGAAAACGCCGAAGGTGACGGAGACATTCAGAGGATGAAGAATGCAGTCTGGGTAGACTTGGCCAACGCGTTGCTGTGGCTCATCAGTGCCCTTGCCTCAGCCGCTTACTGGTGGAGACACCGCGAACGTCGTACCCGGTTCACCGGCCGCGGCAAGGTCTGAGAGGCATATTCTGATGCCAATTGATCCACGCAAGAACATGCGGGTTGTGCCGCCCTTGTTACGGAGCAGAAAAAAAAAATAGACTGTATATAGTACAAACAGCCAAAGGTTGCTTCAAACCCGTTACATTCTGCTCCCAAAACCATATACACTGTTTTTAACACTGGTGTTGTGGGACTTCTCAGTTTACTGCGTTAAGATACCAGATCCTCAGCGAAGTTAAGCAACAAGACGAATCTCATTAAATCCGTTTCTTTGCACTAGCGAAAATTCGCGATGGATTGCTGCCAGAGGGCGTTTCACGTATAGATTGTGGTACCAAAAATGCATAGTCAGACATCTTAACACAGACCATACAAAGGTATTAATCTAAAAAAGCTGTACACGTCGCAGTGCGACAGCTCAGTCATGTATGTTTGTCCGTCGTCTCTATTGTTTGACGTTCCCGCGCTATGCGCCAATGACCAGGTCTCAAGACTGAGGAGGATAAGCGAACACCGCACGCACTGCGTCTACCTACCTACGCCTCTCCAAACGGAGTCAGTTTCAGGCCAAACATCCTGTTATTGGGGTTTTCCAAAAGGATTGATGGGGAGGGGGAAAACAGTGGCCAATACATTGAAAACGCTGTTCCACTTATCAGACTAGTCCGGAGAACTTTCTCCTACTTCTCTTGAATTGGGGGACTTCCTGTGACGAAGATTACTGCCTTGTCTAGTGTTGTCTATATCCTAGGCAGGCAAGGACACCAGCCAAGGCGCGCATGATTGATGTCTCCAGTCTGCCCCCCGCACAAGTACACCCCGCAGAGGCCTAAGAAACCTCGCGGCACTGTGACGTAACGACTGCAGCGGCCCTGGTAATGCGTTCATCGACGGGCTGTTTAAAGATTAGCGAGCGTGGCGCCGTTTGGAAAAATTCAGTAATCAAATTTATTGAGGCACTTCTGTCAGGCTCCCAACAAAATGAACTAGTAAGAGGGCGGTAGCTCTTTGAATCCTCGTGAAAAGGAACCCTTTCTGGGTTTGCTCAAGTAATATTAGGCCCTACAACTTCAGGTATGACAGCCTTCACCGATCCGTCGAAAGGTCGAGTAACGAGAAGATCAAACTCCCATTACGATCATAGGGTAAGTTGGCTCGGGTACATTGTACTTGCGCGGACAAGATATCAAAACATGCTCGTGCGTTGTTGGGCGAAATCAACCCTCGTTTATGCATCTTGTTCAAGATGGAAGCGATCGGCCGCAAGATCAGCGCGCTGCGTCCTCTAGCCGCTGGGCAGCTTAGTCGAGGCTTGAACGTTCCAGCTTGGACGGAATTCACGGATAAATGGCTGCCCCTCAGTAAACCAGTCCATATCTTTCTGTTGCTCAACCTCACGGCCCAGTGTCTTTATCTATTGCCGCCATCACTGGGAAAAGAATCAGAGGAACCCGTTGGCTAAGACCGAGAACGCAAATGTGGGGGGCAGAGGACATCGCGGATCGGAAAACATTCGGGAGGGTGAGGGGCGCAACTGCTGCTGCGTAGTATAATCTGCACACATTTAAGAGAAGGGTCTGCCCCATAACCTTTCAACTCTTCCTGTACCTCGGTGATCGTTTCCTTGTCAGTTAGGGTGGTGGAGGTAGAACACTCAGAAACAGCTGCTGTGTTCGACAATGCAGCATGATGGGCGACCCGCAGCACATGAGAGCGCAATAAGTGGGACAGACTGCTGGAGCGGGCAGAAGACCAACCCTGGTGGCGTTGGAACAACGACAAGTGTTTTGTCAAAAGATGGCAAGAGCCATAGAGTTCGCTGTATCTGCATTCTATATTGGTATTGAATAACTGCTCTGTAGCGGTGACGGCGCCGCCACCTGCACGCTTTAGTGCAAGAAAATCCAGACCCCAAACTCTCGAGTCTGTCCGTGAGCCACAGAGGTAAGACAGCGCAGAGCGTCTACTTCCCACCACGGCGGTATGACAGTATGTTGGGGACTGAGATGGACGATCGACAAATTCGATCGACAACGGCATTTCCAGTTGGGCATTTGAATGCTATGCGCTGCCTACTGTAATGGCCAATGTATCCGCAGTCAACCCTGACTGAACACGCTCTTGCTGAGACCATGCCATCCAGTGTATTGCGTCGTGTGTATTACTCTCTCCACGTGTATGAAGGATGAAGTGAGGGCTCTGAGGTCAAGTGGAGCAGGCAAGCCCTGACCAAGCCAAGTTACTCGATTAGAGCTTGTGGCGGTGATGGCAATTCGTCACACACACATACTTATTTTGCGTATTCCTGGGAACGGGGACGGAACGGAAGTACTGGTAAGATGGCAGTATCCTGGGCTGATCCTACTATGTAGAATTGGCTTCTTCCAAGCTGCGATTGCGCCAGGTTGGGCGGTTCAGGTACCCACCAGACCAAGCAGCAAAGTCGCTGCCTGATGGATCAATGTACCTTTTCCCCCCTCTAACATACGAGGTACTTTTTCCACCTTGGGGCGGATACGTACGTTGCAAGCCAGTAAACGGTGCAGCCACTGACGAGACCCTTGGACCCTTTCCCACTTTCCCTTCCTCACGGGCATCTGCAGGTGCTGGGCCGAGTGCTGTTAAGCAAAATTCGCCTCAACCCACGCCACCTGGTCCTGACCTTTTTTTTCCCCCTTTAACCCGAATTGTTCGTTCCCGGCGCACATAGGCAGTAGATAGGAAGAAAAGAGCAGGCAAGGCCTTGTGCAAATTTAGGAGGGCGAAGGTCAAGGAGGGAGAAAGGGTCATATGAAGCTAACTTAACATAAGTATTTGATGCGCAGGGTTTCACCACGTAGTAAGTGCCACTATCTCAGGCGTGCCGTGGTTGATCCTCAGGCAAGTGTGAGATGTGATATACCTTCCCTTACAGGCATCTCACTGTTCAGGCTAGTTTGCAACTCCTCGCATCAAGATCACCGTTCTTGGGTCTACTGCTAGCACCGGGCGGGGACAAGAGGCGAAGTAGAAACCATCATCGTTTATTAATGGTGTTATTTACTTATTACGGATGTTTTGCAGCAGAAGAATGGACGGCCCAAGACATATACCACCCTCACACCACAACTACACTTACCTCCACGACTATTGCGAAAACGTCCATATCGGACACTGTACTGTGCTCTAAGCAGGACAGGCAGAAGGTAGCATCTCCCCGGGACCTCGGCGCCCACATCGAGACCAAGACTTTCTACCCTACTGGCGACCTTGGCATTGCCCTGACAAGGTACACTAGAGGAGACGGTGGTGAAGGGCGCCGGGCGCCGAACCACGTTCTTGACGTCGCCTTCGATTTCCTTTTTGTCACACTTATTTCCGTCATTTCAAGCGGGTCTGGATCCAATGCAGCCCAATCCAATACAATCCTACTCCATCAGCTCCTAGCTGCAAGAACAGTCACTAAAGACCACCGACCGCCAGAAGCACGACCGAACCACAGGACGGCAAGGCCCCGTTTGCCGCATGTCCATGCCCATGCCCATGCCCGTGCTTGTGCTCACGACTGCGCCCACATATCCAACTCGCTCCCTCACATACAGATAGGAACCCTATCTCCCTTCTCACTTGGATCCGTTGCTTTCAATCTGTCGATCTGAGAAGACACCGGTAACCCCAAGGATAAACACGGCGAATACACCAACGTCGACGAGGACGACTGGCCTAGGCGGCAGTCACACCTATAGCAAAGATATACCAGGAGAAACAACAACCGGGAAAAGAGGCAGCCCTTTTACCAGCTTGACAACCGGATACTACATTGCCAGCCTACGTCTGTTGGATTTTTATCGACTTGTTTAACCAAGCTGCACCTCTTTACGCCAACTTGGCGAGCTGAGTAACTTCTTCGCCACAGTGCATGTAGAACAAAGTCAGAGGAGAGTCGAGAGACATCAGGCACAAGAAAGGAGGATCGGGAACAGTAATCGAGGATGGCGAGCCTGGGTCGTTCATTCAAGCCGTCAGCCTACTTCTCGCGAGCGATACGGCCGACAATGCCAGGAAGGACCGTGTCCAACTCTTCAGACGTGTCGGCAACTTCACTTGGTTCTCGCTCCGACGACTATGGTGACCTGGTCATGTCAGGTCTCAACACACCTGCTCAAGAGAAGACAGGCATTGATGGTTTCAGGGTGCCAGCGGCGCCAGAGGTGCGCTCTCCAAGAGGCAAGTTGCGAGTTTTTGTCGAGTTAATGTTCCCCTCTAACCTTCCTCATATTACTGCGCCACTTATATTCCAGTGCCACGGATTCAATTCCATCATTGATATCTTTTTTTAGTTGATTCCGGCTTTGATTTATTTCCTACGTTACCCAGTCACCTTTCATGGAACACTTTCTGGTCAAACTCCCCAGGCCAACCCTGCTTGTTTAGACACATCTCACTCCTCGCCTTCTCATTGTATTCTTCGTCAATTGGGGACGGCTAGCTCGATCCCGTTCCACTTTCCTGTCCGTCCAGCTGTCCTGTTTTGAGCCAACTTGCTCAGTCTTCATGTCACGGCGGCATCAGCGGATCCAAGGCACGGTATTGTTACCTGTTGTTAAACTCCCAAACGGATGTGGTCCCATCCCATGCGATACCGCGCCCTTGAGGCGGGTTGAGCATGGGATTGGTGGCTAGCATTTGAGCTCCCGTCAGCGCTGTGTAGTGCAGTGCACTACTTGCAGTAGTTTGGTGCCGTTTCCGTTGTACGCTGCCCGGGACACCATTGAATCTTCATTTGGCCTTCCTTTTCCTTTCCTCCTCTACCCAGAACATGACACCACTGCTACCATTGGGGATCACAAGTTGCTTTATCTGCCAATGCAAACCATCCCAAATTCTGAAGAAAACCAAAGGGCAGAGGGCCGGCCGAGCAGAACTGGCCATGCGAGAACAAGTCACCCGGCTATGCGGGGTGGATTCCGAAGATATCCTAGTGGTCAGCCAGCGAGCCAGTGGCCAGTGGCCACCACGCGAAGACAATGCTTGCGTTAATGGCTGCCACACCGTCGAATCCGGCACCGATATTTACCCTGTCACGTCAACAGTGGGAGAAACTGCCCCTTGGCCGCTGTGGCGATGCGCATTGGTGACTTCGATGAATGTAGCCTGCTTCACGGATTGCAAAGGTCAAGACCGTGCATGCGACACGCACGCGCGCCTTCTCTCTGTTCTTCTCTTTACCCTTCGGCTGTACCACCAGCATCAGGCGCTATCTCTGGGTGGGGCTAGTCCGCCACTGCCTCTATGCGACACTTGGAGGCTCTCTGCGCCAGTCCGGTTCAGCAGATGGCCCCAGGCAGCCCCTCGCGGCCCCTGCAGGCGCACTTTTTAGGGACCTAAACCCTGGAGTTTTCTGGCTGGTAACTGGTAAACTCTGCCGGGTCCCTGCACCAATCGTCATCATTTACAATCATTCTACACTATGGGCGGGTCACCCCGGCCTTTAAGCCCTTTTCTACATCCTTCTCGTCTGTCTCATATAGTTCCTGGGGACCCTTACCGTTGCGTCATGGGTTTCCCTTCTTTTTTTGCGCTCTTGCTTGGACGCTGTAGTATTATTTTGGTTTACTTTTTTTTGGTCATCCTCTATCTACTTTTAGTTGACCTTGCCCACAATTCTTCTTGACCTGGGCCTTGAAATTCTGAGACTAATCATTCATTCTGCTCCTTATAGGCGAAACATCTGCGCCTGCCCAACTTGACCTCTCCTCTCTGCAATCCGCAAGATATAATCGCAGTCACCCAATTGCCATTGAACTTCCCGCCTCTCTTCGAAAGATCAAATCGGCACCTACCTGTACACCACCTGAACCTTTGTCAGCCCGTGGAGACGTTCCTGGGTATGTGCACATTGCAAAGTCGCTGCTGAATCGGAAACATGATGCATCTAGTTCATCCTGCCAGGAATGAGAAGGGCATGTGGCTAATTAACTCACCCTAGTGGTTATTTCCCGCTTCACGAAGATCCCAAGGGTCGCATACGCCATCCACATCCTTTCGACTCCGAAAGTGGTCAGGCTCGACATCACTCTGTTTCTCTCACGGTCGATAACACATCTCAAGCTGAACAGCGAGGCGCGTCCCTGGCCCCCGCCATGGCACCATCAACCCGTTTGTCCCCCCTGACGGCCATCGAATCCGACCAGTCTCGCGCCAACACACCGGGCACCTCCTATTTGCCCAGCGGTGTCCACGACACTCCCTTACCGATGGGCAAGTACTATCCATCCAACTATGAGAGAAGTAGTCCGGACGCGAGGATAGGACCATCTGCCCCTCCAAGCCGTATGTCGTCGACGAGATCTGAGGGCCATTTGCCTGCTCGTGAAGGTTTCAGACCTTCAAGGCAAGACTCTGAAGTTCGACGGAAGCTTCAACAGTACCAACGGGACATGATTGCTCAGGCAAGCCTCGCCGCGAGTGAAGTACTCGGAAGCTCCGCAAGTCAAGGCAACGCAGTGCCCGGCTCCACTATTACTTTGAATGGGGTGCCCCTGGCAAGCATGCATCACATCGGGACAGCCGGCGCCCATAAACCTGTATCACCAAGACTATTGCCACTAGGAAGCCCCGGCCCCGTTACACCCATGAATCTAGAGGGCGACGACGTTGGATATCTAGACCGGGGCCGCAATGATGAAATTGCTCGATTGCTGCGGGCTGAGGAAGAGCGCATACGCCGGGAAGGAGCTACTTCTCCGGCGGTGGAGACCGGCCCTCAGGCATTCTAGGCGGCCGCACTTAGTACTTTTCAATACTCAGGCAGGCTCAGCTAAGCACAGCCAGACTGAATCAGGGAAACTGGTGATATGGTTGGGAAAAGGTTAAAGAAGGGAGCATTAAAATGGTTAAAAGGAGAGAAGAGGGAGAGTGTGCTACGCAGCAAGAGAAACCATCGTTTATGTTTATGATACCCTCATGGTTACTATAGCAAGGCTTGTTTTAGAAGGAGAACTTATTCACCACCGCCGATCTTTTTGTTGCATCAACCATTAAGTGCCCAGGAAGCAAGGAATGAATTCGCGCCCGGTTTGTATCCGTCCTTAGTCGGTAACAGCACTACAAATCCATTCGGTTGGTAACTTCACATATTCGTTTCACACCCCATCTAGCTCTCGCAGCGTGTATGCAGAGGATGTTCGGGCTTTCTTCTGTTCATATATTGTGTCTCCCCACAGGAAGGAAGACATCTCAAACCTGCGCAAGTCGCCAGTCGTATCAGTTGTGTGACTGCGCACGTCACTGGGCTGACACAGAATGCATAGGTTGTAACTGCCCAGTGACTACTGCTTGCAAAGTCACAATATACTTGGCATCCATTCTCTCGGCATGCTAGCAAGTTCGATGTTGTCTCGTCAGATGCTCAATGTGGTTTGTCGCATCGTCCAATAACATCGAGCATGATAATTATAGCAACCCAATATAATAAGTTCCTGGATATGTGCAAGTATCTCAAATTGCCTTGCAGTAGTTGGCAGGGAAATTACCCTTGGTTCCCTCCAACTCGCCAACCCACCAGTCTTGATCCGTTTGCGTCTTCTTGATGATTTTAATCTTGTCTCCCTCGCGGAAGCTCAGGTCGCCGTTTCCACCAGCAAAATCGTACTGCGCAATCACAAACTCATCTGACACTTGGCAGCGTTTGGCCGGAGGAGGTGGCGGTGGTGGCTTCTTCTTAGCCGCAATAATATTGCCATCAGTTAACATTCCTGATTGGTGACCAAAGTGCTCTGAATTAGACGCTGAGTATGTCGGCGATACACGAGACAGCCCTTGGGGGCCGAGAGCAGTGGCTGTCGTGAAGTCGGTTGGCAAGCCGAGCTGAACGCGCGAGGCACTTGTGCTTATAGTCTCTGAGTTTGGCCGACGGGAAGCTTCAGAGGTGGCGGACGGTCGATTCATGGAAGTAGATGATGGAATCCGAACAACTCGAGGGGTTGGTGTGTTTCTTTCACCCTCGGACGATGTGTATGAAGATGTCCGCGAAAAGGGGTTAGAAGGAGGCATTGACGCAATTGATGGCTTCCGAGCTTGAGAATCGTCACCAGATCTCGTGGCTTGGCGCCAAGCTCTACCGTGTGCAATGCAACTGATGGCTTCTGCCTCCTTCTGGGCCGGTCTAAACAAGGAGGACCAGGTTGATATCACATGCTCCATTGGAGGCGGGGGCGAAGGGAACTCGCACTCCTCGCAATAGTTGTGGAGCACTGTGTAATAAAGACCAAGGAGCCTGTTCTGTATGCAAACGTGTGAGGCCAGCAAATTGGGGATCAGGGTGAAAGTAGCATCGATAATTGGTGGAAGCGCTTCTCGAAGGTGAGTGTCCGCGACCTGGAATTCCTGTGTTCACAAGTCGTTACTAACTGGGGGTCAACCCAAACAGTATATCTGACATCGAGACTGCTTACCTCTGAAGCACATGCCAAATCGTGCTCTGCCTTTGATAACTGGGCTTCCTCCTTTTGTGTTCTGCCCATCTTCTTCTGGAGCTTCTTAAGTCTGTCTTGGGCCTTTTCAAACTCTAATCGCTTGTTCTCCCGCTTCTTAATGGTCTTCCGAATGGGCTGAAGGTAATCGCGAGCTTCAGTGGCAGGGCGGATGACCTGAGTATCAATAGCTGATACCTCCTCGATTAATTCATCCCTAAGGCCAGAGTAAGCCTCGCGCAGCTTGAATGTTCGATCAAGCTGTTGCTGGGGCGTAGCGAGGCTCGGTCGGCCATGCCCTTCCGAGGCGCCAACAATAGGGTCGTACAGACCCTCGTATTCCTTGACCATGGCTAATTGAGTAGTTCCCACCGCCACCCAGGAGTCACGAAGGTGCCTTGTACTCTCGATTATCTGGCAGGAGTAGAGCCGTCAGTCAGTTGGACTGGAGGTTGGGGAAGGCATGGGAGAAGATGTGTGCGTAAGGAAAAGGGGGTATAATAGAGAAGGCAAGAAATGTACCTGGCCCAAAAGCTTATCTGCATCCTCATAATCATGCAAAATGGCAGCAACTTTCGCATTGTCGCCAGGACTCTTGCTCATGAGCTTTCCGAACTGTTTCTGCATAGACTGCATCTTCAGAAGGGGGGATGAGGCCGGGTAAACTGATGAGAGAAGCAAATGGAATAAGGTGTGCCCGCTCAGGTATCAACGAATGTGTCCAGAAAAAGTGAGAGCAAGGTTGCAACACCACACTCAAGTTGCTGAAATCGAAGCAGGAGAAAACGTGGATACGGCCAGCGAGCGTGTCCGTTGTAGTGGTGGTGGCGGTAGTGGTGGTGGCAGTATGTTGGTCAGAGGCGATTGTGCGCCCACGTTAGTAAATGTGGAGGCGGGGAGGAGGTTGGATAAGTGAGGGACCCTCGACCACAATGAAATACATGGGCGATACAAGCGAGAAACCACGCTTGTACAGTATGGCAAAGATGGTATCGTCCAACAAGAAATTGATGTTTGTACAGGATCAGGATAGGGAACGGGAGGCAAGATCCGTGCACAGCCGGCTGACATGGGCCGGATTGGACTGTACCTGTACCGGTCTTTGCTGATAATAAATGGACAGTACGCTTAGGAAGGCCTAATATTCCAATTTGACGTCTACGCATCTTGTGGATATAGAGGCACCTGCCTCGTTCCAGACGGACGTTTTCGCGACCCCCGGCGGTGTGAGCCAACCTAGCCAAGCACGAAAGCCAACCAGAAATAAGGTGCCGTCTCAGTACCCTGTCTGGCTCCAAGAAACTACAGGCCCTGGTCGGCTGCCGGCACAAACTGAACCCTGGGCAGCTTAAGCCTTCACTCTCGCTACCTCCACCACTTGTTTCCTTAGCATCGTATCCGGCGTCAGCTCCAAAGGCAACCAATTGGGATGAGTGCGAGATAACGGCAGCAAAGTATTCCACGTGATTGTGATTTGTAAGGCTAATTGTTCAATACTGGGTTTACCAAGAACAACCTGGGCGCAGCAGCGCCTTGTCATTGCAGCCCTCAGTTGTCCGGTGGTTCATTGTTTGAAAGTCAGTATTTGTATCTGTCGCCTGGGCCGGCGCTTGTCTTCAGGGTTCTTCCTGTTCTTAAATCACTTTAGAAGCATTACTAGTACGTATCATGGAATCCCTGCAGCTTGAGGGGATCAGGCGAACCCGCTTCTCTGTGTGCGGCCCACTCCATGTCGCTTGGCTTCAGTCACAACTGTGATGATGAACGACCCGGCGGAAGAATGAGGGTAACGAGGAACAAGCAAGCTGGAAATGAGGAATATCGAATTGACCACATGCTATCTGCTGACCAGCATGCTCAAATTTCATAGGAAGTTTTGTCGCCTGTATCGTCAGGCTATCACTCGCGGCCAAGAGAGAGGAAGAAAAAAAAGTGTCAATACCTTAACTACTACTTAGCTACAACTACATAGTAAAGGTTGAGCCTAAGGCCGTGCTCGTGGCTTGCTCCAGCATAATTGACTCACACCCCAGACAGCTGGCAGATCAAAGGTGGGATGATCTTTTTACAAAAACTCACGTGACTTGGCGTCGCATCTCGCGCGCAAGCTCGCGTCCGTACTTCTGTCACCACCATCAATTCATCAATAGTCAACCCCTTGGCGCTAGCCATATATTGCCTCCATCTATGCCAACCCCAATGTCTCTCGCGAGCCACCCCAGCCCGGCCTCGAATTTACCAACAGCTGCCCCGGTATTCGAGTTCATCTGTCTCTTCACCTACGACCTGAAGCGCAAGCAGAAGAGGTGGCAAGATGGCCGTCTCAAGTTTCACACTTTCAACAAGCGGATCATGGTCTATGATGAGAAAGGCAATTTCATTGGCGATATGCACTGGCGCGAGGACTTTGACTTTGGCGAGGGCGAGGAAATCCACCTGGAACGCGGCGCCGTCATTGTCCAGGTTGCTGAGTGTGTTGGAAGCAAAGACCAGGATCTCACTGAACTCCTTGACAAGAGAGCTAGAGATGTCGATCAACGACATGTTCGCTCCTCCTCCTCCCTCACCTCACCTCTACCTCCTGTAGGTTTCTCGCTTACCCCCATGCAGCAGCAAGCGTTGCCGCCTCAGGGCCAGTTCAAGCAGCGGTCCTTGGCCGACCTCGTCAACACGCCGCGCGGGCCGCAAGGCAGAGCTACCATCCCCACTACATCTCCCTTTGAAGAGCGCATCGCTGCACAAGAATCAAACTCTCAGAACGAAACCCAGAGGTCATCAAAGAGAAGAAAGAGGGAGGTTTCGCCCCCTAGCAAATCAGGCTATGCCCAAAATCTGTTCGGTGCCACATTGACTTTATCGTCATGGTCTGCCGGCGCCACGGCCCGCAGCCAGCCACCCACACCAACTGTTGCCTCTTCATCTGAGATCAACCATCCGATTGTTCTCCCAAAGGATGCTGGTTTTATCCCTTCAAATCCATCTGCCGCATGGGATCCCGCCAGCAATGTACAGAGTTCTCCAGGGGACGCCCTTGTCACCGCAGCAGCTCATAGATATCAAGGTTCTGCCAAGAACCCATCAAAACCACCGCGGCCCAAGGTCCTGCCTACTCTAGGGCCTTCCAAAGGTTCTAAAAGGGACACTCAGAATGACAGGACAATGCTGGAGGCAGCCCGACTCCCTCAAGACTTTCACAAAGCATTATTTCAAAGCCACCATCAGCATAACAACAGCGCTAATACCAATGAGAGCGTTGCTACAAGGAAAACCGTTCGAACTGGCCAGGATTTATTGAGCGGACCATCGTCATGTCCAACTAGAAATCACGGGTCCCATGAAAGCAGTTCGCGTCTGTCTACGAACACCCCCTCTTACATCAATAAAGATGTTGCAGATACCACTGGATCTTCTATAGAGCATAACAAAATTTACAACATGCAATCAAGAATCAAAGGATTGCCAAGAACTAATGTTGAGCTTGAATCATCCGAAGCGCCGAAAGCAACTCTCCGCATCAAAGCTAGGCCAAAACGCGGCCTACTAATGGTGGCGAACAAACCAATGCCCGGGAACTTGGCAAGTCCTGCAAATACGGCCGAGCCTACCTTATCAACAAGAAATAGAGTTATTGCCGTCGATGGATTTTCAACAGGATTGCCCGAAGCTACCGGCATCTCGCCCAATGACTGTAACTCTTATCATGCGGCCAGCAAGAGAGACGCCACGACAAATTCTGACCGCGATATGTCTACAGATATGGCCTTGGGCAATCGTGAAGCCGAGGGTTGTGCAGAACCCCCCCTGGAACAGTACGGTCACTGTGTACGGTCGGGGCCAATTCGTTCCGCGCGCATACAATCGATCAGCAATTCTTCGCCACTCTTTGAAGAGCCGCAAAAGGAGCAGAGGGGCTCTGAGCCAGAAACACATCGAAATATTGAAGTCAAGACTCTACTCTCTGGTCCACGGCTGGCATCTCTTGGACGGAGGAGTATAAAAAGCAAGGAAATAATTGGATCCTTTGACAATGAAGGGATTCAAGGATGTCGAGAAACCATGGTATCACCACCGAACGATCAGAGTGTACCTACCATGCTTTCGAGCACCATATTGGAAATCAGCACTCCATTGCCCGACAAAGTCGACATTGCACGGCAAGAAGCGTCAAGGCCAGCAGAAGCAGCTCGATTAATCAACCCAGCAACGAGAGGACGCAAGGCAGCCAAGAAGTCCGATGCCGCAGGGACCTTTCTGCAATCAGTTATCCCCGCCGGTATGGGTGTTGCACCAGTTGTTGGTGTCGACAGACAAGACACTAACCTCTTAAGAAAATCTAATATAGGGGGGACGGGCACATCTAGTAAACCCATCTCTAAATTACCAGGGTTTTCAACAGCGAATGGAGGCCCGTGGAGTAAAGAGGCATTTGACTTACTGGGATGCACGCGGCCTGGGTAAAGGAAGCCAGGTAAGAATCAAATTGATGCTTAAGAGGGAAGGGCCATGGCATCAGGGCCTACAGGTTAGTAAAAGAACAACGTTTCTTGTCGGAAGATACAAGGAACGCAAAACAAGAAGGTAATACAGGCAGCGAATTTCGAGCGTCTCGTCATGAACTATACTTGCCATTGCGTCTATTTCTGTCACTAGTTGGGTTATCGTCGTGCTTCGGTCTACCTCGATAACGCCAGTACTGACGTTTGCATTTGCGACTCTGATTGAATGCAACATTTCTGAGGTTCAAAGAAAGGGAGTCCATCAGCATTGACTCGTAAATATGAATGTGAGCTTCTTATAATTAGACTGGCCTCACTTTGGTATACAGTCCGATGTGGTTACAACGACTTCAGGAATAGGGTAGGCTGTCTACCTGCCCAAGTCCAGGTAACCTCTACTTCATAACAGACCCGAAATTACGCATAGAAATCCTTCTGTCTACCCAGGACCTAAAGGGGGTACGACGATCTTTTTAGGCTGTAGCTTATGTCAGACGTCTTGCGACTGAAGACGCGTTGTGACTTATCACTCACGCTTGGTAGGCCTAAGGCCTTGTTGCTGCCATCCATTTCATCTGTACTGGTAGGCCGGCAGAGCGCAAGTTGGTATGTGACGTCACAGTAAACGTTGAGATAGGATGCAGGCTGCAAAATGAGACGCAGATATCACACTTCCCTAGACCAAGGGATATGCAGTGTCACACGCCTTATGGTGAGACTATATAGCATGCGTAATCTTGTTTGCGACTCAACCCCAAACTTGTTTGTGACATCAAAACAATATGAGATTTGTTCCTGTTTTTCTCTCTTTAATTCAAGTCTATGCGTAGCCTGACTACATTGGCGCTGCCCTTGCCTTTTGACAGCTGACGAAGAGTACTATCTTTGAGCTGGCGGCAACGTGTCTAGTACAAGGAGAACTCCATGCAGTTGGATAAACCGTCTGTTTCGTTCACTAGCTATGCCTAGATCCGTAATTTACCGAGCTACTGCAGTTGTCTTTCATGGATTCGTCTATCAGAGACATATTACATCCAGTCAGAAGCGTCCGAATTATTAAGCACTGTTCACTTTTCACCAGCTAGGGAATAGTTGTCTTGCTAAGCATTTCAGCTGCTACAATTTGAGAGCTAAAAGAGGAATGTCACAAATCGACCGACTATCTAGGTCGCATAGCTCACTTCTTCCCCAACTCCTTCCGCCTGTCAAGGGCAAAATGTGGCGTGGGCTGTAATGCCGTTACCATACATACCAGGACGGCTGGTGTTAGTGAAGGTCAGCTCAAGCCGTGGTATTAAGGGGTGTTGCGGCACGTTCTAGCGAATTGAGATGTCAGAAATAGATATGGCTGACGCTTATCTTTTTACGGATGACCGAATGGTAAATGGCGTTCTGAAATCACCCTACGTAGGTAGCTGTTAGTTAGTCAACGGTCATGGTGTCCACCTTTTGTTACTAGATGGACGTTCAACAGCTGATCGCATCATTACTGTGTCTAGGGTGGGGTATCTGTTGCGTCGAATATGACTGGGGCCGTAATTATATGTAGTACTAAGCCGGCCGCCCTTCGAGGCTGCACATCCTTGGAATAGAATGTGATTGAAGATACAGTAAATGGCTGAGTAGAGGTTCTCGTTATTGATTTGGGAGCAGTGCAAAAATAACCCTTAATCTCTCCTGAAGGAGCTTTAGGCTGCCCTGGCTAAATTCGGGGAAGTGGGAGGCAATGCCAGCTTCTGCACATTTCGCAAACTAGACGAATTCAGCGGTTTAGGTAACCTAGTTCTTCTAGAGAAGGTTAGTGTAGGTCAATACGTAGGTACGACACTTACAGAACTAGTCCCGGATATAGGTAGAGGCGGTAACACCTCGCATGTCAAGGGCCAAGTAAATGCGTAGTTGCAGTCCATTACATTGTGTACATATGCGCAACCATGTGGAGAGCTTTTAAATCCTTGAAGTATTACACTAGAAACGGAATGAATGAGTACGTGCGTGCCATGGGCCTGTTTCCTGACCCGTCAGCATTGGACCTATCCGAAGGTTGAGCGGGCTCTGACTGGTACGAACACAGCGATGTAGTATGGGGGCGGCCGCCATTGGTTGCAAGTTGACTCACACCAATCACGTGATAGACGCTCTGACGCCCATTGACCAATGGTCCCCCAGAATGCTCGCCGAAAATCTGATGTCTGGCTCGCAGGATGCGGGTCTGAATGGCCAATGGAAGTGCGCATAGTGGGCCTTTGCGTTCATGCTATCTACTATGATTGGCCATCCCGCGAAACGGCGTCCTCGATGCGCTAGTCCTTTTTCATCTCGCCGACGAGCTCAATCAAAATCACCAGCTGCGCCTTGCTGGGGATACCTGCGCATGCCGCCATGTACATCTGCTGCCTCAGCCTAAAATACCATCCATGACTCCCGCCCGACCCTCCCGCTCAAGTCCTTCCCGTCTTCCTCTTTTTCCCTGTTACCGTTCTCATCGATCCCGCGACACGTTGAGTGAGAGACTCACTGAAGCTACTCCGAAGCTGGAGACATTCCCCTCGGCTTGCGTAAAGCCCCTTTACCTTACCTCCAATCTCCACTGAATCTTCCTTCCGCCAATTTTTGTTAGTCAACCAAGACTCAATTGCTGGCAGCTATTATCCGCACATCTTAGTATCCAAACTATACGTCTCAACCAGTTTCTTTGGCCGTATTACAGGCTCTAAATTGCCTCGCCTTGACTAGACAAGAATACATCAACAGATTTCTCTCAAGGTATGCCCACATATGTCCGCCTTAGCCTGGGTTCCCCATCCACTCCACATACATTTACATCCTGGTTTGGAACCTCAATCTGGGGATAATGCCATGCCAAGCCAAAGACATACCCAACTCTGTATACCCACATTCACCAAATTTTCCCATCATGGCCTTACTCCGCCATAGCCTTGAATAATGAAGAAAAGGACAGAGAATGATGCACAACAACTATCTATAACAAGGGCTCACTGTGTAATAAGCTAAGCGTTTCATCTAGTTCACTCATCACTTGAAGAGGTTCGTCTCAGCGACGTACTCGCCCATCACCATTTCCTCAATCTACCGCCGAATCCCGTCAGTTACCAACGTCATTCACCAAACGTCGGCCATGTCCCGCAACAATTCCGTCAGCGCTCTCCAGGGCTTTTCCATTTGTCAGCCTTTTCTCGGTGCCGCCCTCCAGTTCTATCCTTCTCTGGGCACTCAACAGCTCGACGACCTCATCAACTCGTACCTTCCTGGGCCGTCCTCAATCAAAGAGAAGAGAGCTACCGTGTCCATGGACTTCTTTGAGTATTCCCAGCTCACTGGCGAGACTTTCAAGTACTATCCTGTCTTCACCCAGACATCATCTGCCGAGTCTAGTCCCATCCAGGATTCCGGTTACGGTTCTAGCTTTGTCTCTCCCGTCATCTCGGACTGGAGCTGGTCTCAGTCGACACCAAGTTCTGCATCCGCATCAACCCCTACCTCCGTTAGCCAGGAGACGATGTCATGCAAAGCCCCAAAGAAGGTGGCCGCCCAAGCCGCGAAGTCGCAAACTAGTGACTTTTCCCATTTGCCGGGCATGAAGATTATGACCAAGGATGGCCGCGACGTCACAAACTCTGCATCACGCGGTTGCAAAACCAAAGAGCAGCGTGACCATGCCCATCTTATGCGAATCATTAAAGCCTGCGACGCCTGCCGAAAGAAGAAAGTCCGCTGCGACCCGAGTCATAAGAAGCGGACCACTGCGCAAAATCACACAGCTGCTCCAGCCAGATTAGCGAAGAAGGTCAAAACATCACCAACCCAAGAAACACGCTCATTCAAAAATCAGGAACCACAGCAAAATATTTCCTCATCGTCCTCATCTCTCTTGCCTGAGCCAGCTTTCGCGATTTTTGAACAGCCTGACATGTCGGTTGAGCTACCTGAGTCGTGGGAGTCCTTGGTGCACTTCGAAGACGAGCCTGCCCACATCGCTCCCTTCGACTATGACTTCTTCTGTGACCCCGAAGGTCACCTCTCTCCGCAATCAAACCAGTCTCCCGCAACTCCTACGGCATTTTCCCAGCCACAAATTGGACACAACCTCCTTCATACCGCTTTTTCGAACCAGCCTTTCCACGAAGAGGTCGCCGTTCGCCCTCCCACCCTACCGTATATGGACGCCACGGTCACTGCAAACAACTACGTCGATTTCAGTCTTTATTCCCCAGAACCAAGCTTCTTGGACGAGGACTCTGCGCTTGTCACTGATATCGGTTCTGCTATTGGCAAAGAGCAAGATATTCTGTCGCAACATCATGGGTTGGCTCAAAGTAGCCCATCGCTGCGCTCTCGCGAGGTTGAGCGCAATAAACCGCTACTCGCCCCAGACGATTGCCTAAATGTTCACCATGGCACATCGTCGTCTCCACAAGTCTCAGGGACCCCATGTGTGGTTGATCAAGGTTGTCACTCACTAGCTGACGAAGGACACTCAACTTCAATCACCAGGCACCAATGCGTATCACAGGTAGGTTTCCTCGAGCTAATCTCTTTAGAGTTATTGTTGACACGCGGACAGAACAACAACATTTCTCGCTCATCCTGCTCACGCCTCCTCCCTGATTCCTCTCCCACTCAGATGGTACGGTCACCACTGGTGATCCACGAGCTTTCGAGTAGCCGCTTATCACAATGCCCTGCGCAGCGTCTTTCTGTCAACGACACTGTGAACCAGCCATTCAACACCTTTGCAGAACTACCACAGAGGGGCAATGCATCTTCGCCAATTACAAATGGTCTCCGTCCCACTGTCTCGGTTGCTCTACCCTTGCCCGAGCCCGCACCACTAGCCACTACAATCTCTGCAACCTTGTTGTCGCGCTCCTTGGCACCAGCCGATGGACTATCTCAAGATGCGGAGACGGCTACAGCAACACGTGGCAACCGCAACGGTGGATCGGTCAACACAGCAACTTTTTCGATGAGGTCTTCTTCACAGGTCGCTGTTATAGCGTCATCAGAAAACCGCAGGGCATTCATGTTGCTTGGCACCCAAAGTCATGTCACCGAAGGAACCGTAACAAACGGAGTTCTGTCCGCAATGACACCGGTGACAGGCAACGGTCCCGTCTTTGCCCGTCGCTCCGCTGTTGCCCTGTCACCCACAATGCAGCTACTGTGCATACCACTACTTTTAGTGGCAATTGGCATCGTTACAACTTGGCTGAATGCCTTGGCAGTGACTCGTGGCTTTTCCCAGTTTGCGCTTGGCCTGGCGATGTATAAGGCCTACCACTCTGACTCTAGTCTTTATGGCTCGAGACCGCAACAGAGCCGTCTCAGTACCACGCCTAAGCCGCAGGGCTTCAGCAACGGCGCGAGGCTACTCTCCTGCGTCAGCACGAGACTACGACATACCCGTCGGCAGAATCAAAAGACACATTGCCAGTCTAGACCGGCAGTGAAGTCTAGGATTCTGGGCTTCGCGCAAGGGCTCCCATGAGCTCTGTGTCAACCTGCAGCTTGGACAGATGGTCCTGGCCTGTACGGATAGGGTTATGTTTTGTAGTATTTGCTGATGTTCTGGGAGCGTTGGTTTCTGAGATACCCCTCTGTTTTGATGAGATACGTAGTCCCTGGGAGTGGGAGGACGTGTCGGCTTAATCATCGGGTAAGGTGGTGCTATTAGTTGTACGGACCAAAAGTGACACTGTGATAGACTGCATGCCCCCAGATGCAGAACAGACAAGATGCTATCTAGTATTGGCTTCTTACAATTTATAATATACCGCCTTGCTCTCAATTTGCGACCCATAAGGAAGTAAAATCTGTCATATGACGTTAGGACCTTTACACGCCATGGCAGTCTCGTTTGAAGGCTTGTAAGAACCCGCCTTTGACTTTGGGGTGTGTTTTGAGCGGGTTGCGATACAACATGCAGCTTGGTGTAACTAGGAAACGGTCAGTGTGGTCACGTGACTAAGGTGTTCCCACTCAGCGCAAACTTCAACTACTCACTCGCCTACCATTTCTTCTACCCTCATCTTTCTTAGTTCTTAGGGCTTAAGCTCTGGCAATTTCTTAAGGCTCTTGATTTTTGCTTGATGAGGCCGCCACGGGAGTCAGTACCTGGTTAAAAGGAGCTGTCATCAACAAAGCTTCGTTTGCTACCCTAGGTCGATCTGCGCTGACACATTGGAATTGCCTCTGAATCTAATTCGGTTTTCGGATTGTTTCCACTCATCATATACAAAGTCTCATTTGCAACCTCTAGGGACTCTTCTGGTATTCCTGAAGGTAACCCAGACTGGCTGCGCACTGGCACGAACCCTCCACCGACTTTTGTTTGTATCACCAAATCAGGAGTGAGAACGGGCCGCAGAGCGCTGTCTGAGCAGTCCAGATACAGGGACACAACAACCCTCCATATCACATACAAGGCTCGCTGGAGTGCCTTTTGATCGACAGGTTTCAATTTGTGCCTCTTGGAGAACTTCTGAGACACAATAGACAGTAAACGTAGCTAGCGCTCTGCTCTGCCATTGCAGGTCACTCAGAGAAACAGGCTGCGGCCGACTAGAGAAGAGGCCGAGGTGTATTCGGGTATTTGCATCAAATTTACCCGTGGCCTAGCTTCACTCTCCTTGCACTTGTCAATTGGTCCGGAAGGCACCTGTTCCGTCTGCCTTGGGATTTGAAGCGAGTAGCAGTCACCCACCTAGAGCGTTCCTGCAAAGTGGGCGACATGACAAGAGCCCCTTCCGCAATAGAGCCAAGTTCGGACAACTCTGGCTCTCTTCATAGTCATACGTCTCAGAACAAGGTAGTGCAACGGTTTTCATCGACCAGTAAATTCCTAAATACCATTTTCCACCGCCTCAAATCACCCTTTTCACCCAATTCAAGACCAACTCCATCAACATTGTCAACGCCATCGCCCTCTCCTCGAACACAAAGATCAGCCCCACGAGAGGCATACCATAGCGAATCAAACATGGCTTTTACAACAGATGGGCTGAGTAATTCCCGGACTCGCGATGCCAATGAGTGCTTGGACTCTCTTGATGCTGCCGACACCGCCATGACAGGCTGCACCAAGGAAAACCAAGCTTCCTCCACCGCAACTGTTAACCGACCTGCTCTCCAGGCCCAGCCCGCAGATGATGATGCAGCTATTGGAGCTCGATCCTCAGCGTTCCACAACCATGACGCTTCTGCCTTTGCTGGGGAGAAAGAAATCCACCAGGCCTTTATGGACCAGGCTCTGGACATGGTAAGCAGCAGCGCACAACCCCCCTTCATAGCACATCGATGCTGCTCAGAGGCATGCACTAATAGCAAATCCAGGCCCGTCTAGCTCTGAGGACCAACGAGACGCCCGTTGGTTGTGTCCTTGTCCACGAGGGGACCGTCGTCGCGAGGGGCATGAATGCCACCAACGTGACTCGAAATGGCACCAGACACGCCGAGTTTATGGCTTTGTCTGCCCTCCTGTCACACAGGCCTGACAAAAACGAAAATGAGGCGGCTGTTCAACTTCAGGCGCAGGTTGATGAACGTATCAAAACTGATGTTCAGGATGATGAGTCGGAGCTATTCCCCATGGACGGCAATTATGTCAAAAGTGGTCACCTTTACCCCTACGGCCAAAAACTTCATCACGCACCGCGAGTCGATCGTTCCATCGTCCGAGATTGCATCTTGTATGTCACCGTTGAACCTTGTGTCATGTGTGCTGGTCTACTGCGGCAGCTTGGTATCAAAAAGGTCTATTTTGGCGCCGTCAATGACAAGTTTGGTGGCACCGGCGGCGTCTTTAGTATCCACAAGAATTCGACGGACTTTGATCACCTCAATTCTGGCGCTGTCCACAGCTCCGTCGAGACTTCCAACCATCCCGACATCCTGCCGAAGTCGGTTGAATGTTCGTCGAACAACAACCATTTAACCGGGAACTGCCAGCTTTTATCAGGTTTGGGTGGTGATGGTGGTAACGTAGAGCCTGGCTTTGAAGCAGAGGGTGGATGGGGTCGAGACGAAGCCGTCGGTTTGCTTCGACGTTTCTATGTTCAGGAAAATGGTCGCGGTAAGTTTTCTTCATTGAATCATTTAAACTCGCCGAAACTATCACTGATTGGAACCCCAGCTCCTGTGCCACGCAAGAAGGAGGGGCGAGCTGCACGACTGGCAGCCATCGAGCAAGCTGGAATCGAAACCGCCACGTCTGTGGTTCACTCGTGTTCGGAGGCTGTCGCCAGCCACGAAGCTGGCATCGTTTCTACAAGCAACAACCTCGCAAGGCATGAATGAGTGCAGGTCAAAGTACCACTTACGACACTTCGTAAACTAGGTTTCGAAAAACGTTGGTGGCACTATTGACCGTTATTATCACTGTTGTGGTAGCAATGGCAAAGCATATAATAGCTGGTCCTAAGTCCTTAGCTTCCATGGAGTATTTTATCCAAGAGAAACAAAAGCAAGCTGAATTGACCTAGGTAGTCACAATAAAATGATGTCGAGATCCAAACCCACGGATGATACACTTATGATGACCTATCGGCCCGAGGAGAGATAGTCTCGCTCGCGTCCTTTTCCTTTCCAGTCACCGAACCGCCCTGATCCGAACTAGCTGTTTTCTCAAGTGACCGAGGCTGGTTAGCAACGTTGCTACTGTGATATTCATCTGCACGCCAGAAGTCCTTTTTGCCACTGGCCAAACGCCTGACCCAGGGCGGCAAGATACCACCAGGAATGCGCCAGGTCCAAGGATCTTTCTCGTGCTTGTTGTGGGGAACGATGCGACCAAATGAAGCCTTCTCGATGACCCACACCAGGGTGTTGATGAGGATGTAGCTGCAAACGCCGCCAATCAATCCATCAGCAATGGAGTAAGTGAAAGGCATCAGGGCCATGGTGATAAAAGCGGGAATGGCGTCGCCCATGTATCTCCAGTTGATCTCGGTCACAGCCCGCACCATCATAGATCCAACAAGGATTAAGACGCAGCCAGTGGCCCATGATGGGATTGAAGCAAAAATAGGGGCGAAGAAAACCGAGATGAAAAAGCATAGTCCCGTAACCATAGCCGTGATACCTGTCTTACCGCCCTCGGAGATACCAGCACCGGACTCGACAAAGGCTGTAACTGGAGGGGTTCCGAAAAGGGCACCGATGGAAATACTGATTGCGTCGACCATGTAGGCGACGGAAGAGCCCTCAAAATCCTGAGTCTCTTCGTCGATGAGATTGGCAAACCGAGCCATAGAATAGAGCGTACCAGTGCAGTCAAGAATGTCGACATACAGGAAGGTAATGAGGGCGAGGCCAAACGCACCGCTGTAGCCAGCGACATTCCACTCCTGGACATTCAGTGTTCTCTGAATAGGATGGAAGTCGACAACCTTCTTGAAAAAGTCGAAATTGGAGTCGCCAACAACGGTATCGGGAAAGTATGTAACATCAGTACCTCGCGGCCAAGAAATGATGCTGACAAGGAGTATACCGGCGAGAATGGCTCCCTTGAAGCGGTACATCATGAGCATGACAGTGAGAATGCCACCACAGAAAATACCGATCCACATGGTTGGGTTACGCATCTTGGTTGAAGAGGGGCATAACCCGTTGACCATTAGGTGTTGCTCGCAACCGGCCAACTCAAGAGGAGTGGAAGTAGCGCCAACAATCAAGCCGATACCCTCACTATACGTGAGCCCGATGAGGGTAAGGAAAAAGCCGATACCAACACCAGTAGCAAGCTTGATAGAGCGAGGGATGGCACGAGCAAGCCATTGGCGCATCCCAAGCACGGCAAGGCCAAAGAAGATGAAGCCCTCGATGAAAATAGCGGTTAGAGCGACTTGATACGGCACAGCACCAGTTCCGTGGTAGCCAACTACGGAGTAGGCGAAGTAAGCATTGAGACCCATGCCGGGAGCACAACCAACAGGCATATTTGCAAGTAGGCCCATGAAGAAGGTAGCCAGAGCTGAAATAGCGGCCGTAGCAGTGACGATGTCGCGCTTCACCTCGGCCACACACAGCAGATAGTCCTGGTCCTTGTCGCACGCAAAGTCGGCCTCGGTGCGGGGGCAGACGCAAGTGCCACCCGAATCGGCCACAATAGAAGAATTGACAGCAATGATGTAAGCCATGGCAAAGAAAGCGACAAGGCCGGCACGCAGCTCGGTAAAGAAAAAGGAGCCCTTGCGCTCACGGAGCTATATGCAGATAAATTAGCAAATGCGCAGGCACAAGCTCATGAAGCCTAGCATGCCATTCATCCCAACTTGACATTTAATGCAAGAGGGGTCGAATATTACGGCAAGATCCATTAGGCCACCGGTGAAGGCGGTTGTACGGAGCGGGACGGGAACGGAACTTACATGACCGGAGCCTTCCAACTGGAACCACCGACCGACCGGGCTAGCGGCGACCCTGGCGTTGACCATGTCAACCCACCTCCTCAGATTTTCCATCCACCTCCTCAGCTTTTGAGTCAACCTCCCCATTTTTCGTAATAAAAACTTTTTCTTAGGCGTTGGCTTGGAGTGAGACCAGGGTCTCGAATCAATCGACTCAAGCAAAGAAAAACCACGAGCAGATTAGACCACGGCTCTGAACTATTAGGTGGACGATAAAGGTCGGATATTGATATCAATGTGAAGTGTGGCGCATGTATAGGCAAGCCAGATAGACATGCAAGCTTGAGCCAGCCAATATCAGACGACGTACGACGAGGGAAGGTGTGAGAAAGGCGAACTAAGCGCAGTAAGGGATCTGTCAGATCTCGCGACAGCCGACAACGACGACAAGGAGAGGAGTGAGGAGGACAAGCCTAGAGAGGCAACATCAAGACCAAGGACGGCACAGGGTGTGGTTTTTATCATTAACGCACGGCGGCAGAGGCAAAGCGGATGGGCACCAGCCAGCCAGTCACTCGCCTTATCAGAAAAAAAAAAAAAAAAAACTCGAGCCATTATTTGTTAGCGCGAAAAGGATTATCATTTACTGGATCACCGGGGGCCAGCCTGCGATGGGGCAAAGCGTGGATCACTGGCGCAGGTTGCAGATGGGCGGGTGGATATGGCAACTTGCGAGACCCCAGGTCGCTTCGATGTAGTGTCAATAAAGGTGTGCGTCTGTATCTGTATCGCGAAGACTAAAAGTAAGGTATTCTGGGCAACGCCATTAGTGCGGTACTTGTGTGCAGTCACGGATACATGGTCATGGCATGCATGACTTGAAGTACGGCGCATCGCAAAGTAGGTAATGAGGCGATGACTAGGCCCCCTGGACCTAATGTGGATGCGTCGCCGGTGAAACGGATAATGCAGCGCCATCAACGGTGTCAACGGCATTGCCTGTACGGGTACATGTATGTTACAGGGGATGGTGTTGGGCTTAAATCGTCAAGGTAAGGGCAAGAACTGCGAAGTCAGAACGGGTGGGCGATTCGGAGGAACGAGGAGACCAAAACAAAAACATTTTAGCCGTTCGTTAGAGGAAAACTCATTCGGAAGAGTACGGTAGTGTATGTAATCAGAGATATGACTACAGGATTAGTACTACTGTTTACTCACCTTCCGACGGATTCACCACAAGTTAGAGATTGCCAACCCTGGCCGAGGACTCCATTGGTGTAGCTGCATTCGGGTATGGAGCCGCGCATCTGGGTTGACCAATTTTCTTTGCTCATGGCAGGACAGCACGGGGCAACATGGCAAAGGTGGAGAAGGCGACTACCAAGTGGGCTAAAGCCAAGATGTTTTGGGCAAAGACACGACCTGAGCTGCTATGCAACTGGTACATGCCGTACATTAGGGGCGTCAAATTGGATGTCAAGAGTAGTTTGCTCGGCAGCTTGGTTGTGACGGAATATCTCAGTCCAGTGAGTCCAGCCCTGCGGAGAACGAGAGAAATGTTGAAAATGGTGCGTCGTACAGAAAAAAAAGTTCGTGCAGGCGGATGGATCCTTATCCGGGTTGCTGTCTGTGCGCAGATACGTGGAAGTACCTCGACATTAGGGCCGGGGCTGAAAAGAGTAATATGTCCCCGTCAAGAAAGTGAGTAACAGTTCTGAAAAGTGCCAGGGTGAGCTAAGGTAGTTTAGATACGAATAATGCGTCCCAAGACAAGTAGACATGGGTAGGTGAGCACTTGTTCTTAATTAAGGGATCCCCATTAGTGCTAGACGCGAACAATGCAAGTAGTGTCGTGTCGTGTCAACCGCCACTGCAATCGGGCTAAAATGGAAGAGCCCAGCGTCGTAGCCGAAACTCCTCTCTCTTGGCTGCCCATGATTTTAATATTACTCTCTTTTCAATGTCCTTTCTGTACTGCGTGGTTTGACCAGTTAGACAAGTGAATTGCGCCGCCTCTCTGAAATTCTGAATGTCTGCGAACACTATGTATAGAGCCCACATGAACAGAGTGCCCACCAACGGGGTTCGCGTCCTGGAAGGCACGTTGGCTGGAAATGCTCCTTGAAATCCGCCATCAAAACGCACCAAGAACCCCGAATTTTCTATTCAGAATTAGAATTTTTAAGACCTTTGATTGGCTGCATGTACCCGGAGCTAGACTGTTCTAGGGGCGAGGGGCCGTGAATGGGCGGGGCCATACTTGCCAGTAAGAGTCGAGGTGCGATAACGACACAGCCAGTAATAAGTCTCAACCCGTCTGAGGCTGACCTCACTCCTGCCTTTCTTTTTCGTCTCATTACTGTAGCATTGCGTCTTGTCACCGCTGTCACCGCTGTCACCGCCACCCAACAAAGGCCATAGATCACCGACTGAACACCTTGCCGAGTACGCCATATTGCTCCATATTGACCTTCTTTATTGAAAGTTGCTAGAATCACTAGGAGCGTCAGGCTGGAGTAGGATCCTCAATCTACTTTAACCCCCAGCTTGTTATTTTAAGCTCAATCAGCGAAACTATCAACTAGCTATGTGAAACACTAATGAGCGGAGGCCACGTCTGTTAATCGCCAAGGCGATCATGTCTGCCACAGCTTGATGTCTTGCTTTGGGCGCTTCCAATCCTTGGCCTCGATGCCGCTGGTTGCCATCTGTACCTACAGCTGCCCATTTCGGCTTCCCCCTCCCGCCGCTCTCCACCTCTGGTCATAGAATGGCTGCTGTGGTACCACTTCCCACATTGCCTATCGCAACCCGGACAGTCTGAATGTTATTCACCATGTGCATTCACCATGCCGTGGGAGATGATTGGGAACTACAACGGGGCCGGGTGAAAAGCTGGGCCTCTACACTGATCATTCGGAGATGTCACTACTGGTTCAGTTGTGCCCACCCCCGGAGCTTGTCACTTTTCCGGCCGATAGGAAACACCCGACCTTTCGCCCCCCTCCGTTCAGGGATGCTGATTGCGATGCCGAACATGATTGCCAGCCCCTTCAGCATATACCCACCCCCGCGAATGCACGGTGCTGGAGGGAGACCCAAAACGATTCGGGCAGGCTGCTTTTTGCCTCCTTTTGGTTGATGGCCCGCATATAACTAACTACTGGTCGGCAATGCACGTGCAGCAGCCTAAACACATGCTAACGTTCGCTTCTATGGTCTGGTCATGGGCTCTGCTTCTGGTTGTAGCAGCTTTCTACGGTGACCAACCGCCATACCATACCATGATTGTCAGTCGATTCGATAGTTGTTAAGTACTTATCCGCTTGACCTACGATGGACGCCTTTGTCGGTGAATCATTCTACAAGTGGGAATGCTGGGTTGGACAACGATGTTATTTATGCCTGGGGATGTCGCGTTTGAGCACGATTGGTTGTAAACTGGTTGTAAACTGAAGCCAAATTCACCCACATGTCGACGTATACTGATATAGGTTCGCCTGTGGACTCCTGGCCACGATCACTTTAGCTCAAGTTACACCAGAGCATTGGTATCCGCAAAACAAGGCCAGGATAAATGGATCACGCTGGAAGGTAGGTATTTGCGATACTGGATGTTGTTTGGTGGAATTATACTGTGTCGGAGTACCAGGAAACTCGGCTCTTTAGCTATTCCTCGCCATCGCAAAAGCCCTGTTGTGGATGTAGAAGCAGTTCATCAAGGCTTACTCTTACTCGTCCTACCGTGATCAACCGAACAGAATAGAGCCAGGCCAAATCGGTTTAGCTCTGGCTGTGCAGGGCACGGGACACATGTCCTAAATGGGCCATCTCTTATCTCACGTCCATTCTCTTTCGCATTCGCAGTAGATACAGCAGAAAAGAGTAGATGCCTGGATCCTATCTGACAAGGGGTAACTGTGTTGAATTTACGCCTCGAAATTCTCAAGACCTGATGTTTCCAACCAAGCATGACGGCAAAAAACAATGTGCGACGCACTGGCTACTGCTCTGACACTTTAGGCTGGATCGTACTTCAACCTCGCCCAATGTTTCAATATTTTACCCTGGGTCTGATCTCTCGAGTAGCTACATCTTTGGCAGTTCCTTCCTTCCACCCTTATCTGGCCTAGATGTGACCAGACCATGCGGGATTTGGTCGATTTCCAGGGCCCCGAAAGCACGATCAAGATATCAGGGGCAATGATATCCCCTAATTATCCACTTCGTGTGTGTGAGTGCACACACCGTGTAACAGAGCGGTGCCCAGCTATCTCGGTCAAACCTGATATGACCCGATACCAGTGCCGGGTGCTGGAGTTAGTTAAATTTCGGGATACGCACAAGTTCGTCGGCAGCAGCTTGGCCTTAAGCCCAACTCACGCCAGTTGAGAGGGCATGCAAGTAGTATTCCGCTTTGAACATCCATGATCAAGCACCGAGAATGCTGCCGGTACAGTCCTTCACAGGTGGCACTTGCCCATATCATCTCTCTGCGGCATCTAGACTCTGCTAGTAGATATACAAAGGTTTACACTGTAATGCCATGTTGATTGTTCACTTGTATGTGCTAAGCCAATGTTAGCACCAAGTTGAAGCAGCAACAAGATTCCATCCTAATCATCCGACAACATACCAGCTAATGACCCCAGTATGAAATTTTTGACGGGATAGGATGTGCAGCAATTCAATGTCCTCCGATTATCAGTATGCAAGGCCGTGGAGGTGACGCCTGTTATCAAAAAAATGAAGCAGCGGGGTAGGTTTGCAAGACGCTTGAAGCTTGATGCTCACAAACAATCAGAATGGTCAAATATTTACCATTTGAGAACACAGCGACGTTCTATTCGCAGTTCGCAGTTACCAGAACTCACAAATCAAAGCTTCTGGGCCAGCTAACGTGGGCTGCCACAAAAGGTATCAAGCCGCAGCACTCAAGTCCTGCTAGCGGAAGTCGAGGCTAGCTCAGGTGCCGCAGAGTTTTGAGAACCATCTAGGCCCTAATACTATGGCAAGCGACAGATATAAAGATGGACCCAGGCATAAGAACTATACTCATGCTGCCGACTGCCAGGGTATTGAAGAGTTACCCTATCATCAACGCAGTGTCGACCGGCCCGCAAGTTTCCATTCCGATTCAATAATTAGTTTACGTTTGCCCTGCCCCCATATATGTCAAGGTAGGAGAGTCGACTGACACGTTGACGTCAATAATCTATTAAGACAGCCTCATAAATACTTTTCCGAGTAGAGAACAATTACAGGCTGGGTCAAAATAGCAAGGGGAGTGATTGGAGCACAGGCGCAGCCACTCCCAGTCGCACACGTCGCCTTGAGCCGAAGAAGGGGTACATTGGTACCGGCAGTTACAACAAGTGAATGATGCTGACTGAGACTGTTTCTCATGTTGGTCTACCCTAACGATCGGTAGCACGTAGCCAAAGTGAGTGACTGGTACATGGCCGACATCGATATTACACGAAAGAGTGCGTTAAGGTGGGACAAAGATGACAGGCTGTTGGGCAACAGTTGTGCATGGTCAGTTCCCCTCTTAGTGGGTAGTGCCTTATTAATCCATAACAAGTGGAGTGGATGGGGAGTTTTGGTGCTGCACAAATGAAATCTTTAATCCATAAGATCCGTCCCACTAAGGTATACTACTTAGCAATGCTCGGAGACTATTTACTGTGCGTGACGTCACATGCTGGACCCTGCATTTCGCCTGCACGGTCCCAGTCCCCTACACTTCTTGGATTCTGCAACACAACCTTGCAGCAAATTCCTCCAGAATCCAGATTTAGGACAGGCTAAAACAAGTTGAGCGAACCAACCTATGTACTAAAAGAAGAAGAAGAAAAACAGAAGAAAAAAAAGAAAAAAAAAGAAAGAAGAGAAAAGAACATGCATACAAGAAGAACGAAAGTGAGGGTGAAGAAAAGAGAAGAGTGGGGACAAGCAGTCGCTACTTCCTCACTGAATCGAAAGGAAGCACGTTGAGCATATGACCCCAAGACGTAATGCTGAAGCGCCAAGTGGACGCCCATAGCTGCAGCGGAGACAATGACCCACTACTGCCCACAGCATCCCCCGTAACTACAGCGGTCAGCCGATCGACTGTGTGTGACGCTATCCTGGTCCTAAGTCGTCTGGTCTGATTTCGTCCGTCTGGTTTTGTCTTGCATCTATGACAGACTGAGAGGCCGTGACATGGCCTAGTATTGGCCTGGGCTCTACAATGGTACAAAATTGTCACCCAAGGGTTGCCCCAGCTAAACCAGCCTACCTAGTCCCTGCTATCATTCCGCAGATCGTGGGAAGCCTCTGCGACTCACATACTATATAACTATCATGCTTCCAGCCACATCAACTGGTAACTATCGTTCCCCCGGTATTGTATTTCAGGCCCTAACCAGCCCAAGGCACGAGGAGCCCCTTTAATAGCCCCCTCACTGTCTTTTCGTTCACTTCTCGAGCCCTTCACTCCACGATCCGACCCAAAGATGGGACGCCCTTACCGTCAAGTACCCGACATAAATCTCCATGGCCCTCACCAAACATATGCCTACCAGTATGACCGACCTGCTACCGCCTCGACTGACATATATCCTCCTCGTGGCCGCAGCCCAGGTCCCCGTCACCGTAATAGACCAGAGCCTGCTGCCGCTTCCCATGATAATTACGACCGAATTCATTCACCAAGAGGGCCCCAAGATGGCCGCGAGCATCGAAAGGACCGTAGGGAACGGAAGGACCTCTCCGCAGACGAACACAATACTCAGGTAGACCCAAGGCGCAACCATAATACTCCGAAAAACCGGTTTGTCGATGACGAAGACAAGCCTTATCCCAAGCCCCTTCGGAGCCACGGCCGTTCAGCCGGTGGTTCATACCGTACCGCCCATGATTACGAAGACTCCGATGCATACTCACCTGGTTCCCACCATGCCCATGAGCGGCAACACGCTTACCACCCACCCCGAACAAGCGAAACGAGAAGGTCCAGGTACCCCGACTATGATACTGAGCCGCGTTCTACCGACAAGCGACGCTCTCGCTACACTGACGATGCCGAGCCACATGCTAGCGACAGGCGGAGGTCGCGCCACGCTGACTATAGGGGCGGTGTTTCCCGGGACGCCGAAAAACCACACCGCGCTAAGCACCCTGACTCTGAGGTTGATCCGCGTTCGCACCAAAGAGATCGTTCCTTAAAAGACCATAGGCGCTCAAGAAAGGACTCGCCTGATCCCTACTTCCAATCCACCCGGCAACACTCTGCCAGAGGTCGGTCTGTGCCGCGAAATTCCGCCGTACGAGGTGCCACCGGCGCCGCTCGACCCAGAGCCAAATCTGCTGTTGGATATGCTGCCTTGGGTGAAGCAGCCCAAACAGCTTTTCGCGTTGGCAGTCAGGCAGCTTATCAAATGCGTAATGAGCCAGGGCCATGGATTGGCGAGAAAGGGACTCGTGTTGCAACGGCTGCCCTCGGCGCAGCTCTTGTAGACACCTTTGTTGGTCACAAGGCTGCCAATATGAAAGGTGGCATGCGTCATCAAGCCTTGCGCCAGGCATGCGAGATGGGCATTCGTAACTTCGTCATGCAGCCTGCTGTCAACAGCGCCAACCACCGTAATGGAAGTGGCAGCAAAGGGGGTCGCAAACGACGGTGATGCTTGACATTTTATTGTTACATTTGTGCAATTTCTTGCTTGTTCCATGTTTGTTTTACTTGCTCTTAGGCAGGGGCATTGTTTCGTACAGTCTTGTTGTCCAGGGCTTCCCATCCGACGCTGATCAACTTAATGATAACGAAGAGAACGATACACGAGAAACAGGAATTGAACGTACAATCATGAGGACTAGAATACCATCAGAGAAATTGTTAGTGAGAGATAGTAAAGGGCAGACGCCTGGTATCCCACGGGCTTCTTAACGAGACAAATATCAGAAAATAGTAGAGAAGTATAGTTTGGGCATTACGTATAATCGTTAAGTACAGTAAACAATTTCAATAATCAATCCGATGATGCAAAGTGCACCGTTAATCTTGGTGGAAAATAGGCCCCCAATCAACGCACGGGATGCAGCCAAGCCGGTTTGCTCAACATACCTCTTCAAAGTTGTAAATGCAACAATTTAAGCGTCGGAAGATACCTCCTCAACGATAGGATCAAGGGAATGAGGCCTTGGCCTGAACCACCAGCATATTTGCTTTGATACCAGACGTGATAAATACGCCTGCAGCCAGACCAAGAGATTCTCTGACCTCTTCGGGCACTCTCACAGAGGTATGGCTTTCTGAAGGCTTCGCAGAACCGTGACGACCCAGGACAACGAGATTGTGCCAGGAGACATCCTTTGAATCCACCCGAATACCCGATGTTGCTTGAGTTAGAGCAGCATTAATGATATCGCTGGCGGATGACTTCTCGAATTTGACACGTGAGCCGACGGCGGTCGGAACGTGTGTAGAAACAAAGCCAAAATAATCAGTGTCCTGATGTTGAGACTCCTCCCCATTCGATGACGTATAGTGGACCACGGTCGCCGTGGCATTCTGCTTCTCGCAAAGTTGTAGCACCAAGGCAAGGGCAAACCTATCGTCCCTACCGCCAAAGTAAGGTAAGAAAATATGGTGGGATTTGTGCGTAACTGGAATCGATGGAATGTCTTGGTGAATGTCGCTAAACGAGTAAGCTCGCATGAGCTTGGTGCGTTCAAGTCCGGAATCGTTTGGTATCGGAAGCATGTTGGGGAAGAAGATACCAATATTATGCTCCACCGATGCGAAGAGGGACTTGGCAAATCCCGTATAAGCCGCCGCCAGCTTGTTGTTAACTCCGTCAGCTGGAGAAACTTGCGAGTCTACCAAGCTGCCGCTTTCACTCCAAGGAACCAGCAGAAGGTCTGATGATATGTCCGAAGACTTTGACAGAAGTGCTTCCGCAAATCGAGTCTCAGGCATAATAGACACCTCGCCAGAGACTGCAACCTTCAGAAACTGACCAACAGTACGGAATATATTGACAACAGGGTCATTTCGAGTAAACTCGGCCACTTGAGACACGGTCATAACAGATGAATCACGGTCCGTTAAATGCAGCAGACGGAAACCATGAGCTCGTACAGCTTGTGCATCCTTTGAATACGGCCCAATCGCAACTGTTTCAGAATGAAGACCGTCTTTGTCCTCACTGCTGCAGCTGTGCTGATTGTCAGGCGCTGCCTGCTTCCCAAAGAGCGACACCAAATTTAGCAACGCCGGCATATTGTCTAGTCGGAGATACACCAATAGGCGTCGAACGCGATCACTGGTTGGCTTGCTAGGCTCTGTTTCGTCACCAGTGCTGCGGCCAGGAATGGCCTCGCCGGTATCCCAGTCAATTTCGCCGCGCTTCCATGCTTCGAGTTTCTTCTGATACCAAGGGGGGTATAGATAGGAGGTTAAGGGGGTGGTTATGAAGGTTGTCAGAAGAGCCATAACGACAAAAATAGTAAACGTTCTTGTGCTGAGAATCTTGGCTTGCAGCCCGATGTTCTGCGATGTGAAGTCAGTGTACACATTCCATATCATCATCTGCGACTAGATACAGGTAGTCAATGACGAGAAAAGAAACCTACCAATACGATCAGCTCCACGAGACCTTTACAACTCATCAAGGCCCCAATGGAAAAAGACTCCCTCCAAACCAACCCATTCAGCCGAGCAGCAATGGTAGCGCCAATGATTTTGGTGAAGAAGGCGGTTAAAGTCACTGCAAAAACGTAACCCCAAGTAATCCCACTATCCAGTAATCCTAGATTCGTGTTCAAACCAGACAAAGTGAAGTATAGGGGTAAAAAGAGGGCACCGATCAAGTCTTCCAGTTTCTCAGTGACTTTAATGGCAAAGCCATTCTCGCGTGGCAAAATGAGTCCGACCATGAAACCTCCGAAAATAGCATGAACACCGATAATACCAGTGAAGAAAGCAGAGGCAAGGGCGATCAGCAAAATCAGCGCGATCATACTCTGCGAAGGTCCGTTTTCAATGCTACCAGACCGACGCAAAAACCATATGAGAATGGGCCTGACTGCGTACAGAAGAAAGAGCATGTACCCGACACAGGCCAGAAGAATCCACAAGGCTGAGAGGCCAGTGCCTGCGTTGGCGAGGGCAACGCAAAGTGCAAGCAGGATCCACCCTGTATATCGTTAGGTTATTGTTGTAGATGGGGAAGAAGTTATTTCCAGTAGCAACTTACCGACAACGTCGTTAGCTACACCGGCCGAAAGCACAATGACACCTACTGTTGTGTCAAGCAGCTTCAATTCGGTCAAAATTCTGCAGAGGACAGGAAAAGCCTAACACAAATGGGTCAGCGTGCCAATCCGAACTGCGACTTGCATGCGGCTTAAAGCTGTCATACTGTAATTGCAATAGCAACACCAATGAAGAGCATGTATATGCTAAAGTTAATGTGCATGACGCCCTCGTCACCAGCAAACTGGTTGTACAGGCCCCAAGCAAGGGCACATCCCAGTGCGAAAGGTAACGCTAACCCAGCGAAAGCAACTGATGTTGCTACGCGCCAGTTGCTGACAAGGAAGCGTACGTCGGTCTCCAGACCAATAAGGAATAGGTACAACACAAGACCAAGGTTGGCAACGAGCGTAAGATTTGGGATCGAGTCTGTCGGGAATATGGCATTTCGAAAACCGGGTATGCGGCCCATAACTGAAGGGCCAAGTATAATGCCGCCAATTACCTCAGCAATCACTCGAGGTTGTCGGATTTTGGACAGCGGCCAGTGAAGAAGGTGACAGACGATAATGATCAAGCCGGCCTGTAGAGGGCAAGTCGAGTTAGTGCTGAACATGCGGTTCAGACCGTTGGCTGGAGTGGCCCCTTGAGGCTCGAAGACACAAACCTGAATAATAAAGATAGTAATAGGATCTTTGGGGTTATAATGGGATGGGTTTGCACCCTCAATAACACCGCCCTGGGGAGTAGCTCTGTTGCCTCCCGTGGAAGTCGGCGCGGCTAACGAGGTTGCCGTCGCCGGCAATAGTGACGTGATGGACGACATATTGCGGCCGCCTGGTGTGGTTTCGTGGTTGTGCAGGGCGCGGGTGTGGTGATACCTGTGTCTAACCAAGATATACACTTGAGAAACTGATGAGAGTTGCGACAAGGCCCACTCGAAACCACATGCCGGTGCTTCAAGATCGATGTGGCAGGAATAGAAGAGCTACTGGTCCGAAATGGTAGCTGGGAGGCTCTCTTATGGAAAAGAGGAGATCGGCGTCGCCCAGGTAGTCCCAGGTAGTACCGCTGTTGATGGTAGTGTGATACTGTGGAGGGGGGGGGGGGGGGGGGGCTAAGTTTGGGTGGGTGGGCTGGTTTATTTGTCGCCTGGATAAGAAGAGGTTGGCTGGTGAGGCCCGATAGTCTCCTCTAAATGGTGGCTTCGTAGGATGCAGATGGTGGTGGAGTTGGCGTCTTATTTGATCACTTGCCCACCGCCTTGGGTTGGCAACACGGCGACACGTGAAGGTTTTCTGCCAGGGGCTTAGGCCGGGGATTTGAGAAGTCAAGGAAAGGCTTCATAACCTTCTATTGTCTGACTCTTATCATAGGCTTGTCAGCAGCAAATAGATACACCGCTGAGGTCGGCAGCCAATACATCACTAAACAAGGCGCATGCTTGGCGGCACGTGGCTCATTTAGGAGTGACATGAATGATACAGGCGTGACATTCGGGTGTGGCTGTGGACCATACCCCACTTCCTACTTTGACTGTGAACTTTGTGGTGTTTGCGTAATGTCGAACTAGACAAGGGCTCTGATTCAAACATTATGCAGGTCTTGGGGTAGTTGGGGAAGTAAGTCGGGTGGGGAGCTACGAGCGAAAACAGGTGTTGGCTGACTCGGTTGGATTGGGGATAACCAGCCAACCTGGAGATGCGGGGAATAGAGTGATGTATACCTCCACAGGCATTCTAAATGTTAGCTCGCAACTTCGACCCACCATACACACCGTTTTCACTACTAATTAGCCAACATATAGCAAATATTACTCCTAGCTATTTTTCGCTAGAGGCTATGTTTAAATATCTTTTAAGTTATACTTTTCTCTTTATTTATCAAATAACTTAATATTATAATATAATATTATAACTCTTTTTATTAAGAATAATAATTTTACTAAATTTTATTATCTACTACTATAGTACTATACGCGACTAGCATATTATACTAGCTTCTAAACCTATACTACTACTACTACTTCTTATTTTTTTTATTAAATCTAGTCTAAAAGAGGTCTTTACTTCCTTCTACTATATTAATATTATAATTTATTATCTTAATTTTTATATTTTAAGATTACTAATACTATATACTATAATAGGGTATTACTATAGAGTATTATAAAGTATAAAGAATATTATAATTATATTGTACTAGGATAGTTACTTATATTTTTTATAAAAATACTTAAAAGATAATTAATAGTTTAATATATTATTTATAATATTAAATAGTTATTATACTTAAATTTATTATAATATAAGAATTATAATAATATATATTTTATACGTATAGACTTAAGAAGTATCTAAGTATATCTAACCGTTATATAACTAATAAATTATTATAAACATAACTAGTTAAAATTCTATTAACTAAACTTTAACTTTGAAAGTTAACTCTTAATAAGTATAACTAGTTAAACCTTATACTATAACCTTAGTTAACCAATAACAAAAGTCTAATTTATTTACTATTAATATCTTACTTTTTCCTCTCTATAATTAGAATAATTAAGTAACTATATTATACTTTAATATAACTACCTATTTATCCTACTATTTATAACCTTTTATTATTTTTTCCTAAGTACCTTATAATAGTAAATTAGTTATTCTTATAACTAGCTATTATTATTCTTATAATTCTACTTAGTAAGGTATAATATCTAAATATATAATAAGCTCTAGTCTTAAGTCCTTAATCTAGAAGGTTAATAATTATTGTTAAGAAAAACTATAATACTTATTATTATTATAACTATTCCTAACTAAAAACCTAAAATTTATTCTAATTATTCTTAATAATAGTTATTAATAATTATAATAATAGTATTTAATAGTATAAATAAATAAGTTTATATTATAATAGTAAGTTAAAATATATCTAATATACTTTTATAATATAATAAAAGATAATATAATATAAAGTATTTTTATAATAAGAATAATAAGAGGTAAGAAACTTTACTTATAAATAAGGTTAAACAATATATAAAATAATAGATTAGCTTATATTAAAGCTAGGTTAGTTATAAAACTAATAGCTAGCTAAAAAAGAAGATTAGGCTAGTTATATAATTAAATAATATTAATTATAATAACTAAAATAAGAAGCCTTAAGCTATATTAGGTATATATAAGTATATATATAATATAGTTTATAAATTACCTTCTTAATTAGACTAAGATCTTCTTTATTATAAATATAATTAAGTTAACTAAATAAACTTTCTAATAGAGTTAAAGAGAGTATTTTATAATTATTTAATATTATAAAAAGTATTAAAAGCTAACTAGTATATAGCTACTTTAGCTAGTTATCTTAAGTTATACTAAGGCTTTAGAGATTTATATAAGGTAAATAAGGTAAATAGAAGTATAATATACTTATACTTCTAATAATTTATAACTTTCTTAACTTAAATTATATAATATTAAATAAATAAGTAATAAAAGAATTCTTAATATTAAAAAGAATAAATAATTAATAAACTTAGTTAAAAAAAAACCTTTATATAAACTAATTTATTATAAGTAGTAGTTTAACTTAATTATTTTATTTATAATTAGTATAATATTTTAAATGAGTTTTTAGAATTTAGTTAATTATTTCTATTTATTATTAGTTTATAAATAAAAAGTAATACTAAGTTTATACTTTATTTTAATTATAAGATTAGAGATCTCTAAGACTTAAATATAAAAAGTAATCTCGAAAGTATATATTAAGTTTTTAATTATACTTAATTATATATAAAATATAAATATATATATTTAGTAAGTTAATTAATTATAATTAGTATATTATTATATTTTACTTTAATAGGAAGTTCTTTAAGTTAAAGTAACTTTATTATAAAGTCTAGTAAGTTTAAGTATTATAATATAGGGGGTATAAATAATAATTCTAATCTTTAACATAGTTTATATTTATAAAAATTACTTTTAATATAAACTTTATAATCTTTAATTACTTTAAATATATCTTAGTAACTAATTTATTTATTATAATATTATTTAATTATTTTCAAAGTTTAAGAACTCCTTAATATCTATATATAAGTATAATATAAATTCCTATAATTTAATTATAGGTTATTATTCTAACTATATTAATTCTAGCTTTTTAATAATAAATGAAAGTTTCTATATAAGTATAAATCCTTATTTATATTTCTTAAAGATAATTTAGGTTTCTTCTAAAACTAGAATTATAAAGTTTAGTTATTAGTTATTTATATTAGTTTTATTATTTTCTAATCTTTTATAATAAATAATTTTAAAATCAAATTTAGAAGTAAATTCTATTTATTTAACTTATTATTTATTAAGTTTTTTTAAATATTATAAAGTATAATAAGTTTTTATAATTAATATAAGCCTTAATATAATACTTAGTTCTTAAGAGTTATAATTCTTATTTCTTAATACTTTAATAATTACTATAAGTTCTTTATTATATATTTAGTAATTAATTTCTAGGTTTAAAAACTTATAAGAATAAAAAGTATAAGAATATAGAATATTATTATTATTATATTATTTAAGCTATCCTCTTATAATAAAATCTAAATAGTTAGTTTCTAGTTTAAAAGATTTCTTAGGATTTAAGATTATAACTATAAGTTTTAAGCTTATATAGTTTTTTACTTCTTAAAAAGCTTTTATTATTTTATTTAACTATTTTAATAAAATATCTTTTTAAATAAGTTTTATTAATAATATTATTATTTTAGAAAAGTTTTAAAGAAATTATTAAAAAGAGTTAATAAATCTTAAGAAAGCTACGATATCTTTAAGATTTTTAATATAAGCTAGTTTCTTATAGCTTTAACTTTATTTACTAATATCTTAATCTATCTAAGTATAATAATAAATCTAAAGAATTTAACTTTTATTTATAAAAGAAGCTTTTATTAGGTTTTATAAATAGTTAAACTATCTCTTAAACTTTAAGAATCTAATAATATATTCTTTATATTTCTTATATATTTTAAGAATAATCATATATTATTAAAGTAAATAAGTTTAAGCTTATCTAGATATTCTTAGATTATATACTTGATTATAATTTAAAAGATAATAAGTATATTATTAAGTCTAAATAATATATTAAGAGTCTTAAATTATTTTTATTTTACTTTAAAAACTACTTTCTATTATTCTTCTTTAGTTATTAATATAAGATTATAAGCCTTTTTAAGATTTATAATAATAAATTATTAAGTATTATAATATAAATCTTATAAATCCGAAATTAAGAGTAATAAATATTAGTTTTTAATAATAATATTATTTAGTTTTTAATAATTTATATATACTTATTTCTTATTAGTATTATTTTTATATAAATAGTATAAAGTATTTAGTTAGTAATATTAAAGGTTAATTAAACTCTTTAGTTAAGTTTCTATTTAGCTATTTATTTCTTCTAAGTAAAGGGGATAAACTTTATTAAAATAAGATTATAACTTTGTTTTTAGTTTAATCTTATGTTTATTATTACTATATTCTTATAGTTTAGTTCTAAGGTTTAATATAAAGAGTTTATTATAAATTCTATATTCTATAAGAATTTTAAATAGTAAGTTTTTATAACTTTATTAAATATTATTATAATTAGTATTTTAATATAAATATCTTTTATTCTAAGAAATAAGTTTTATCTTATTCTTTATATTATAATCTATATAAAAGCTATATTAAGTATTCCTTTAAGGCTATATTATTATATTTTATTAAGCTTATACCTTAGTTAATTTTAAAGTTATTCTTC